TCGCACAAGCTAGTCAACAAGTAAGGTCATGATGTGATATGGCCAATATTCTAGATATATACGTAAATTATCTCTTCCTAGCTTCATAATATACGAACTCATTCCGCACCACTACTCCTGTCAACTTATCCTAGTCATACGGATTATATTTGTTTCTCCCTACTTGCTAAGTTCATCGTCACGGAGAAACGTGCCCGTCACTCTGCTACACTTAAACTTAGCTTGTGAGAAGAGCAGCTGTTTAGAGCCAACCCGTTATTCTCCCTTGTGACCTACTGCCTCACCCTACGATTCTGCAACAGTGGCCAAACTCTCCTCCTCGATTAGCCGCTGGCTCTTACAGTTATGCACTGAAACTTTTCTTTCAACCGGATGATGTGATCTCGAGCTGAGCCTTTGATCATGATGTTAGTCACGGTTTGAATTCCAGGTAAATATGACCTCGCAACCCGACTGGTTCGTACGAATGAATTTCCAATTTGTTAACATCAATCAAGATCAACGGTCAGGTCAGCGGTTTCATTTGATCAGTTTCGCAAACGAGTGGAGGAAACTCGCTGCAACAGCTTGATCTCTGAGCAAACTAACGAAGAGTTACTCTGTTCCCCTTCAGATGCTGAGAGTAAGGTGGGTTCGGTTGCTCAGTTTTCCCGGTTTACTTTGAAGAACAAGACGACCGGTGAGTAGACTACTACATCCTGCGTCATCCTAGCTATAGCGGAATGAATCAAGGGAGAATGAATCTTGACTCAATTAACTAAGGTAGCCAGCTACATAGGAGGAGGGTAGCTCATTCATTATAGTATCTCGATTGGTTTATCTGCAATGTCAGTCAATGCCGTTGCGTTGTATACGACTATGAGTGGACTCTTGCATGTATAAGGAATTCAACATACATATTAGTTGCAACGCCATTCTAGTTTGAATATCCTAGAGATAAAAGGTGACACGCAGGTGAAGTCATCGGGTAGAGTATACGATAGTTGAGCTTGTTGAAAGCGATTTGGCTCTTATTTGGTTGTCTCGAGAAGTCTGAACATGCGTGAGCTGGAATCGTGTTCAATTCAGACTCTGTCCGGCGATTGATTTGAGCTCCGCCCTAATCTGGCTCCTTCCAGTATCTGAGTCGGGTAGTCTATCTTCCATTCACGCGCACGGCTTCAAGGCCAGGGAGACTTGATGCCTCCTGGCCGAATTCATCAAGACCTTAAGATCCTTTTCAGTCGACGCCCATTATTTCTTTATACTGTTCCGTCTAGCTCACTACGAGGATCAAATACAGCCTCGAACGGCAGTGGGATGGACACAAACCCAGAGCCAAACGCCATATTGCCAATTTCCTTGGGCTTTCCATTAGGGCTAGTGGTAGGTCGGGCGTCATAGCAGCACAGAATCCGCGACATTAGGATAAATAGCGTGTAGCGCGCGATATATCGTCCTGTACAGACTCTTCATCCATATCCAAAGAAGTTGGCGAATGAGTCATCTTCCGTCCCATGATGGGCTGTGAGTATATTTGATTTCGAGAAAAGCTGCCCCGAGGGCGGGGTCGCCTTTGTCTCATCGAAACGGCCCCAGTTCATGCACGAAGAGACGGCATACTGCCCAGCCGAATTTGGTCTAGGCACTCCCTGCGAGAGTAAGAGATACACTAATCACGCTTTTTGGCCATCCCCGTTCTCCAGCTCATATTGGTACATGTACCTTGACCAAGCTGTGCACCACTTACACGCCCCGTTCAGCGTCAAAGTTTCACCTCCTGCCAGTTTCCCTTTCGTTGACCGTTATGTTGAACTCCCACGTGAACGGTGAATTGGTTTCATCTCTATGCAATTCTATCATTATTTAATTGCGCGCTATTGGTGCGAGGGGTCAGGGTAAATGATATCAACCAACCAACCAACAACTGTCCATTTCCTTTACTCTCAGATAAACTAACTAGGTACCAATTGCAAGAAATATACAATTGACTCAAACAGATTAACCGAGCGACGCAAGCGTTCCACCTAGCCTAATCTGTATTCATATTAAAGGAACTGAGAAATTATCATTAATCTATGTGCAAAGCAGTTTGACAGAAATCTGTAAACTCCGTCCGTTTGTCAGATATCTCGGCGATAATTTGAATTGATCTTCCAAAGGCCGGGAGGGTTCGCGGGCATGGATGGATTTACAGCCGATAATTCACGGGCGAAGTATTATAAATCTGGGCCGAAAAATGTCGGCCGAAGAAAGTGGGTCCCAACCAACACCGGGCTGAGTAAAAAAGCAAAGCCCAGGGATAACAAAGGGCTCTAGTCCGGATTAGGTTAGGCTTCGTTTGATGATCAGCAATCCCATTTACTATAGCCGCTCAATGCAGGAGTGGTTGGTAGGAATCGAAAATGTCCCTTACAAATCAATCCTAAGCTTAAACATCGACCGTCGTGAGCAAAATCTGGTGGACTTATCATGATTATCATTTAGAACACTCGTGTCTCAGCGAAAGAGGTAAGTGCTTCAAGGGAACTTCTGCCTCGAAGATATCATTCTCTGACAATATTCACGGGTCTAGAAGAATTCCACTGACCACTTTCTTGGCCCATTACCTCCCTCCGTTCCTTTCCATATTTGTCCCCAGAAGGCAGACATACAAGCTCGTCCCACCGTCGAGTATCGGCACTATACCCGCCCATCTTATTTTCGGACTGCTCATCCGGTCGCTGCGATGGTGGTCCTTGATGAGAAACACCAGGGATTGGCTGGGAGCAACCTGGAAGACAAAAGGCTTGACGAGTCTGGGTCAACTAGTCGTGCGGAAGACTCCTACGACGATGAGAGGCAGATACCACCAGCAAATGATAATGCTCCTCTCGCCGAGCCGGAGGCCCCGCCACGGGACATCAATGGCTGGAAGTGGTACTTAACCCTGGCGTCTATTCTGGCATCGACCTTCCTCTATGCACTTGATGCGACAGTGGTAGCCGATCTCCAGTCAGTTATCGTTCAGGATCTCGGCGGTATCACGAAGCTTTCATGGCTCAGCGTTGCATTCCTGCTGAGCGCGACGGCCACCAACTTGGTTTGGGGCCGCATATATGGTCACTTCAATACCAAGTGGCTCTATATCTTCCATGTGGCTCTCTTCGAGGTCGGCTCTGCAATTTGCGGTGCGGCACCCTCCATGAATGTTATGATCCTGGGTCGCGCCATTGCCGGCGTGGGTGGGTCCGGTTTGTACGTGGGGTGTATGACGCTCATTGCGATGACTACAACTATCTCTGAGCGTCCAATTTACGTCTCCTGCACTGGCTTGTCGTGGGGTCTGGGAATTGTGCTGGGCCCTGTGATCGGCGGCGCCTTCAGCGAGTCCTCGGTGGGCTGGCGATGGGCTTTCTATATCAACCTCTTCATCGGAGCCGTCTGTGCACCCTTCTACCTCTTCCTGATCCCCAACAAGGATCCTCGCCCCGGTGATTCTATCAAAGAGCGGTCTGTTGAGCTTGATTACCCAGGCATCGTGTTTCAATGTGGAGCTTTGACTGCATTGATCCTGGCCATCAATCTGGGAGGCGTCACTTACCCGTGGAACTCTGGTCGCATTATCGCGCTGTTTGTTGTGTCGGGCGTCTTATTTATTGCTCTGGGCATCCAACAGGTCTGGGCAATTGGCGTATCCTTATCACGTCGCATCATTCCGGTGCAATTCTTCAGATCAAAAACCGTTCTCATCCTCTTCGCTGCTAGCGCATCAGGGGGCGCATGCGCCTTCATCCCAATTTACATGATTCCTCTCTTCTTCCAGTTCACGCGCAATGACAGTCCACTCGATGCTGGTGTGCGACTCCTCCCATTCGTGGTAGTGATGGTGGTATTTGTCTTTACCAACGGCAACCTGATGGCAAGACTGGGCTACTACATGCCCTGGTACTTGCTGGGCGGCCTGCTGATCGTGCTCGGATCAGCCCTCATGTACACCATTGATCAAGACACTTCACAGAGCCGGGTGTATGGCTACAGCGTGCCACTGGGTGTCGGCGTTGGAATGTTCCTGCAAGCTTCATTTTCTGTCGCACAGGCCGTGGTTTCACCTGAAAATATCGCGCCAGCCATTGGGTTTATCACCCTGGCGCAGTTTGTGGGCATTACCATTGCTCTTGCTATTGCCAATGCCGTTCTTCTGAATGGCTGTCTTGACAAGATTGAGGCTATTCTGCCTAACGTACCTTCAGCCGAAATTCAAGCTGCCATTCTAGGTGCCCAATCAGATCTTGTCAAGGATCTTTCCCCGGAGCTCAAGTCTCGCGTGCTTGATGCTATTGTCAATGCCATTGACGACACTTACATTCTAACAATTGCCGGTGGTGGTCTTGTGGCTGTATTGAGTCTGCTGATGCGTCGCGAAAAGTTGTTTGGTGTAGGAAGTGGCGTTCATGCGGCGTGAGATGTGGCCTTGGTTGACGGCGCATAGACTCCAGAAAGACTTGTTTGTTTCCTATTCAATTTTATTTCCAATTTCTCAAACTACATTCGAGTTATAATGGTCAGCTTTGGTGGTTGTACTTCTGGTTGTGGTGCTGTTTAAATAGTCCCTATCTTCATTCGGCCTGATATCTTTCTGTTTCGGATACCAAGTTTTTAGAGAATAGGAAAATAGGCTAAATTCCAAATGGAAAGAACTCAACGATTGCATTCTCTGTTGCTACTCTAGTTATTTAAAATGTAAATTGTTATTTGACTCATCATAGGAATGTCAATTGACCAGGTAACCTTCCACAGGCTTACCCTCCTGTGTTTTCGATTTTGGAATCGGAGTGCGGGGAATATCACTTTTTTGGAGCACTTTGCAAATTTCTTACTTGGATTTGATAGCCCCTGACCAGCGGACGCTCAGAGGCTTTAGTGTACTCGAATGTTTGCTATCATAAATACAGCGATAACGCGTCACAATTTGAGAGGTGCCAAATCCAGAGAGTCAAAAACCTCACGTTTGGAGATTCATTTCCCTCGCCATAGATTGACTATTTCCTACTCTTCAGTCTCAAGAAACACTGATCCGCCCTGTGAACAATGCCATAGCTCGCCTTCGGCGCAGCCAGAGCGGGCGAAACCGGTAGAAGGTCATAGTTCCAGATAACCAGCGTAACCACCATGCGCATCTCTAAGTAAGCCAGACGGCGACCCCAACAGCTGCGCGGACCCATGCCAAAGGCAATCTGAGGGGCTGCATTCGCGTTGAACTCGACTTCATCTTCTCCAGAGCTCCCTTTCTTGTACTTGAGCCAACGCTCCGGGTCGAAGACGCTCAGGTCGCGACTTTCATCCCACTCGTTAGCCTTGGTAGTCTTGTTACGCAGTTTCTCGTCGACAGAAAGCGATGGTGCATGGAATCCAGGCCCGTTGGCGATCAAGATAATATTGGTGCCTTTGGGAATGTGATGGCCGAAAACTTCAGTGTCCCGGACGGCTTGTCGCGCTACACTGGTCGCGTGCAACCGGAGGGCCTCCTCCAGTACGCCCTCTAGGTATGGCACTCGCGTTTTGTTAAGCTCGGCCAGTGAAGGGGGGTGCTTTTCTGCGTAGGCATCGGCGTAAGTGGAAAACAGCGCGTGTCGTAGCTTGTTTTGAACCTCCGGGTATCGGGTCATGTAGATGAAGGACCATGCAAGAGTGGTGCTGGTTGTATGTAGACCGGCAATAAATTGCCCAGCAATCTAAAGGAAGATGCAATCTTGTGAGTAGAAATATACTACTAGAAATAACAAGTATTTGAGGAAATAAATAAGGGAAGTAGGTATATCTCACTTCTTCCATCATAGTAAGGTTTTCATAGTCCGGCTTTCGGCCCTGCTTCTCAGCAGCCTTGGATTCACGCATCAGCATATATTCGATCGCCGTTTTAGTTTCTCCTGTCGCGCGGAATCTAGCCAGGGCACCCTGCACTTGTTCCCGAACAACGCGCGTCTTTATGGCAGTGACGTTTCTATACCGAGGTGTCTGACGCAGCCACCACATAGTGAACCTTGGCAACATGGACTTGGTCACTTTATCAATGGCATCGACCGTCTCATAGAGCGCGTCGATAAACGGGTGGAGCTTTCCCTCTGGGAATTCCACCTCTCCACGGGTGCCAACCTTGACCGTTGAAGTATCGAGCTTGGAGGCAGCCTCGATTTGAGGGCCAAGGGCAGTGTGTTCGAAATGCCGGTCGAATACGAAAGAAAGCATGCCATCGAGGGCGCTATGATTCAAGTCCTCGTTGACATCGAAGGGCCGGTCATTAGCTAGACGAGCCTTTTCCTGCCAAAAGTTTACCAGATGAAGCGAGTTGTCGTACATGACTGGGCTAACGATATTATTCAGGAAGCTCGGACTCATGAGGTCCTGCAACCATGATCGTGTTGTCTTCCATGCTGGACCGGTCTTCATACGGGCATGAAAGCCGTCCAATGGGCCCAGCCCGTCGGTGATGAAGTTGGAGCGGTCAAACTCCGGTCGTCGAATCATGATATCCTGAGCCTCGGCTGAGTCGGCGAGAAGGACCCAGGGCTTGGAAAACGGCTCCACGAAGACCTGGCATAATGGTGTTTGTAGTTTATTCACTTGCTTGACCAGCCACACGTTGAGCTCTCTGCTAACGCTGACCTCTTTAATCATGTCGGGGGCATCTCCCAACAGCTTTTGTGCTGATTTCTTGTTGTATGGAATTCCTGGGATCGGGTGAGGCATCATCCGCCAGTACAATGTGAAAATAGTCACGAGTACGGCGAAAATGCTCCATGATGTTGACCCTAGACTAGCACCGACTAATTGAATTGTATCTGAAAACGCCATTGTGGTATTCCAGGGCAACTTGGACTGAAGAAAATTTAGGGACCAAATGATTGATTGGAAATCAGTCAGCAAGTTCCAGGATACTCATTGCCCCTCAAAGGGTCTATATAGAACACACGTCTGAGGTCCTAGCCGAAGGCACTCTCATCAATCCATGTCAGCTGAGTGTAAGGCCGGGGAGGGTGGGGTTTCCCCCCATCAGAGGAGATCACCAACGAAGGATGACCGATGCACCGATAGATAGGCCGACGGCCTTTCCATGCCCGAAACTCCTCCCGGTATACTCCGTATTCAAGAAGATACACCGAAAAAACTCGGCCGAGCATGCTGACGAATTCGTCAAGCACCTTTGGCGTCAGCCCCGAGAGCCACGAAACCATATTCTTCGCCAAGCTCCACTCGCAGCAACCACTACATGCGGAATGAAGTTCTTATGAATATCTTTATCTCGTTGTCAAGGTAACTCGTGTGGTCGCCCAGAACAGGCCCCAAATTGTGAGGAACCTCGACGTGTGGGCCTGCGTGCCAAGGCGCCTATTAGCACTATCCTCACACCACATGCTCTGAAAACACAAGAACTTCCAAATCGAAGAAGAGAGTTTGCGGCGATTATGAGCCTCAATTTGGTGCTCAGCTTACGAAAACATGAATTTCTTTCCCTTTTTTTAGAGGGAAAAAAAGAAATAGAAAAAATAGCAGGGTCTAGGATATGTAAGAAGCAAACCCTGAATTGCAAAGGATGACTTGATTTGTAAGTTCCCAAAAGCATCTATCGTTGAAGTGAAATAATGAAAAGTCCCGCTGTGAAGATTCCTTGAGCGTGCGAATGGAAGAGATCATAGAGCTCAAATATTTGAAGCCAAAGCGTCCCAGTTCATATTCATATCAACATCGAAAGCTGCCGCCGAGACCAGCTCAGCCAGAGAGACTGCGGGATCCAAATCTGAGTATTCCGGCAAGTTGATTGAAGTTGAGCTTCCTCCTGTTTGCGAGAAAGCTCCGTTCTCTGGCTCAGAGGGTCTTTCCATTTCCGATGCGCCTGTGGGCTGCTGGGCGACTTTACGGATCAGCTTGGAAAGGCTCCGTGCTCCCACATCCGCCATGTTGCTGACTTCTGCTAGCATCTGCAGGAGACTGAGTGCATCTCGTATAGCCTTCATGCACCCCGCCCGGGTCAAGTTCGCCATCCCGGCCCGAAGAGGATCAACATTGGCGATACTCGAACTGTGGCTTTCGACGTCTCCAAGGAAACTTTGATCCATGCATAGTGATACTAGAAGCACTGCAGCTTCGAACGTCGGTTGGATGATTCCTGTATACCGTGTTTGAGAGCCGCCAATCAGAGAATGCAGTCTGGATACCCCTTGCAGAACATAGAGTGCAGCAACCGCCAGAGCCTTTTGCTGGGAGGATAGCAAGACTTGCTTGTACTTGGGAAGATGGCTTGCATCCAGCAAAATGGCTGGCCGAAAATTGTAACAAAGAGACTCGAATATCGATATGAATAAAATCTCTCTTTGTTTTGCAAGCATCGGAAGTCGTTCATCCCACTGCTTGTTTGGTTGGAGGGCAAAAGCGGATGGCAGCGTAGTCAGAAACTTAGTGCACAGTTTTTCATATCTCTCTTCGGCAACAATCACATCATAAGTCGACCCTAACGTTGGACCCATGCTCCTCCAGAAATTGGCCAGGCGAACCTGAAGGATGCGCTCGGTGAATTCCTCGAGACCATGGGTGTCATGAACATCGGAGCCAAGGCGCATGCGCGGCATGTTCTCCGGCTCTATTTCACAGGGTATAATAGGGATCCGGTCCAATTGTCGGGAAGAATAGCTGCAAAGTCAGCACGGGCTGTTTATCAGAGATAAGACGGCAAGAAACATATATTCCTGCGCTCACCTGTCCCATATATAGAGATTACAGAATATCCTGCGCCGCGTTTCTTTCTCCAACTCACTCATATCTGGAACCACCAAAGACACATCTTTATCCGCCCCAATCCTTTGAGCCACCTGTATTGCGGACCTAAGCGCATCTCGGAAGTCCTTCATCCGCCCCTCACACTTAGCCTTCAACCCAACAAAGGCCAAGTGTTGTACGCGAAGAAGACTTCCCTTGGAATTAAGACGGGGACAAATTTCCGCGAGACTGTCAGCAGCTTCGTCGCAGGAGTGACGAATATCCGCCAGTGACATGTCCCGGATCCTTTCGATGGTACACGATGGAGAAGGGAGATATTGGGATGCATAAGAGCATATTCTCAAAATGAGAACCGCAAACTCAATCTCAAAGAGAGAAGATGGTATTTTGACAGTCCGCCAGCGTTGGTATTCGTCTAGAATCCACGGAAGATGAACAAGCTGATCCATCCTGGGCATCACAAACGGAATAGGTTAGATGATGAGGTCCTGGTATAGTTCTGGGGTTTTCCCAAATCATCTGCGCTACTTACCAATTCACCTCGCGCACGAAATATTTCAGTAAGAAATCCAAGATTGGCCCGTCAGGAATCTTGTCTAGACACTGTTGAATCTCCGAATCATCTTGATTCGGCAAAGCTCGACGGTTGCGATTTTGGTCCTCTCTATCCCATTGCTCCACCTATTGATAAGACGTGTCACTGTTAGGAAACTCCACATCCAATCTTATCAGATTATAAAGTTGTGAAATGGCTTACCATCCGCAAAAGAGCTACCGTGTTAGTTTGGCTGTCTTCGGAATAGCCAAAGACATCCGTTAGAGACGAAGAAGACATTGCATTGCTTGTCGGACTCTTAATTTTTTCTAGCTCAGAGATGGCGTCGAAAGAGATGAGGCTCACGCTTCTATTTCGGGCATTCCTTTGATCGTATTCATTATGGTGACTGCGGGTTTGCAATAGCGGATTATTAGGGGATGGGATGTGCTCCGATGGATAGTATGCGCAGTCTTCCGGGCGACGGCGGCGGGTGCAGTGGTTACAAGGGTATTGACGGTTACACTGTTCACGTTAGGGCGGTTGTCCTGGGATTCATATCAGGACTACGTTTGTTCTCTAACGAGCAATACCTTTTGCTTTCTGGTGTAGCAAGGAATGCAAGACGACACCTTGCGTTTTCGCGAGGGCTGCATCATCGGAGCAACAGCTGGCACATGTGTAAATCTGTTGGCATCAGTCCCTGTGATCTGGAGATCTTGTGGATGTGAAATCCGCAAGTCTTAACAAGTCTCAACGGTGGTAGGAAACAGGAGGGGCCGGATGTGCTTGGTGCTTACATCATCGACCCCATCCGGCCAGTTATCATTGGTCAACCATTGTTGGAGCGTATGATCCAGCCCGCATATGGAGCCGGATTTCTAAAGTGTAAGAAGTAGGGCTTATCATCATAGCTGACGGAATACGCAATCTCCGGACAAGCTTGTCCTTCAGGAATCAACCCAACATCCTCACGCTAGAGCCCGGGTGTACAGCCCGGGTGGCGTTAACCTAAAAGCCCCATCATGGGTGGAAACAGCCTCTAAAAACGGGTTGCTCAGGAATTGCGCGAAATGGATCGCTCGCCTCAAACTCCAATACAGGCAACCTTCTCGGTTTTCATTGTCATTTGACCCTCTGACAGATAGTCTTAGCGTGTTACTACTGTTCCAGTGCCTGCAGCCAAACTTGTCTTCATGCATCTCCTTGGCGAATTAAAGACTAGCCCAAAGGAAACATTTGGTTGGTAGGTATGCCAGGCGGTCGCTTGAAGAAAAATGTATACTATTATCGTGTACTGACCACGGAGTATGACCTGGTCTTATGTATCTTTTGCCAGCGGAGATGTGCAACCTATCCGCCGAGGTCATTTTTAGACGTTTAGTATACCTCAAGGTAAATAGTTTCAATCGTAAGGTTTTCTTTCAACTTCGGGCTGTTTTTTGCTTGACGAGGGGTAAATGAATCATCGTACTTTTGGGAGTGGATAAACATGTCGCCCCCTCCGGCCCCAGAGGCAGTGGGCCTCCCCAGGGTCGCCCACCAGAATGTTACATAAAGTTCTCCAGGGGGCCTGATGGCGCAGTCGCCGGGGTAGCCCACGATAGAATTGTCAGGTATTACGTGAACTCAGGGTCAGCTCAAGAACGTGTGACGTCCGACGTCCGACTGCTAGGGGCTCCCGGCAATCGTACCGCTCGAAGACCCTATCGAACAGGTAATATACGAGGTGCAGGATGTCTATCTCACATATACGAAGAGGGGGAGCAGTCATGATCACCGCGGTCCGACGCGTGGCTAGTGGAGTAGATCCCTTCGAGGAGAGATCTACTCCTAAAACATGATTATGGCCTTACAGAACCGCAAAGCCAATTAGCGGCAGTGGGTATACACGGTCGGTCCGGTGCTGGGACCTGTTCTAATGTTACTGTCGGACACGGTGCTCAAGGGTTTTGAGAAATGCTGAGTGCATACCATCGCAGTCCCTGCTGGTTCGACTACACCTGCTGGCAATCGGCGTTGAAACCTGGGCTTTTGTCGAATGGATTACCGTCTTTAGATGGATGATACCATATTGGGTCCACAAAAATCTGCAGATAAGAGAGTTTGGCCCTAAACGTGCATTGCGGGATCTTTGTGAGTGGTGGAGGTTCCCTACACTTGCATTCCCTTAGCACAGCCCTGAATCCACCTTGGACCAATGGGCTAACCCTGCGATTGGAATAACTAATGGCGAAATACTACCCCTGGCGTGTCGTATCATAGTAGGAGTCGCTTTTTAGGAGTTTTACAAATTTTCACCCGTGATCGACTTGGCATCTCCTTCGAATAGGCAACTCAGGAGCGTTCCTCCGTAGGGTCTCCATCACGAACACTAAGCCATGACCCACCATTCGGAGCAAACTGTCAAAGTATGTGGAGTGGTCACTTACCACTAAGAACGGGGTTATCCAGCAAGTGCCCACTTCTCTTAAAAACATGGTATGGTTTTATATGTAATTCTGATTTACACGTGAACTCAGGCTTTGTAATAGCCGAGTATCGGCTGTACAGACACGAGCCCAGGGGTTGCTTTCAGCTTTCTCCCCCCGATCTTTTCTGCCGAAAAGGATCATCAATATTTATCAATCTGATCATCGCAATCCTATTAGACATATTCCGTGCTAGCCTGTACAGGTAGTGCTACAAGTTCGACACAAACTAACAAAGTGCGGTTTTCTTTTCCCGTTTCAAATGAGCAAAAATGTGTTACTATGTCCACATAATGGTGGTAGCCCCAGTAAGGCAAGGGCTACCTTCACTTCTGCGGTAATCGAAGGACATATCTGGTCGATAGGCTGATCTATTTGTTCTTCCTGAGAACTTCCTAGTGCCGCAAATAGACCTCAAGCAGACCCATCAATCCTTCAGGGTAAAAGTTACGAATCTCATACCGCTCGTCCGCTTCCTTCAACAGTGCAGCAAATTCTGACTGAGTACGTAGCTTGCCGCCAAAGCCCACCAGCATTATAAGGTCTATTTGACGCAAGCCACGCTCGAAATCGCGCGTCAGTGTTCCCTGTGGAGGCAAGACAAGATCATTGATAAGTAGGGGTGTGGTAGGCTCCGAGCGCTCAAGCCCCGGCACTAACGAACGGAACATGGTGGCAACATCGCGATCACTCCAATTCAACGCACATGCACGTAAAATAAATGCCGCGGCATTCCCAACTGGCTGTGGGTCGAAAAAGCTGTGCTGCATGAAAGAGACCCGATCTCTGGTTTCATCAGTCAGAAGCGACTGCCCGGCCACATGCATGTCGACCGAGTCTTGAACAATAAATTTGAGGTCAGGGAAGCTCTATAACGAGTTGAGTTTAGTAAAGTTCAAGAGAAAGCGAGTCAATGATTTTTTTTTACCTGGGCTAGAGTGATTGAGACCTTGCCACTTCCACCGCCAACATCCACAACAGTGCCCTTGAGCTCATTCCACGGAAATGCTTCTTTGAGTGCATTGATGTTGAGATTCACTTTTGACGAGTCAGACAAACATGCCATAAGGAGATTAGGTAAACAAACATTTTGACCATCCAGCCATGGCTTTGGCAAAACGAATGGATCGTTGGGTATCTTTTTCATAGAATTGGAAGATGGGAATGCCATGCCGTGTGGTGAATGGGGTAAGAGCGCTGTCGTACTTGAGTGGCGATGCCTTCACGTTATCAGCAGTGGCCGAGGCAGCCTTGAGCATTTCGTCCAGGCTGTTACATAAATAAAAACATCAGTACGACCAAGACCACAATCATCTGAAAGTCTCCTAGTAAGTGATTCTGCATTTATATTGGCAAACATACGTGTAATGCAGTGTTGAACGGATTTCCTCATCCACGTGCAGGAGATAGGAACTCGAGTTGTGCGCAATATATCCTGGAGTTGGCTCTTGGAAGATGAATTCTGTCACTAAAAGACGGACAACACGGCGTGTCCGATCAAGATCAACACCGGCTTTTTCTGCCAAGGCCTCAATCGAGATTTGACCTGCTAGGGGAACGATCTCGAAGAAATTAAATTCTAAAGCCACTTGGATTGCCGCAAGCTCGTATCCCTGGCAGCAAAGCTCACGGAAGTGTCTCTTGGGACCTTCAGCAAGGTACTTCAGATCTTCAAGGGATCTTTTGAGCTTTCCGTATAGCACAACATATTCGACCGTCTCGGGGTGCCCAACAGAGTCGGTTGAAAGGGTGGGTTGGGAATATCCGTTGGCTTGCAGGTACTCTGTAATGTCTTTAGTCTTTTGAGTAATGTCCTCGGCGAGTGCAAGCAGATTATTTCTGTTGACAGTTTCAACAGGTGTGCCATTGGACTTGCGTGACATGGTTAGAGATTTGAGCCTTTTGGGTGTTGATGATATTTTGTTTCCTGAATAGAGGTGAAAGCAGCATCCAATCAACTCTATATAGATGTTTAGATACAATCACGACTTTATACCTGAAATTGATCAATTCGTAGTTCCGGATTATTCGTACAACAGAGCATGCCTGCCAGTTGGCAGCTCACGGAGTTTCCCGCCCCGTAAGCTGAGGACATCGGCTGAGGACATCGGCTGAGGCTCAGGTATGCGCCGATCTTTTACGGGCATAAAATGTGAAGGGGGGGCTCTTGTTCCGTATCTGTCTGGACCAATAAGAGTTAGTATGTAGGACTATCTGACTTTCTAACTGATCGGCAAGCCCATGCAGGATTATCATCCCGTAGGATCCTGGACGCACGCCCAACCTCGTGCAAGGCAGACACTTCATGTATCGGGCCTTATCGCATAAATCAACGTTACTAGTGGGCCCATCTAACATTTGACTCTATGTGATCATGCACTTTCTTTTCCTATTCGGGATTTCAGTTGACTGAACGGGAAAGTTCTCCCGTGCTTATTCCACGACCCCTACTCAGGGGCCGACAAATTTCGGCCGATATTATGCGGGTATGGGTAGTAATGTCAGATCTCCTCACACCTTGACGGCTCAATTTGTATACCTGCGTCTTACTTTCTGCTTGGGAAGTAACTCCCGGCCGATCCGGACGGCGGAAGATGTCGGCTGTCCCGATGCTCTTGGAGAATTGGAGTCGATATCGCCATCAGCAGAGTATCATCCGATAGCATTCTTTGTCTCTGTGTCATAAATCAGTCTTAATCAAGATGTGCCGATTGTCTCAGCAGTAGAAAGGTGACTGGCTCCTCAAATTATAGAGTACATGATTTCTTCAAGCTCTTGCTTCATAGATCAATGACACTCGCGAATGCTCCTTATCTACATCAGTCAAAGATATAAACATTTGAGCTAAGCTATACTCAAGCGCTACCGGATTACGCAAGGTTATTATATTATTATTGTTTTTCGAACTCTCAACAAGCAGTGATGTCTGGAAAGCGCGAACCAGAGCCGATCGCTATTGTGGGCATGGGTGGGTGATATCAATCTCTGGAAATACTTTGGATCAGCACTTACGTCTCTTTCAGGCTGCCGTTGGGCAGGAGGGGTCCGTGATACCTCCAGTCTCTGGGAATTTTTGATCAACAAGCGATCTGGATACCACGACTGGGCCGAGCCTCGCTTCTCAGCCAAGGGCTTCTATCACCCCAACCCAGAACGTCCAGGGACCACAGCCGCCAAGGGTGGGTATACTGTGACCGAGGATCCTCGTCTTTTTGATCCTTCATTTTTCGGAATCTCAGGCCTTGAAGCAGAGACCATAGATGCGTCACAACGCAAACTCCTAGAGGTTGTGTACGAGGCCTTTGAAAGTGCTGGGGACACTTGGGAGAGCATCAATGGGACACGCATGGGAGTATACGTTGCCGACATCTCATACGACAATTCCTATGCACAAACCCGGGACTGGGAATATGCGAGGCCACATGCCACCACTGGCGTCTGCCACAATATTCTGAGCAACCGCATCAATTATGTTTTCAATCTGCACGGCCCAAGGTGAGTGGCTCGTCCTTATATATACTCTACTCTCTCAACCAGAAGCTAAATCATCATATAATAGTGTCACTCTTGACAGTGCTTGTACCTCAGCCTTGTACGGCCTTCACATGGCAATGCAAGCTATTCGTGACGGAGATTGTGATTCCGCCATCGTGGCCACAGCCAATTGGATAATGGATCCAGCCATGCAGATAGCCATGGACAAGCTAGGAGCATTGTCAGGCACGTCCATGAGTCACGCATTTGATGCTTCTGCAGATGGCTATGCGCGGGGTGAAGGATTTGCCGCTATATACTTGAAGAAGCCCGAGAAAGCCATGAAGGATGGCTCTCCTATGCGCGCTCTCGTTCGTGGTAGCGCTATCGGTGCGAATGGCCGTTCAAGCGGCATCACCCATCCCAGTGGCTCCGCTCAGGAGGCAATCATTCGCAAGGCATACGAAAATACCGGTGGCCTGGACCCATCGCAAACGCCGTTCCTTGAGTGCCACGGAACTGGCACACGTGTCGGTGACCCCCTTGAAGTCGAAGCGGCCGGAAAGGTCTTTGGGCCTGGACGATCCGACGCGCCGGAGGACCGCCTACTCATCGGGTCCGTCAAGACGAACCTGGGTCACACTGAGGGAGCGGCAGCTCTTGCGGGAATCTTCAAGGCTGTACTCGCATTGGAGGCCGGTGTTATTCCGCCTAGCATTGGAGTCAAGACGCTGAACCCCAGAATCGACTTCGAGAAGGCCAAGGCTGAAGTAGTCACTGAGGTCATTCCATGGCCCGAAGGCAAGCTGCGACGAGCAAGTGTCACATCCGCAGGTTTCGGAGGTTCCATTGGACACTGTGTCCTGGATCACGTCAATATTTTATATCCGGATTATGTAAAGCCGGGAATCTTGGGCACCGCGACGCTCAGTGGCAGCTCGAGTAACCACTCTGTTGCGAATGGAAATGTTGCGACCCACACCAATGGCCATGCAAATGTTCATGCAAACGGTCACACAAATTGTCATGCAAATGGGAACAGCAACGGAATTTCGGCGACCAAGCACGTCGCGATTTCCCAACAACCCCATATAAAGGCAGCAGCCGATGCTGATACTCGCCAAATGGTGCTTTTACCATTCGCAGCACACAAGGATGCCTCTCTCAAGTTGAATATTGAGGCCCTGTTTAGTGTTATTGATCAGCACTCCTTGGCAGATGTCGCGTACACCCTAGGAGCCAGGCGATCGAAGCTTTCTCAACGAACCTTCCGTGTTGTGAATAAAGATGACGCTGCGCAGGGGCTTTTGAATGACATCCAAAAGACCTTCACAGCTGCACCCGAGACTCCAAGGCTGGGGTTCGTTTTCACGGGCCAAGGAGCGCAGTGGCCCGCCATGGGTGCTGAGCTGTTCGAATACAGAATATTCCGCACTTCCATTGAGTATTTGGACAACATTCTTTCAGCTGTGGCCGGAAGTCGATCTTGGACGATTGCAGAAGTATTGTCAGGAAAGTCTGAGCCTAGCCTTGTGCAAACACCCGAGGTCTCGCAGACGGTATGCACAGCAGTGCAGATTGGCTTGGTGAACCTGCTCGTTTCTTGGTCTGTCTATCCTTCTGGAGTGGTGGGTCATTCTTCCGGCGAGATGGCCGCTGCATATGCTGCTGGTCGTATCAGTGCCGCGGAGTCCATCACAGCTGCGTATTTCCGCGGTCAGGCTGTCTCTCTGAACAAACAGCGTGGTGCGATGCTGGCTGTCGGTATGAGCCTAGAGCAGGCAGCTGGGTATCTCGAGGGCATCGAGCAGAACGTTAAAGTTGCCGCCATCAACTCGTATGACAGTCTTACCCTGTCTGGTGAACAAGATGCCGTCGAGAGGCTCTCGGCAACACTCAATGAAGAAGGAGTGTTCAACAGACTGCTCAAGACCGGCGGTAATGCTTACCACTCGCATCATATGGTCGCACTCGGCCAAGAGTACGAGACTTTGCTCTCAGAGGGCCTGGACCGCCTCCAAAGCCTTGGACTTCTCGATGAGCAGGATCGATACCCATGCATCTCCTGGGCCTCATCAGTCACACCGCACAAGGACATCGATGCAGACAGCGTGCTGGCAGCTTACTGGAGATCCAATCTCGAGTCTCCCGTTCGCTTCGCGGATGCAGTTACGAACCTAGTTCAGGACGAAGGTTTAAATATTGGAGCTCTGGTAGAGATTGGACCGCATCCCGCCCTGAAAGGGCCCGTGAACCAAGTGCTGAAAAGTCTCGGAAAGACTATCCCATACACCGGGTCACTCACTCGAGGAGAGGACAGTCGACGATCGATCCTGCAACTCGCTGGATCGCTATTTGGGATGAATGCGCAGATCAGTTTGGCCGCAGTGAATGCGACAGACGGTACGAGTCACGGCAAACCGGTCCTCACACACGGTACTATGGCCGTCGACCTTCCACCATATCAGTATGGCTATGGGCCAGTAAGCTACTACGAGAGCCGCGCCAGTAAAGAGTTCCGCCTTCGCAGTGTTCAAAGGCACGACTTGGTAGGCTCCAAGGTGGCTGGGAATGCAAAGCTCCGGCCCCAATTCCGCAATGTTCTCAGGATGAAGGATCTGCCATGGCTCGGCGATCACCGTCTAATCCCAGACGTTGTCCTCCCAGCAGCTGGCTATATGTGCATGGCTATGGTTGCCGCCTCACAGCTCTACGAGGAACTCCCAAACGCACTGCCCATCGCTGGCTTTTCGCTCCGCAATGTGGACATCAAGACGGCACTCAAGATTCCCGAGGATCAACACGGAGTAGAGGTGATGCTGAGTTTGGAGTTGGCTAGTGGAAGCACCGTGCAGGCTCCATCGTGGACGAGCTTCTCCGTCAGCTCCGTCGTTCGCGACTCGGAGCAATGGACCGAGCACTGCACCGGTCAGGTCAAGCTAGATGTCTCTGATGTTGTCCAGGCCAGCAAACTGTGCCTAGGAACCGAGTCTCGAGCTGTGGATTCACGAGCGTGGTATAAGACTTTCGCCTCCATCGGACTCGGCTACGGGCCTGCTTTCCAAGCCCTCTCAGCAATTCGTGCAGTGCCCACCGATAACCTGGCGTCGGCCAATCTCAACCTCAAGACAACAGCCGGCATGGTCAGAGGAGGCGAATCCGTGTATCCGATCCACCCCGCGTCGTTGGATGCCATGATCCAGCTTGGCCTGCTCGCTTGCCACGGGGGGCAAATAGACCAGGCTACTACGGCATTTGTACCCATCCATTTGTCACAATTGTATCTACGCACCGGTAATGATCAAGGCTGGGGAACGGCCGTCGCTCATGGTGAGTTACGGGGCCTGCGATCTGCCTACCTCCAGCTCCAACTGCAGAGCCAAGCAGGCGACTTGCTCCTCGATATCAAGGACCTTCGCTGTATCAGCTTTATGCTAGATGACCGATCGCCTGCCCAGGGTCACAGCAAGGCGTACGCCAGTCCATTCATGCGCATGGTTTATAAACCTGACTTCCGTGCGTTCAGCAGCCGGCAGGCACGCGGCCTGTTTCCACCTCCAACCGAGAACGCCTCCTGGGTCCCGATTTTAGCTTCTCTTGAGAGTATTGCGGCGTTCATCGCAGTCGATGTATACGATACGTTGATCAGCGTGGTTAGCGCCGAAACAGATACATCCAGAACTTTGGGACATTACCTCGCATGGTTGAAAAGACTTGTTGATGAATCTGGATCACCCCGGATCCTTGAAGTCAAAGCGCTCACTCCAGCCCAGCGTTCTCAGGTACTTGGAGAGCTTTACGAAGAGACCAGTGATGTACTCGAGGCGAAGGCTCTTCGGCGTCTGCATGAAAGCATGTCCGATATTCTGCAGGGCAAGAAGACCGGCGAAGAGGTCTTAGCGCTGGATGGACTGTTGACCGATCTCCTCGAGGATAGCCTGTTTCTCACTGGTGCCTATCCCCAGATCACGAGGCTCGTTGACAGCATTGGGCACGCCGATCCTAATACCAAGATCCTAGAACTTGAGGGAGGACGGGGACGCGTGGCTGGCTTAGTGCTAGAGGCCCTTAGCAGCACAAACGGCATCAAATGTTACCAGGATTACACCGTGACGGACAAATCCGAGGCCGCACTCCAGAGGGCTCAAGGCCAACTTGCCAGCTACCAGGATGTTGACTTCTCCGTGTTGGACATCAGGAAGGACCCACTTGATCAGGGATTTGAGCCAGTCTACGACGTGGTTCTCGCCTCGCAGGTCATCCACACGGCTTCGTCGGTAATTCCTGCTCTCAAAAACGTCAGAAAACTACTGAAGCCCGGTGGCAAGCTCATCCTGGCTGAGGTCACAGGAAACAGCGCCTGGGTCGGGCTCATCGGCGGCGCCCAGGCCGGCTACTGGCACGGGGCAGGGGATGGGCGCCTTGATGGACCATTCCTAGATATCACCGGATGGGATAGATCCCTGAGGTCGGCTGGCTTTTCGGGAATAGACGTGTCTTTAGATGATTACCCATCTCCGACAACGCATTCGAATGTCTTGGTTTCGACTCGCATCATCCCAGACGCCTCTCCTTCGTCCGGGGAGGTCTGGCTGCTCCACGGAAAGAGAGCCCCGGATTTGCTGAAGCAGCTCGCAAGTGAGCTGGATAGTCGCAACTTAGTTACAAAGACCCTGCCGCTAGATAGTGTGCTGACCAACCTGCCTGCCGAAGCACGCGTGATTGCCTTTTTAGACGACGAGAACCTATTGTTGGATACCAGCGAGCTGACCCTGGATATCTTCAAGTATCTCGCGCATAACACGGCTAGTATGGTGTGGTTGACGTCGACTGGCATGGCTCAGGGCCACAACCCCGACGGAGCAGTGGTGGTAGGCCTCCTACGCACGATCTCAACGGAGGCACCGACAGGCCGCTTCTTCTCTGTCGACATCGATGCCGATCACTTCGATGTCGGAGAGTTGGACACGAACGAGCTGATTCGTGCTCTCGCGGACAAGGAGCAGGGACTTCAGCAGCCAAACTATGACCAAAGTGAAGACCGCGAGTTCGCCTGGCACAGTGGCTGTCTGTGGATGAGTCGGCTGGTCCCCGAAGCCGCGTTGCACGGATATGCAGAGCGCAGTCAGACACCAGCGACCCACGGCGCTCAGCTCTTGCCGCTTGACAGCCAGGGACCGGTGCGCGCCGCTTTCGAGACGCCGGGAATGCTCAGTTCGCTCTACTTCAAGCCTTACACCGAGCTGGCCCAACCTCTCCCGCGGAACTCGATTGAGGTCAAAGTAGCCGGCGTGGGACTCAATTGGAAGGATTTGGCACTCTCAACGGGCCGCTTCGACATGAACAACCTTTCCTCTGAATATTCCGGTGTCATCACGAGCGTCGGTGCGGATGCGGCCTCTCGCTTTGCCGTAGGCAATTTAGTATACGGTCTAGGCGAGGGCCACTTTGGTAACTATACACGCGTGCCTGGCGCCCTCGCGCAGAAGGCGCGCGATGGCGACGATCTGCTCGGCGTTGCTACGATGCCGGTGGTCTTCATGACGGCCATATACGCGTTTGAGCATCTGACGCGCCTGCGCCGGGGCCAGAAAGTCCTCATCCACTCTGCGTCCGGTGGTGTCGGTCTCGGTGCAATCCAATTGGCACAAGCCAAGGGTGCTGACGTTTATGCGATGGCCGGCACGCCAGAGAAAGTACGCTTCTTGGTTGAGGAGGTTGGCCTCCCATCGTCACACGTGTTAACGCGTGAGCCTGAGGAGTTGGCGCGAGCCACCGTTGCCACGGGCGGCTTTGATGTAGTTCTAAGTACGGCCCAGGGTAATGGGCTGTATGACTCAATCAACGCGCTCGCTCCCCTGGGCCATCTCATTGACCTCGGTCGGGTGGATGTCAATAGCGCCAGAGCAATTGGTCTGGAGCTGTTCCAGAAGAGTGCCAGCTTTTCGTCCTTCGATCTCGCTCGGCTGGTGCGTCGTGACCTGGGTCTTGGAGCTGAGCTCATGCAAGCCGTAGATGAGCACTATCGGGCTGGGCATATCCGTCCCATCCATCCCATGGCAGTCTCGGATATCTCCCAGCTCGATCAGACGCTGCTTGGTTTCTCCAAGGGAACCCATGTTGGTAAGCTGGTAGTGAGCTTCCAGGATCCTCACACGCTCGTCAGGATGGTACCAGCATCCCCGGCGGCCCGATTTGACCCCGAAGCTTGCTATGTTGTCACCGGCGGCCTGAGTGGTTTAGGGCGGTCAATTATTCAATGGATGGGCAGCCGCGGCGCTCAAGAGATCGTGGTATTGTCTCGCCGTGGTCCCCACGCCCCAGACGCGCAGACACTCGTCAATGCACTGGCTAAGCGTGGGGTGCGTGTCCACCCTGTCGCTTGTGATCTGAGCAGCTCGGAGCAGGTGGTGCGGGCCATCAAAGAAGCATCCTCCATTCTGCCGGTCAAGGGTATCGTCCATTGCGCGGTGTCATATCAGGACATTTCCTTCCATAAGATCTCCCTCGAGGGCTGGCGCGATGGTCTCGCCGCCAAAGTGCGCGGAACATGGAATCTGCACGAAGCCACGAAGGCCCTGCCGCTGGATTTCTTCGTCATGACCACGTCGATCCTCTCGGTCCTCAGCTTCGCCACTCAGGGTGCCTACACCGCCGCCAACAATTTCCAGGATCAGTTTGCGCGCTATCGCCGCCGCCAGGGCCTTCCCGCTACAGCCGCCCAGTTTGGATTGGTCAACGATGTCGGTCACCTCAGTACTGATCCCCTGACACTCGACTTGATGACTCGCAATAAGGTTCTTACCGTGTCCGAGAGATACTTCCTTCGCCTGCTGGAACCAGCGTTCCTCGGCGATGTTAGCTCGCAATTCACTAGCGCTGCAGTCGACCCATTGGCAGCCGCGACATATGTGACCTACATGGATCCGGCGCACATGGCCCAGAAGGAGCGAGAGAATACCGAAATTGGAATCCGCAGTGTCGCCCAGCCACGCTGGTACAATGACGCGCGTGTATCACACGTGATTCGTGGGTTCGACGACGCGATGCGCCATAATGGAGGAGATGAGAACTCAGGATCGGCCGGAGGCCTGGAAGGTGAACGCTCTACCACTGCACGAAACCGGCGCGAATTTGATGATGCGGTTGGAAAAACACGTACCGCATCTGACGGGAATGAAAAGCTTGAGCTGCGCGCCCTGGCGCTGCAGCTTACTACAAGTTTGATTGCCACCACAGTCGCGACAATGCTGCTGATGGATCTATCAGCTGTCAATACGGCTCGCGCTGTGTCTGACCATGGTGTGGACAGTCTCATTGCGGCGGAGCTGCGCAACTGGTTCCACTTGGCTCTTGGATCCAAGATAAGCATGGTAGATCTGCTGGACCCGCGCACCAGTATCAATGCCCTGGCGGCAAAGGTGGTTGATGCTGCTGTGGACTTTCAGGGATGAATGGATGACAAGGGATTATTGTTGGCATCAGATAAATGACATTGATAAAGTAGTAAAGCACTGCTGTCAGAGTGATATGATGTTAGAATTAGAATGAACAAACGGCGCTTTTGATTGAGACACTACCTGCCTAAATATTCCTAGGCTTAAGGCTGGTAGATCTTATTAGGCAAGTAGCAGGCGATCCCAATTTTTCAGCACTTGCCTTTTTCCGCGGCCATGTGATGAACAACTCGGAGAGACGCGACTTGGAATATGTAAGCATGGTACATTGCAGAGCCGGCGTGTTCTCGGAAGCCGTCACTCTTCACGTGAGGATACACATAACGTGATTAAGCACCAAATGTCCTGCAAATGTCATATCAAGGAAATTACGGTTTAGATTCCCTTGTGGCTAGTGGTAATCATCTCAAAGCAGATGTTCCTGGGAGAGCCAGTCGGGCAGACCGCCCCAGCCCAGTCACTGTCGACGCGCACGTGACAGATGCTTCCCCGACCCGTTCAACGCGTTCTTTCCACTCTACGAGCCATTCGATTATCGCATCTCAGCGCAGCTAGCTGTCTGTACTGTACAGGTCACGCCTATCATGGCTGATTCTTTCACCCTTCCCCTGCGCCCACTCCGGGAGCAGAACGACCGTCCAGACACCCTCCCTGTCGAGATCTCCCAGATCAACAAGCAGTGGGGTTCTTTTCGAGATGTGAATGAGGAGGTTCTTAGAGCCAAGATCGCCGAAGAAGAGAAGCGCAATGGTGCGCTGCAGCAGGAGGAGGACGAGGACAGCGGCGGACAGGAGACTGGAGACATTGATATGACCGAGCGCCGCGAGCAGCTGTTCAAGCGACGCAACGATATCACCCAGTTCGCAGTGTTGGTTATTTCGGCACCAGAGACGGACGACTGGGGGGAAATACAGCTAACGGAATTGAAACAGACAATCACATATGGAAACCATGTTCGCTCTTGATTTCATTTCGCTGTTGCTGTCGAAGCATGCACCGCGCCAGGCCGAAACCTCCATGTCTCCATTCCTCAAACAAGTTGCGCCCCTCGGCTCCCTCGACTCCGAACTTGTCAATCCTCCACCGAAGCCAGAATCAGCTATGAAGGACATTGCGACTGTCTCAAGAGGATGGAGGATTCAGAACTTCAATTCCGCCTCGAGTAAGCTATTGAGCGCCGCCACCAGACTCGAAGGTGAAATCAAATCGGAGACCCGATACTGGAATGAAGTGCTAGCTATCAAAGATAAAGGATGGAAAGTTTGCAGGCTTCCGCGGGAGAAACAAGCATTGGGTGTGCAGTATGGATTTATAGAAGGTGCGTTTATCTACAACCTGGCGCAGCCCACAAGGTATCCTCTAATCATATCACAACAGCTACACCTGTGTTTCGTGATCGCGGGCTGGCTTCACTTCGACGAGCTCATGATGGGAGTTTAATTCTGGACAAAGGACTGATACCGTCGGGAGCCCGACATGTTCGGGTCCGCGTACGACAAGGATCCCAAATCTTTGAGAGCTTCAAGCCACATAGAACTGGATCCAACGATGCAGAATCTATCGAGCATCGTATTCTCCAAGCGCGAGATTCCGTTTTCGAGGAAGAGCTCTTTCACGAATTGGTTCGAGAGGCCAGGGCTATGGCAAGTTTTGGCGTGACTACGCGACAAGACCTGATCCGAATTCCCGCCTTTGATGACGTGGAACTCTTGCTAGATATTGTGGAGGCCGATACGGATAGCATCCCTACTGAGCAGAACTCTGCGCATGATGACAGTCAACTGGCAGATGGACTGGCACATTCAATCCGTATTCTACTGGCATTTGCTCATCGACAAAATTTGCGCCGACGAACCCAAGTCCCACGTCCATTAACCACGAACAAACGCTTGACACCCGAGTATCATCTCCTTCGCCCCGCCCTGGCTTACCTGCAACATTTGTCGCATGTAAGGTGGCTAGAATCTTTTTTCCATGACATCTTCTCTGTCTTGCGATCTTCCGGCTTGGAAATGCCTGAGTGGACTTCGAACACATTCGCCAGCTGGAAGGTGGCACAAAATCCATCCTCCCTGGTTACACTCGAAGCGCTTGTCGAGAAGTTCCTCCGGCCGATCGAGTCTGTTTTCAACGGCAGTCTTCTCACATCTCCCGGCTCGTTCGCCGTCACGATTCGAACCAACTTGTCATCACCGCCCTTTGGCACCAACTACGATGTATCGTTGAAACTGTCAACGATTTCAGATCTCAAGTCCCCCGGCCGCCTTGGCTTGAAGGACGAGGTCGAAGCGGCCATCTCACACCTCTTGCTCCTTGATGTGGTCTCAAGCATTTCATCGAAGGAGCTACCAGCTGGCCAAAATGGCCCCGAAGAGGATATCTCAAAGAATCGAAGATGGAATCCAGTGTATCCCCACCTAGGCGAGTTACTGCTGCCCCATGTCAATCCCGAAAAACACAAGAAGATGAAGATCACTCTTTCTCGCCATGAACTATCCCTTACCACCTACATTGTACGCAGCATCGATGGGATTGGCCGGGGCACCCGGGAACAACGGTCACACAATGCGGAGGCGCATACCTGCAAATTCCCCAAGCCGCCCGTGGGCACCCCCGGTGCTCAAGAGCATTCTTCGATCATGGACTTTGTTGTTGCAGAGGCATCCGATGCCCATTCGTGACTTTAGCCGGACTGGCGACTGGTGTTCCATGGATTCAACTGCAATCATCCACCGTATCCATACATTTTATCCGCCGGCTTCAGCCGTTACCACCGTCAGGATCCACATTGCTAGGGCCCATGGTTTAGTGGTATAATGCTCCTTTCGCATGATCAAATGAAGACTAGGAGAGGTCCGGGGTTCGATTCCCCGTGAGTCCAGCATCTTTTTTTTTACTCTTGGTTTTCTTCTAGTCGATATTCCCGCCCGACAAGAGAATGGCGTCTCAGGTATGGCGGGGCCTGCAAAGATTTTCAAAATGCATTGGCAGGCGCTGGACAAGCTGATACCCTTATTATTTACGTCAACTCAAAGCTAAACAGCATAATAATCGAATCACCTGGGTAATCATATGATTTACTATGATTACCCATATCGATATCTAGGTAGTAAGTTGCTGTTCAACAGTATCTATTCTGTGCAAGCCGATCACCATCGGCGGTGTAGGGAGACGATAAACTTGTTATACCGCAGCAGAAATTATTCATAACTTTGAGCTTAGCGCTTTGACCGCTTCGAGGGGTGTAAGAATACTCTGTAATCTCTTTTCGCTCACTTCATAGGCACCAGGGAGCCAGTCGCGTACATTCTCCCCTAATATCATTAAAGCCAACGCCTCTCCGCTCATGAGACAATTAGCCATCCCATAGCCATTGAAAGCGGCAGCAATCCATTCTCCCTCACCACGTCGCCCAGTGAGAGCTAAGGGCAGTTGCCCAATCAGGGGCAACCCATCTGATGAGAAGCCCATGATTCCAGCCCAAGAACTAACCAGCCTCCAAGGTGGATTGTCCCTCTTTCCAAAAAACCGTGGGAGGACCGATTGGAGATGGCTGACCGAATGGTGGCTAACAAAACTGTCATCCGCTGATACAGCTTCGTCCATCCGTGCGTTTTCGCCTCCGAAGTAGAAATAGCCTGTCTTTGCGCTTTGGCCCAGGTAGTATAACCCATATCCATGACGCTCAGTGTCTGGGTCATAGATGGGCGGATAATGGAAACCCCATGACACGGATGTTCCCTGGTTAGGCACTGAAGTACCCGGGTCTTGAACTGTCATGGTTCCTTTGAATGGATGGATGCGACCCCGCAAGTTAGGGGAGGAGATGCCCGCTATATCCGTTGGTACAATGAATCACACTGCCTGCTCTCATTGGCCCACGAGGTGTGCGGACTGTATAAGGAAATATGGAGGTTATTGGTGTTGAAAAATTCTCATTGTGTTCGACAGAGTCGACGGGTGTGTTGGTCTCAATAGTGAGTCGGTCGGGGTATTTCTTCAATAAAGCATCAAAAACCTTTGTGACCAAGCGATATGGCCATACAGTACTAGCGGGAAGCAAGGCACCACCAGCAGAGTTATGGACTCCGTAGTCCTGCGGATATTAGTGACGGACTATTTCATGCAGAATAGTTCACAGCAATTGCTCACTCTGAGTAGAGTGTCCGCATCAAGGATCGTGTAAAAGCCTTTCATCGAAGGATGATCGGCTTCCAGCCGGGCAATACTCTCTTTAAAGTTATTAAATTTGCCCTCGGTCAAGAAGACACGCAATTTCTTCAAGCGCTGCATCTCACTCATCTCGACAGCATCGTATTCTTCTATCAGCTCTTGCATCTTTTGCAGGTTGCGAAGTGTAAATTTCACAATCTTGCCGGCCATTTGAGGGCCATGAATTTCCGCAAGATGCATATATTCCTCTCCTGCGTTGGCTGTCATTTGACCGCCATTGCGCCCTGTCGCCCCGGAGCAAATTGTACGAGCTTCCAAGACTGTGACTGTTGTGGCCGAATGATGCTCTAAAAGGGTCATAGCGACAGAAAGGCCAGTGATGCCGGAACCAATGACGGCGTAGTCTCTTTCACTTGGCAGATTCGCCGACTGTACGTTAGCGAGAGCATGTGGGATACGTTGCCAGTATGCTTCTGTTGGGTTTGGACGTGGGAGACCTGGATCAACCGTAACGAGTCTAGCTGTAATAAAATGTTAGCCACATTCTTTATGAAGAAGCCTTGTACTGAATAGGTGACCCTAATGCCATATCAAGCAAGTTGCTTTGGGGTCCGGGGTTTCGGGTCAAGATACCGAGCTCTTTGTCAGATGTCATTGTGGAGTTTCGCGTGCAAAATGAGAACACAGAAGCATAGCAGTCCAGCTCTGTAAGATTCAAGAATTCAGACAATGGAGAATCCAAAGCTAGTCTTGGGTTATAGAAGGATATCAACGTTTTGTGTCGTGCGGGGTCATCTTATCGATAGGTGACACGGGTAGAGTTGCCTGGTTGGGGGTTGACCAGTGGCCCTTGGCTAGTGTCAGAGTATCTCCGGCGGGGATTATTCAACCAGAGACTGTGGCAGCCTGACCTAGAACAAGCTAGAACAGAGTTGTGGCGTGTTTTCATATTTGGGGCCGTTGATCACTACGTCTCTCTCCTCCCCCATCCTCACAAAATTCTTGCATTCGGCCCATGCGACAGTTAGCGCCAATCCGACCGGGCGGCTCTCGGCGAAATTTACCGCAGACAATGATTAGCCCGGAAGTTATGGCATGAGATGACATCCTTTCTAGGGAACGACTAACCCCTTACAGAATAGATCACATGGCTGCAAGATATGCTCCGAACATAAAGGCCTTTTGAGGGGTTTCGGCTTCCAGAATCGTTCACCAAACATGTCATCATCTTCGCGTTCTTTCACTCAGTCTCCATGGAATCAAAAGCGTTTACGGTGTAGCAAGTTCCAATGTGTGCAAGAACGTGGATATTTGGTATGCAGCATGGCGTAATTGCATGCCAGCTCGCATTCCACTAGGAACATGCGGGGCCAAGCTTTTGGGGCAGACGAAGGAATGTAATACATTGTTTTTCTTGCAAATCTTCTAAGCAAGAGAGAGGATTTAAAATCGCTACTTTCCTTCTTGTCCTGCTCATCACTGAAAATCCTCGTCATTAGTTTTAAGTCACGTTCTCAGATTTCAAGATGAGATTCTCCTCAGTTGTCCTTGCTCTCTTTGCGCTAGCCTCAACTGGCCTGGCAGACAAATCCTGTACCCCTAGCTTCGACTACTGCTCTGATGTCTTGATCGCGTCTAAAGGTAAGCAGAAGGCCTGAATGTTAGAATGGCTTTGGGCTAATTCATATAGGCTTCACTGAGGCGGATCTGGAGGATGTCCTGAAGGGCACCGACCTCGAAAATGAGGATGTCGCGAACATTCTCTTCCATTGCACAAACCCCGGCATTGTTGGCCACCCGAAGCTATGCAGTAGTGGATGCAAGGATCCGGCCCAAGAGGGAAGCCACCAGTGCGATGGGTAAGCTGTATTCCAAATCTCTCCACTCATTTTTGGGGTTTTGGTGCTGACAATAGGTAATCTTAGCTAAATCCTATATTATGCGAGACCATTCCACTTGCATGCATCATACCAGTAAACGCGATATTTACATCCAATAGACTAGCTGCCAAACTCATCATCCATCCAACCTTCCTTATATCTCATGTAAAGGGATTTGGAATATACTGTGGAAGACATCATGAACACGACCTTAGGCACGGGTCTTGCTATAGCGTCAGTAAGAGAATTTTTCACCCGATATCGCTATAGTTCCGCATCCGATCGATCTAAAGCTCCCCAGCCAGAATTATTGGCGGGTGTGCCTGCCCCACGTAGAACGCAGAATACCCCTGAGCCACCAAGAAGATTATTACTCATGGACTACTTTCTGCACGGGGTGGTATCCCCCTCCCCGATGAGGGTTTCGGGTCATTGAATCGATTCACAAAGTTTAATTGTCTCGGAGATTGACCGTTAGCGATTCTGCAAATAGGTTAATCTAGGGTCAATCTTGCCTTGCGGCCACCCGATTCGCACATGCTTATCTGCGGAACAGCGCCAAGCCGCAGCTTATCTGGGGGCGTGACGGTGATTAGGTTATGCATATTGCTCCCCCCCCAAAGACTCCGATAAGGCGCCGTTTCTATATGTGATATCGCAATCCCAGTAGCATGATGGGAAATCAACTTTCAAATTATCTCTTTTTCCATGGCGGATTCTACTGAATCGTCCGCAAAGCCCCATGTGGCCACAATCATGGCGGATTCTACTGAAGCACCAAAGCCCCATGTGGTCTCAACCATCGCTAGTGTTGATATCGACCCCCAGGCAGAGCGGGCATTGGTCTGGAAATTCGATCTTCGTCTGCTGCCCGTTCTGGCAACCATGTACCTCTTCAATAGTCTTGATAAGTCCAACCTAGGAAACGCAAAGACGGATGGGCTTGAAGGTGATACCGCCATCCTACTATTCGCCGTGATCCCGTCTAACATCTCGTGTCACCAGAAACGCTCCATCTCAAAGATAACCAGTACAATATGCTTCTGAGCATTTTTTTTGTGCCGTACGTCCTGACGGCACCTTTTCTTGGCTTACTGGGGAAAAAATATGGCCCGAATATCGTCCTTCCAAGCATGATGCTTACCTTCGGTTTATGCACTATTTTGGTGGTTGCCGTGTACAACTTCAGTGGTCTTTTTGCTATCCGGTGGTTTTTGGGAATGTCAGAGAGTGCATTCTTTCCTTTGGTGATCTACTACCAGACAACGTAAGTTGAATAGTTCTGAAAATATTTCTTGGGGGCACAGACTGATTATCATTTTAGTTTCTACCGCCGAGGTGAACTTGCCCGTCGACTAGCCATCTTCTATGCTGCACAAAGCATTGCCTCTGCATTCTCTGGTTTATTAGCGTTCGGCGTGTTCCGCATAGAGACCGGTCCATTAGCGTCATGGCGCTACCTGTTTCTAATTGAGGGTGGGGGCACTGTGCTCTTTGCCCTTTTTGCCCTGTGGTACCTGCCCAGATCCGCCTCCGAAGCCCGATTCTTGACACCTGAGGAAAAGGAGCTTGCATATCTTCGACTCCGCATCGATAGTTCCTCTGTCGTGAATGAGAAGTTGAATATCCGGGATGCCTTCCGGATCTTCAAGCACTGGACTAGTTGGGCCATTTTGGCTATCCAGATCTGTCTTGGTGTGCCACTCCAAGGAGTGCAACTGTTTCTGCCCGTCATTATCAAGCGCCTTGGCTACAGCACCGTCAAAACTAATTTATACACCGTGGCACCTAATGTGTCGGGTGCCGCCATGTTGCTCATTCTGGCCTTCTGCAGTGACTGGACCAGATGGCGATTCCCCTTTATTGCACTGGGCTTCCTGTTCACTTTTGTGGGCTTTATCATTTACGCAGCCATTGATGTTGAGCATGATCTAAGTGTTGCTTACTTTGCAACTTTTATGATGACTTGGTAAGTTCGATTGACTCGTACGAGTGATCGACCTTTTGCTAATGAGTCTTTCAGGGGTACATCGGCACCTTCTGTTCTCCTTGATTCTTGGTACAATAATAACGTTGCCAATGAGGGACGACGTGTCGTTCTGACTAGTATTGCTGTCCCAGTCGCCAACCTCATGGGAGTGGTCAGCTCCAACATTTTCCGCAGTCAGGATGCACCCAAGTATCTTCCAGCTTTGATCACTACCGCTGCCTTTGGCGGCACTGGAATTATTTTGACTTTGGCTCTTGGTCTTTGGATGATGATGGATAATAAAAAAAGAGACCGGAGGCAGGGTGTCCATGTCAAAGCAAGGGATATCGCTACTGAAAACCTAGATGACGGGCCTGCAAGTGACGACTTCCGGTGGTTCTATTAATGGGATACAATATTATATCTTTGATGATAATGACGTTTGTTTTATGGCTATTTGCCAAGTCTTTCCAATTCAACTTGTACAGAAGAACAAATTTTTTATCTCACTTTTACTCCATTTTGCCTTGTCCTATTCATGTGACCCAGTTTCTTCACCGTTCCCCGTCGAGGGTTCACGCCGAGTCCCACTTCCAAATAACCGGCGATGGCTTGTTATTCAAAAGCGTACCTGCTAGGTGTATTGCCCATTCATTGGTCTGCACCTGGACTTTTAAACGCCTCTTGTTTGAGAACTGACTATGTCATAAACTTGTGGGTATCCTTGATCAGGACAGGACCTACACACGATGAGAAATCTTGATGAAGGCAAAAGGTCACGGTCAGATACTGCTGGATTGATTGTCAAGAGCCACTAAATTAACATGAATATCGGGCACATAATAAGACAACCTCCTATTTGGTAACTGGCAATGGCAACGCTTACCATCGCTGCCACTAGAAGGAAGAGTCAAGGTGGAAAAGTATGAATCCCCCAGGCATATTGCGAATACCCCAGTATGATCAGTCAGCAATTTCATAACCGACGTTGACTCTTACATCTTCAGACCTCGCTTATACCTATCCAATATTAGAGCGAACTTTCTGCTAATTGAAATTCTTTTGACTGCCTAGTTGACATGCCGGTCAAGGGTTAGTGCACCAGCCTCAAGTTCTACCACCCGACTTCTTGCCCATCGTACTGATTGTTTCCTAGTGGGTTCTCCCAACCTGGCACATGGATGTTCACAAACTTTCCATTTTGGTGGGGGCCTGTCTGTTGTAAAATATCCACAACCTTCTCTGCTCCAGTTTCGACGGGCAGATCTGCCCGAGAGCTGCCGAGGTCGGTACGCAACCACTGTTCAGGTCAGCAAGCAAAGCTCAAACTTTTCAAGGTGTGATATAGGATACTGACACCAGGAGTGACGGCCAAGAAGGTAAAACCGTCGGGCTCGTATTGCTGGGCGTATTGAACAGTCAGCATGTTCAACGCGGCTTTTGTAATCTTATAGGCAGGCGTGGGAGATTGCCTGTAAATTTCAGCCTTTGCGAAGGAGCCCAGAGTTGTCGATCTAAACCGCATTAGCCTCGCTTGCTCGTTTATGTCAGAAGCACGCATACTCGCTCACATATTGATAACAATCTTTTTCTTTCCTTTCCTGAGAAGAGGAAGAAAGGCCTGTGTCACGTTATGAACGGAGGTGACGTTTGTGTGGAAAATGTCGTCGAGGTTATCCCTACAGACATCATGTCAGACAGAATGTTCGACAGTGCAATTCAGTTCTTACATTCCCGCCAGCCCGTCTGGAGACCGGTCCATCAAACCAGCGTTGTTGACGAGATAGTCGAGCCCCTTCCCATGTAACTTTCCCTCGACCAGATTCGCCGCTTCTTGGACGCTAAGTTTGTTGGTCACATCTAGCTTGACTATTTCAACTCGGCCAGAAGAGGCATCCACAATTTCCTTTAGTTGTGGCGAGTTGTCCTGGCGCGCGGTCGCGATAATCTTGCCCACATCGGCTGCGGGCAAGGAGGCAAGGCGGGAAATGAGAGCCAGGCCAAGACCACGCGATGAACCGGTCACCAAGTAAGACGCCATGAGATGTATGTAGTGTTGTTGGCTGGTCGTTAGGTTAGCTGTCGTTGATGGGAGTTATCCATCCCGCCCTTCAACCCGGTGGATGGCGGCGCATCTTGACTTCGCAATCTCCGCGTTAACTCCGCGCTTGCGGCCTCCACAAATCGGGACCCGGATCTCAGAGGCCGTTGATTATTCAGAGTGAGCATTTGTCTGCATTTTTGACGGGGCCTCGGATTAGCTCCAGCACGCAAATTAGTGACTACAAATCTAGAAGTGACTTCTACAGTACTTGCTTTTCTCAAGCCAACAACCGCATCAGACCACCATGTAGGCCGAGGGTCTTGAAGCTATTACGTCATCGACATTATAAATCTCCCGCGAAAGTAACCTTCATGTGCTTGCAAACACGCAAAATCAAAGAACTCGATATCTACGGGTATAAATATATCGAGGTGTCATGGAAGGCTCGACATGAGCATCAGCTGGATGCATTGGTCACTGCTCCAACAGATATATTTGTATTGAAGTTCACGTCTGAAAACATAGAATCGTTTGTCGAACGTAGCGATATCGGTATAGGCTAGTAAGGGAGATGTTCAATGAGATTGCGATGAAGATCAGATTGATGGATGATGGTAGAGAAAGTCAGCGGGTGCTGTTGCAAGCTTCCCTATGGTGCGTACGGGCGCACTGATCGTCCGTAAGATCGATACTTGGCGGTTATAACGCTCGAACTCATGAGTAATCCAGAAGTATATTATACAAAAACATAAAAGAAGGCACTTGATGAATAAGCCCGTTCTTAATGGTAAGTTACGTTCCACATATTTCGACATCGTGAAATATTAATATGTAAAAAGAAGGAAAATGGCCGAAATGCAGCTTTACACCCTTTCACTTACAGCCACTTGTTCGGTCTGGTCTCTCACCGGGATGTTTTCAACATCGGGTTCGGGCTCACTGTGGCCAGTAGCATTGGTAGCTTGGGTGGGCTGAGTGGTGCGGTTATACGACCAGCTGTCCGTCCCGAGAGAGCTTGGGAATCCAATTCCTCGGATGAATGCCCTGCGGTGACTTCGAGGGCCCCATGCCCAACCTGCTCCACGGCGGATGGGAATGTAGTACATTCGGAAACCGATATAGGCAAAGACGATTCCAATGAGAGATCCAGATATAACATCAAACCCATGGTGCCGGTAGTTGAACCAGCGGGATGCTGAGATGAAAAATGCCGTAGCAGTGGGTACGAAAGCGAGGATCATCAGCAGCACAGGGGGTGCGGCACCACGCGTGCGGACTGAACATCGGTCATCGCTATGATCTTGTCCCTCGACTGGGAATTGAGGCAAGTAGGGAAATCCGACAGAGAGTTTCGCAACTAGCCATAGTGTCAGATAGCCAAGTCCGGCGAAAGAAACTAGCGAGGTATTGAATGAGCAATTGTTCGTCAGGTCACTTCAGGATCAGTACTCACAGGATGAATGGCCACTAGGAAAGCTGGCGAACCCATCAACGCGCAGGTTGTAGGATTGATCCCGGCAGATCCCCCAGTCCACCAGAACCGGGGCCCCCTCAGGGCGCTCACCGAGGCCGCCGACCACATGCTGGGCGATTGTGCTGACATCTGGGTCACATCGTGCCAGCAGATCCGGACGTGGCTTTCCGAGCAGAGTCTTCAATCCTTGTGTAGACATCCAGGCGCCTGCCAGAGCAAGAGCCAGTCCCATCCAACCCACATTCCACTCCCAGAGCGTGCGGCGCAAGAGCTGCGATTTGGACGACTTTGTGCCCGCGACCGTAGCGGTACCCGAGATGAGCAACAAAGTCCCGATTAGGATAATGATGGCTGGCGCAAACAAGCCGACAAGGACAAGGGTCTCGTTGGTGACAGTCTCATGCTCGGTGTAGGGGAAGGAGATGGTCGGGTCCGTGAGGGAGAAAGGGTGCTGGTTGGGATCCAGCTTATAGAATCCGTAGCCGATCAGGGCGACTCCACTATTCGATCAATGGGTTAAAAAGCTTCCAAGATATTAATGCCGGCCGGACGTACACGATGAATACCCAATCAACAATATACGACAGCACCAGTAGCTTCGAGATGTGCGCGAGCGCATCCTTGGCGGGCATTGCGCCTGTTCCGTGCTCCAGACTGATTGTGCTATACTCGCCCATATAAGTGGTTTATATATCCCAGCGATCACGCAACCGCCTATTGCAGCCTACCAGATAAACAAATTCCCAGTGATACGCGCGGAATGGGATGACGTCGATGCTGCAAGCTCGTGTTTAGCCTGTGGCGCTAGGCAACAATCCCCGGGCGGCGGGGCAGGTTGCAACCCAATTTCGAATGAATTGCAAGGAATGCCGGGGGGCGTGAGAAAGGCGTGAGGGTCTCGAGGGGCTCGAAGTGGGCAAGAGGAAAGCAAAGTAGAAGAAGCAGAGGAAAAGAGGGTCCAAGGGGAGGAAGAAATGAGTGGGGTTCTAGGCAGCTACAAATCGATCCCCTTGGTGTGCGCCAAGCGGCGTGGCTGAGCACGACGAGTTTAATCCCCAACTTGATTCCCAAAAGGGCATGCCGGCAGGTGCACGTGTGGAAGAGCTTGCCTTTGTTTCGCTACTAACTAAGTTGCGTGTCTATTATGATTTATGATCCATGGACTGTGGTGGCGATCGTGCGCAAAGCTTGTTTGCGGAAATGTTTGATGGACTACGGCTTGGACTGGCTTTGTTTATTTGTTTACCTTCCTCCATACTCCTATAGTGTACGGAGTGCGTCACGGTGGCATCGGAGTTACGGCCTCGCATCCACGACCGGTGTGCGCGCTGCTAGTAGGCCACATTATAGTTTGAAATGATATCCTCGTCCACGCTCACCTTTACCGGGCCCGTTGCTCACGCACGGCGTGTTTTTTCCACGTGAGCCACACACCGGCGGAAGACCAGGGCAGTTCCAACGAGGGCAGAAATTAAAAAGGCCAAGTAATACCGCGCCTGTATTTCTGAGGATTGTAGTCGGCTGGGATTGCAGCGCCAGGGCCATAATCTCGGGGATCGAATCCCAACTGGATGAGCTCCGGCCCGTCCAAAGCGTGTAGACGGTGAGAGGCACGACCACCACGCAATGGATATGGCTGGCAAAGTTACCGACCGAAATGATGCACGGCTTCGCGGTGCGACCGGACACGGCGGATCAGGATACCAGCACATGCAGCATTATCTCGACCGAACCATGTGGGCCCGCGACTGCCGTAGTTGGTAGAAACGCGGCAAGGTCGATGGCCCGATAATAGCCATCTATGGCGACAGGTCGCGCTCCCTTTTCATGGAGGCAATCAAGAATCCTCGGTTTGGTTATTGCCATCTTGACCGCCTTAGGTTCCGAGGGCCAAGGCCAGCCGATTGGCGCAATTCAGCGACGGTTTCACCACGCAAAAGCCCGGGGTGGGCAGCATGAATGCAATACAAACGCCGAATTTCGAGGATTATTGGCAGCTGTTTCCATGTACTTCCTGGGATCCCAATCTTTTCCAACTTTATCTACCAGTGTAGATTGACCGTGCACCAGCTACCTCCAGTAGAGCGGGCGATGTGCCATTAACACACTCTGCCTCTAATATATATCTTAACCACCTGAACTTCAATTGAGACTGTATATTGCAAATAGGTTCAAAATATGACACAATTCCCAAAACATATCATACTGTGACTACATCAGCAACCAAAGCCCTGGGTATATGTTAGAACCAAGGTGTTTGTCGGGTATCCCAGCTGTTAGCCCTTGCGAAAAGGTCTGCGGTCCTGTCGGCGTATCCCTCGAACCATTTTTCTCTTGGGCTCCTAACTTACTGGGTACTAGGTGGACCGATCCACATATGTAGATTTACACCGAGATGATTGCCATCTTCCAACAGGAAAATCATTAATGGTCTCTTAAATTTGCAGCTTTACTAGGTACCAGTGTTTTCGTTATATACGTGATAGGTTGCATTTATAACCTCCTGAAAGATATCAATATTACGTTCGGCTGTATAGCATTACATGTTGACTCTTTATATACACCTGGGCTTGTGGTTTAGTGGTATAATACTCCCTTAGCATGGGAGTGGTCCGGGGTTCGATTCCCCGCGAGTCCAGAAATTTTTTGACTTTTTGATGGCCACAACGGATATATATACCCGTAATGGGTCCGGTCCGACTTTGTGTTAACATTACTATAGAGTTGCAGCTAAGCTACTTAGGACCTAGCTAGAACAGTAGGCGCTCAGAAATACATGTGCCGTGAGTGCGGAACCCACCATCCTTCGGTCTAGTGCTGGTCTCCATTTTTCTTTTTTTTTCTATTTCAGCGATCATTTAAAGGTAATCATGGGGGCGTTTGTTTCGGCCGAAAACCCTCCCAGTTTTGAAGCTATTCGGAAGCAAACTGCATAGTAATTTCCAAGTATATAGCTTCCCCGTGTGTGTCGCAAAGATTGTTTACACAATATATTCCAACACTTTCCTTTGTCGACTCTTCCGTAAATGGAGACTGAAGTTTCTATGTGTTTGCCATAGCAAACCCGCTCGAGGGAACGTTAGAAAACCCGAAAACCTATGTAGACTTGATAAGCGACTCGATGATCTCTTGTATCGATAATTCGCCAGGGCAATAGATGTAAACCTCAAAATTACCAATAAACGGTGGACAAATACCAATTAGGATATTCAGGCAACAATCCTACTAAGTATTTTGGTAGGGCATTGCCGTGGTGAACTACTGGAACCCTAGTAAGTACTTTTGTCTATCAAGGCCTTTGAATCGTCTGTCAATTCCACGTGCATTATGATGATAATTCAGAATCATCACTCTATGTGATATTAAATTGAGCAGCAACCTGAGCTGAGCTCGATATCACCACTCCAGGACAACACTATCCCACATGAACCCATGCCAAGTAGTGTTCCTCACCATGTTGAAAGTAAGCTCATTCCAACCCTCCTTCAGCAATGCCTTGTCAAAGGAGTACTCAAGCAAATGCCACTCTCCTGCACCCGTTGCAGAGCGATACAAGCATGGGTCGGAGGGCAGCAAAGAGGAACCGCTAGTCATATTGCCAACCCGAACTCCATTGACGAGGATGTTAGTGCTAGCTCCTGAGGAGTATCCAGCCAGTGAAACGATCAGATTGGGAGCCGCAGACTGACTGGCAGCCGGGGCCTTAAATCGCACTGTCCAGTTACCTAAGTATGTCTGTCCGAAACACCAGTCGAGCGGCTTCGACTCGCCAATGATATATGTTAGATTGGCTGGGCATGAGGCGACAAGGGCGTGCTGGTGGGGTGCTCCACCGTGCAAGAAGCCATAACTGTAGCGATCGAAGTCACCGATCTGGAAGAGTTTCTCCTTTGTTGACACTTCCCAGGTGAGGCTGCCGAGGCTTGTCTCCGCAGACTTCTTCACGGTAACATCATTCTGGTGAAGGGAAGTGGTCACATCTGCGATGGAACTCCCGTTGGACCAGGCCTGCAGACCGTACGTAGCAGCGCGAACATTGGAGAATTCGAAGTTGCCATTTCTATCAGCGTATGCGGTATAGTAGTATGTTGAGCCCATATCCAAAGAAGTTTTATTCGGGTCGTTGTCGCCGAGGAAGACGGCGGCATTGCTAGCAGGGCGCCCGTCAGAGAGCATGATTTTGCCTCGTACAGTGCCACGACTGTGGTATTCTTCGTCATCCAGCCAGGTGTATGGCCAAGAGCGGAATTCCTCTGCGGCTCGTTTGGCTGCATCCTGCTTGTCGCCATCGTTCTGTAGAATGTGTTAGTAAGAGAGGATTGCTGGAGCGCAAACCCATGATACATACGAGATACCAAAGCCAAGGTCCCCACATCTTGCCATCTGGGAATACGTCGGAAGAGGAGGCCATGAAGTGAGTGCCATGAATCATGTTCAGCTGCACGGCATCTCCGGTGGATGATTCTCGGTGGACCTGAATTAACAGTCAGTCTTATTCACCTTCCGTAGTTCAGACGTCTCGATGAGCCTACCATCAGCTCCTGCTTCAAGTGATCACCATTGTAATAGTCCTTCCCAGCGTTAATGTACCAGCTCCCGAACCCGCCTCCATATACACCAAAGTAATCCTGGTTTCTGGACCAGGCAGTAAAGTCATACTTGGTGATATAACCGCTTCCATCGGGCTTCAACCACGTCTCATCCTGAACCTTGTTCCCGGGCAGGTATTCACTCAAGGGCGGTAGCTCTTCGTCCTTTATATTCGTTCTACCCTTTGTGAATGTCGTATTATCCAGCCGCCAGAGTGTCCGGAATTCACCAAGCGTGGGCAGAGCGTGGTTCACAAAATATTGATAGGCACCTGACAGACCAGAGAAAATGACCCAATGCATGTCTCCCTCTGCGGCAGTGAATGAGACATCGATATATTGCTTGCCATGGTAGGTACCTCGTTTGGTGATGGACGCCGAGGTCCACTGCAAATTAGACGCTGCGCCGTCTTTAGCGGAATTAGTCTTGTAGAAAAGTGGGATCTATTGCTCTTTGGGGAGGGCTAGCACATACTGTAGCTTACATAGTGGCCAACAGCCTCCCCAACGCAGTCTCTTCCCTTGTACATCAGCTTGATCCCGTAGATCTGCTGCTGAGTAACGTTCCAGATCTCATTGCCAAGGACCCATGTTGTGTTGTCCACTTGTGTTAAGAATGGCTCGCTGGCAGTCTTGGAGGGGAGCGCGTAAATGGTGCCAAACAGCAATGATGCCGCAGCAAAAATCAAGCTCTTCATTCTGTAGCTCCCAAGGAAAGGATTAATCTGAAATTATGGGGTGAATGTGCGGATAATCGGGCCCTAAGACCCTCTCATATACTACGTGAAGGATGTCCAAGCCATATTGATTCGGTTCAATAAACACCGAAGACCTTGATATTACGATCCCTATTATTTTCAATCTTTTTCTGTAGTGAAAGTTCCTATGAACAATGAGCCAGGTGTGGGATGCCCCGCATTCCGCGGGATTATTCCAGTGTGGCCTCTCCACTTCTCCGCAATTGAACCTAACTCCACAGACTCCACTATACGGGCGTGTTTCTGAAGCGGCCGCTAACACTACACGTGCAAAAACCCTTGAATGAGAATTCAAACTTGGAAAATGGTGTCCTTAGCAGAGAATGGTGAATAATGACGGACCGTGGCTACTTTGTAGATCATATATACTTCGAACAAGCACAGGCCGCCTGAAGATTACTGTCCGATGCGAATGTCTCTATATTGAAAGTTAGAAAGAGCAGTTACCGATCACGTTTAGAAGCTTGCAGTTAACAGATCTTCTAGACTACGTACTAGTTACTAAAATGAATTGCGATGGCCAAGAGGAAGATCATGCGGGGTTTTTAGTTGTAACTAATGGCATCCATTGGCGGACGAATTGTCTGAAATTGTTAGCCTAGCGCCGCGCTAGCAAGCGAAATGAACGCCGCTAAGTCTGTACAGATTGTAAACGATGAGTGTTGTTCAAGGAACTCGGACGACATTAACCCGGTTACCCCGCAGATGACGAAGCGAAAATGTGCTGAGCCTACATTGCATGGAATATTCATTGCTTTCAGTCGAGCTTGTTCAAGTAGTCAAACATCCAATTACCTCTCGAGCATAGGTAGTGGCTAAAGCCTTTCCATATACTCCCTAAAGATAAAGATAGCTTGTAGGTAGTAATTTATAAATGGAAGTATTGTAGTGGGGGAACTGCTGACTGCATAAAGTGGTGGTCTATTGGATGATTCGGCATTTTGTGATATAACATGCTTCCCGCCTAGACAGAACGCCCAACCAAAATCGCGCCTCCCACAGGAACACATCATCTTCCACTATATATTATGCCACGCAAATGTATCGAGAACGCGTCAAAATCAGAGGAGAGAGAGGGTAGGATATTATTGGCTAGAGATGCCTATAAAATAGCCAATTTCCCTCTCTTCGTGTAGCAGCGACTAGGCTATCTATGATTTAGATATTATTAATATTCTTAGCCTAGATTTCTGATAGCTATTAGAAATCCTATATATAATCTACTCCGAAAGTCTTCTAGTGGTCTTTTGGTGGTCCTTATAGACCGACGAGCCCCACACTTCTTGCAGTCGACCAACCATGGATCCTTTTTAAGAGTGAGTTATGCAGGGCGGCCTGAAATTTGCCCGCATAAACGCAGCCTGTGCCATAATGGGGGATGGAAGGTACTTCAGAGTTTCCTGCCCCTCGCTCATTTATTTTCTACCAAGGAATGGGCGACGATTAACTAGTTCCCAATAAAGTATTCCACTGTCGTGTTATATCACGCCCACCCTTGACCTTACACCATGGCATTGAACGGCAAGGTTGCACTGATTACAGGAGGGATCAAGAATCTTGGAGCCGAGACAGCGCGCGAGCTGGCTGGCGCCGGTGCGAACCTGGGCCTCCATTACAACTCCGCGAGTAGCAAGACCAATGCTACTGAACTGGAAGCCGAGCTGAAGCAGAAGCACCCTAGCTTGAAGGTCGTGTTCTACCAGGGCGATCTGACCTCGGCTGCAGCTGTAGACAAGTTGTTTGATTCGGTGCTCAAGGATTTTGGCAAGATCGACATCGTGGTGAACACGGTTGGGAAGGTGTTGAAGAAGCCCATCGCTGAGATCTCGGAGGAAGAGTACGACTCTATGTTTGCGTAAGTGGCCACGGGTCCAGAAGGATATGAATGATGAAACCAGCATTGATTTGTATTGGCATAGAATCAATTCCAAGGCCGCCTTCTTCATTCTCAAAGCCGCTGCCCGCCACATCTCCGACGATGGCAAGATCGTCACCATTGTTACTGCCTTGCTGGGCGCCTTCACCGGCTTGTATACCTCATATGCGGGATCGAAGGCACCAGTGGAGCACTTTACTCGAGGTGTTTGCAAGGAGTTGCAGGCACGGCGGGTGAGTGTGAACAATGTGGCTCCGGGCCCAATGGATACGCGTATGTTATGCCATAGAAACCAAGAGACATGAAAGACCGACGCTGACCTTAAGCAGCATTCTTCTACCCCCAGGAGTCGCCAGAGGCGGTCGAGTTCCACAAGAGTAACGGCATGGGCAACCGATTAACCATGGTGCAGGATATTGCGCCGGTGATTCGATTCCTCTGCACCGACGGCGCATGGATCACCGGCCAGACCATTTTTGCGAACGGCGGGTACACGACTCGTTGAGAGAGGAGGTACGATTCATCGTGTTGTTCAAGACAGATATTCTTCCGCTTAGGTAGTTGTGATGCAACCGGATATGGAAATTGTTTGTGTTAAGCGGCCAGAAAGCGTATCGAGTAAAAGGCCTTGGTGGCCTGTGATTTTGGGCTGCGACCACCCGCACTGCGTTATTGCGTCATTGTGTCCGTTGTGCCACCGGCATCACCTGCTCCTCTCGGCCCTACTGCCAAGCCCCACTAGCCTGTTTGGGCGGACTAACTCGAGGATAATCACATGACATGGCTGCCCGCCCTAAGCCCAAAGAGGAAGACAAGCGGTGACATCAGTCCGCGCCGCGTTTTGCATGTCGTCGCAGGTACTTTCTTCCAAGGGGGGGGCCCTTGCCCAGAGATGTGGTCAGACAAAGCAGCTTCACCCGACTCGAAGAGAGAGAGAGAGAAAACAAAAGCGTCCTTCATTTACCCCCCTCAATACCCACCCAACTTCTCAAGTGTTAGCCATTACTCTTTTTGCCCCTCCTCCGCGGCTGCCAACAGGCTCTCCGTGTCTGTGACGAAATAGCCTGGTAACCTCCCCACTTCTGCTTTTTCTCACCGGAATTGGGTTCAACCCCTCCACCAGACCTTCACTAGCTCTCCGGCACCTATCTGTGGTCGTTTTCCAGTCCAATTCAATCCCATTATTTCAACCCCTTATCCCCTTCTTTTGAGTGGTTTTTGTGTTCGACCTCCTGGGACGGTCGACCCTCTTCAATTCCAACATGGATCCCGCCAAACATCCCGTTGAACCACCCAAGAAGCGCCGCATCGGTGTCCTCACCTCCGGTGGTGATGCCCCCGGTATGAACGGCGCCGTGCGGGCTGTCGTCCGCATGGCCCTTCACTCTGACTGCGAGGCCTACGCCATCTTCGAGGGCTACGAGGGCCTGGTCAATGGCGGCAACATGATCCGTCAGATGTACTGGGAGGATGTCCGCGGCTGGTTGTCGCGTGGCGGTACACTGATCGGCTCTGCTCGGAGCATGGCTTTTCGAGAGCGTGCTGGTCGGCTGCAGGCGGCCAAGAACCTGATCCTGCGAGGCATTGACGCCCTGGTGGTCTGCGGTGGTGATGGTAGCTTGACTGGTGCCGATGTTTTCCGTGCTGAGTGGCCGTCTCTGCTGTCAGACCTCATTGCGGCAGGCGAATTGACCCCGGAGCAGGTTGAGCCCTATAAGGTCCTGAACATCGTCGGTCTGGTCGGTTCCATTGATAATGATATGTCGGGCACCGACGCTACTATCGGCTGCTACTCGTCTCTGACTCGGATTTGTGACGCGGTCGACGATGTGTTCGATACCGCATTCTCTCACCAGCGAGGCTTCGTGATTGAGGTGATGGGTCGTCATTGTGGGTGGCTGGCCCTGATGTCCGCCATCAGTACCGGTGCGGACTGGCTGTTCATTCCCGAGATGCCCCCGCGGGACGGCTGGGAGGATGATATGTGCTCCATTATTACCAAGGTATGGCGCTCACTCCTCCAAAGGAAATGGCTCCCTTCACTTGTCCAACATACATGGCCGGTAACTGACCAATCGTCCCATAATAATAGAACCGCAAGGAGCGTGGAAAGCGCCGCACGATCGTCATCGTTGCCGAGGGAGCCCAGGATCGCCAACTTAACAAGATTTCGAGCTCGATCATTAAGGATATCCTTACAAAACGGCTGGGTCTGGACACCCGGACCACGGTCTTGGGCCACACACAACGAGGTGGGGCGGCCTGTGCCTACGACCGCTGGCTTTCGACTCTGCAGGGTGTCGAGGCCGTTCGTGCCGTCCTGGAGATGTCGCCTAATTCGCCTTCGCCCGTCATCACCATCCGCGAGAATAAGATCATGCGGACTCCCCTTATGGAAGCAGTCCAAGCCACCAAGGATGTGACCGAAAAGATCCAGGCCAAGGACTTCGACGCGGCCATGACCCTGCGCGATGCAGAGTTCAAGGAATACTACCACGCCTATCTGAACACAGCAACCCCGGATCATCCCAAGATGATCCTCCCTGAGGGCAAGGTGAGATGCAAAAGCTGGCACACCGCCTCATTAATTTCCATAAGCGATCAGTTTTCTGACTGGTACCTATAGAAAATGCGTATTGCTATCATTCACGTCGGCGCCCCCGCTGGCGGTATGAACCAAGCCACTCGCGCCGCTGTGGCCTATTGTCTAACCCGTGGTCACACTCCTTACGCGATTCACAATGGTTTCCCGGGTCTCTGCCGCCACCACGCTGACAAGCCGATTAGCTCGGTCCGTGAGGTCAAGTGGCTGGAGTCTGACAGCTGGGTCAATGAGGGTGGTTCGGACATTGGTACCAACCGCAGTCTGCCTTCGGAGGATATGGAAGGCACGGCCAAGTGCTTCGAGCTGTACAAGTTTGATGCTGTCTTCATGGTCGGAGGCTTTGAGGCGTTTACTGCCGTTAGCCAGCTGCGCCAGGCTCGTGACAAGTACGACGCCTTCAAGATCCCCCTCGTTGTTCTGCCCGCTACTATCTCCAACAACGTGCCTGGCACCGAGTATTCGCTTGGAAGTGACACCTGCTTGAACACCCTGATTGTCTTCTGCGATGCCATCCGGCAGTCCGCCTCTTCTTCTCGCCGCCGAGTCTTCGTCATCGAGACGCAAGGAGGCAAGTCTGGTTACATCGCGACCACGGCCGGTCTGGCTGTTGGGGCAGTGGCAGTGTACATTCCCGAAGAGGGTATTGACATCAAGATGCTCTCGCGCGATATTGATTTCCTGCGCGACAACTTTATCCGCGACAAGGGTGCTAACCGGGCGGGCAAGATCATTCTTCGCAACGAATGCGCCTCGAGCACTTACACCACCCAGGTGGTTGCTGACATGATCAAGGAGGAAGCCAAGGGTCGTTTCGAGTCGCGTGCAGCTGTCCCTGGTCACTTCCAGCAGGGTGGTAAGCCGTCGCCCATGGACCGTGTCCGTGCGCTGCGGATGTCCATCAAGTGTATGCAGCACCTTGAATCCTACGCTGGCAAGAGCCGAGATGAAATTGCCGCGGATCCTTTGTCGGCCGCCGTCATTGGTGTGAAGGGCTCACAGGTTTTGTTCTCGCCAATGGGCGGCGACACTGGACTGGAAGCGACCGAGACCGACTGGCAGCGCCGTCGGCCCAAGTCGGAGTTCTGGCTTGAGTTGCAGAATGTGGTCAACGTCCTGTCTGGCCGCTCTACTGCTCGCGCCACCGAGACCTGGACAATCTACGACAGTATGTAATCCCCGACAACCTCCCTTTTCCGGACAGTTGCAACCCGTTGGACGCTTGCGTGTTGGCCATTACCGTCTCTGTGACCTACAGCCGCCTGCGACGATGGTGTTGGTTGTTCCCTCCCTCCTTCTGCTGGGTATTAACACTTTTCGTTTTCTCTCCTCTCCAGATCCTTCTACGGTCCACTCTATTCCCTCCGTCCCTCACTCCCCTTGAAGGACTTCCTCATGACCTGGTCGCCCATTTTTCGGTCCGTCACCGGAATTCGTGACGCCCGACCGTGCTCCGCGGAAACTCCGGCCCTCACTCTGATACCAATGCTGTTTGCCCCAGACTGTCGCCTATGTTAGTGACGGTTTTCACCTCAAATGTCACAACGATGGATGCCCCCCCTCTCATGTTTGTATGATGATACGCCACACGCAGCCCAGATACCGTATGGATCTGGACGACACTTAGGCTTGGGAGATAAGGTGCCGCCTTCTCCGCCTTGTCCTGCCTGCTCTTTTGTGTTCACTTTTGGAACCCTAGTTGGAAGCGTATAGACAGTTGTCGCAGCTAGATCTGCCAGATATTAAGACATATAGCCACCCCTCTGTCTTTCGTCAATGCTAGATGATTTCATGTCCAACCCAACACGTTTTTTGAGTCCTACGCACGGTCTCAGGAGATAAAAAGTATTTGTTCGTATAGTCAGAGTGTGCACTTGATTCCAAAACCTTGGTAGTATGTTGCTTTATTGGTATGAGATAAATAAATTGTCGCGATTGGATCCCGCTGGCTACAATGTGACTGCGGAGACTGATATAATACGAAGAGGGCATGTGCGTCACGGAGTTAGATAGGATTGACTGCGCATTCCAACTCGTCCAAAAGATCCACTGTCTCTGCGGGGCTGGCAATCCAAGCAGTTGTGGAAGCTAGACGGGCCTGGTGAAACTATGAGTCAGCGTCATTGATCATGATCAATCAAGAACAAGGGTTCCCTTGTATACCTTAAAATCATTAGCCCCAGCCGATAAGAATTGGTCTCCAATGTGCAGCGTTTTCGATGGGTCGATGCCGCCGAAGTACTGCTGGCAGACTCGAACACCCCAGGACTTGTCACCGATGTCGACGAAGACATCATTTCCCCCTGGATGGACACAGAGAGTTAGATGATCCCCCAACAAGTAATGGAGATAGGAAGGTCACTTACCGTTGAAGGCGCAGAATGGGAGGCGGGAGCCGACGGCAGATCTTTCTACTGTATTCTGCACCACTAGCACAGTCTCCTCCAATTGCTCGCGGTTGATACGGACTCCATTCACTGGATAGACACCGACCGCCCGATCCTTGCGCAGGATGGCAGCTGGCAGACTCAGGTTTGCCGAACAGGCTCGCAGAGCCGACTCGGCGAGATCAAGAAGCTGTTTGATGTCTTCATCCCGCCATGCCCGCATGTCATCCAGCAGCCATTCATCACGGGGCACGTAGACGAGTCGGACGTCCGAGTCCTGATCAAAGCGGAATAAGAAATTGCTCTCGCCGCCCATAACGATGATGCCTTGCTTTTGCGCAGCAGTCAAGGTGGTCGAATCATGAACTGTATCCAAGAGGCCCCGTAGGCGGCCATAATATTTCGAAGCCTCCTCGTACCCGGCCGCGGTGACAATTCCTACTTTGCGCCCTTGCTCTAGAAGACGCATAATCCGCGGGATCACCGGGTTATCTGCCGTCAGACAGGCACCGTCATCGTAAAGGGTTACATCTCCATCGAAGGTCACCAGCTGGACCTCGCTAGTGCGGACGAGACCCTGCAGTTGGGCCGAGTTCAAGATGAGCCGGATATCGTTGAACGAAGGGGCTACGAATCTCCGCCGGCTAATGAACCGACGATTATCCTGGTACTTGAAAGCATCCTCCAAATGCAGGCGCGTGAAAAAAGTCCCAACCGAAGGCACCAGCAGCTTGAGCTTGGACTTGCCCGGGGCATTGCGTTCGTGATGATCAACTGCGGGGGCGCGGGGGTGAGCAATCCGACCAGAGGAAAACATCAAGAAACTAATTGTGTTGCCTAAGCACACCCCATATCGGACTTACTATGGTCGAGGATCAGATTTTCCACGTCGCGCATAATTTCGGCATAGCGCTGGTGGGTGTCGGCGGCAGCCGTGTTGAGCCCTTCGCTGGACTCCAGACAGATGGCCGTGGGCTGGGAATGCAGTACAAAGGGGACCGCTAGCAGGCCCTGGCAGTGTCGTGTTAACACCTAGCCACACAGTCCAGATAGCAGGCAATCTACCTTGATCCATTCAATCTACATAAATTTTAGTCCAGATCTCATCAGTCCGGGTGGGGGGAAGGGGGGGGGGGGGGGGCGGAGGAGGGTACGTACCAGTTGGTCCCGGCGATGTGTCTACACCTGCGGAGTTAGTGAGGGGCGATCCTTCGGGAGATCGAAGGCGTACCTTGAGGGCATCTCGTGGCCAGTCAGCAGACAGGTAAAAAAAGCAAACAGCAGGATTGGCTTACACTCGACGCGATAGCGAGTCGTCATGATTGCTTGCTTTGTGGGAGTGTCGATCGATCAGGAAAGGTGGCATGGCTTGCTGACCACAGTCCAAAGTCCCTCCGGGCGCACGTCCCTCCGGTCCCCGATGGTTACCTAGCGGCGCCAAGCATGAACATTGTTGACTCACTCCCCTAGGATGTCCACCGTAGGGGGAAAAAAGGGGGAACCGGACGCAACTGGGGATTGTGAGGCTGTCTGACTCACGCGGGGTCATTCGTGACGCATGGTTATCACCATCAAAGGTGTGGGGGAAAAAGGCCGTGCCCGAGCAGCTAGTTCCCAAAAGGCGCCTTTCTTGCTTGCAGGGCATCTGATTGGAACCAAGACTGGACTGGACTAAGGACACCGCTGAACTACCCTATGAATCGTGAGCGTGCAATGGAAGATTGATTACGAAGTGGCGGTCGCCCACAGCCTTGCTCGGCTCAACGGAGAGTCGATCGAGTGATGGGTCGGTGATCATCGGACTCCTGGATCCCCAGCACTTTGTGGTCGTATCGCGACCGATTCCCGCCCAGCTTCCTTGGCCTGGGGTGTGTCTGGAATGGGGACCGACGGGTCTAGATGCACCGACGATCTCGACAACTCAGGTCCTTGATATGTCACGATGAGTCTTTCGGGCAGCACTGCCACGACGCTGCTTCGTGTAGAATACGACCGAGACCGAGACCGCGGGGGAGAAGTATATAGGGCGCAATCGCGGATGCCTGGCAGTGCAGGAACGAACATCTTCAGGCAGAGGCATTTCGAGACTCGTTTGGCACGATTGTATAGCCTGAGGGAGTGAGCCGCTGTCTTCGAATCAAGAAGGAAGTATTGGGTTTCTGCCGCTCGATTATTTATGAGCATGTTGGTCGCTTCAAGACTGCCATTCCACACATTGCCCCAAATGGAGACACGAGAAAAGCAAAGGCAGGGCGATGCTCTGCCGCCATATGACCACTCGGAGGGCCCCGATTACCTTCTCGATGAAAAAGCATTTCTCCTCCCACCGGGCTCCGATGAACCTGGCCAGGCTGTTGCATCCACCTTGACCCGAGGTCTCCAAGTCCCATCCCGAACGTCCGCCGCGACCTCCGGATTTGACTATCCGGCCGTGTTGACTCAATACGGCATTTCACCTGGAGACTGGCAACAATTCACTCAGGTGATCGGCGATGAGGCCAAGCTTTCGCGACAGCAGTGGAGCACGGTGATTGGCAAGGGCCTCGGCACCCTTGCGATCGGCGGCCTGATGATCGGGCTTCTGGGCGCGGTTCCGGCAATTTTTGTCGCCCGCAATGCCCGAAAAAGGCAAGAACAGCGGAATTTGATTGCTGCAATGGCGGGCATGAAGGGAGAGCGACTCTCCCGCGACATCTCGCACTGGAACGAGACGTTCTTCCGGCCGAAGGGGGTGTTGATTCGGGTCGATCTGCCGGACGAGTATCTCGGCGAGATGAGCAAGATGGATCTGCATCGGAGTGATCGGCCCTGGGGCCGGTCCGAGGCCGAAGCTCGCGAGAAAGCGGCCCTCAAAGCGAGAATTGTCATCATTCCCATGGCCACAGCGTCACTGGCCTCGGGAGTAACATCGAGGACGGGGATTCCTGACGATTGATGCACTTACCTTATAAGGGGGGAATGCATGTTGGTGGTACGGAAAGGGGCAAAAGATCGCGCGGTGTGTTTGTTGGGAACTGCGTTGGTGTTATTTCTTTGAAGGTTTTCTTATTTTTTTACTTTTGAATTTGGGTATATGTTGGCACGATCAGGTGGCAAAAGGTGTTAGTGCAAAAGGGGGATTACGCGGGAGAATATGTAATGTACTGCCGTACAGCATCTTCACAGCCCTGGGTATTTCATTGAAACAAGTACACTCATTGAAATTTCATCATGGTATATCTCATCAGAAAGATAGCATCTCTGATACGGTAGAATTATTGCAACTAAGCATCCACAAGCCCTTTTTCCCCTTAGACACGCGCCGAGGCATCCTGTCGCTCGACATGCTGCGCAGTGCCTTGCTGAGACATCATCGTCTCGATCTTCTCATCGACCACCTGGTCACGCTCGTCGGCATCCCGGTTACCATAGAGGCCAATGCGGTACCATGGCAGCTCGAATAGGCGGTCCATGCTTTCCAGACTCCGACCGGCGGTCTCGGGGACGGTGAACCAGACCCACACTCCACCAATCACGGTGAGCACGCTAAAGAACCAGAAGGTCCCCTTGGGACTGATGCCGCCATCGGCCACCGGGAGCAGCATGTTGGGCACCGCCCGGGCATTTCCATACTGGTTGGCAAAGTGCAAAGTCATGGCCAACGAGGTGGCGAAAGCACGGATTCGCAGAGGGAACAGCTCGGCCGTCAGCAGATACTGCATCGAGTTCCAGCCGAGAGCCCAGCCGAAGCCCGAGAGGTAAATCATCGCAATCGCGCCCTTACTGGCGGCCTTCTCGTTCGCCGGGAGCTTGTAGTTCTTGACCACGCCCATCTCTGGCACAGCGGTCAGGAAGCCAGCAACATAGATCATCGCAATCGCCTGCAGGCTGATTCCGATCAGCAAGGCGCGCTTGCGACCGATCACATCAACGAGGAAGAGGGCGCACGCAATCGCAGCCACCAGCTTGACGATTCCGAAAACGGCTGTCACCAACAGGGTCTCATTGCTGCCCGTGACGCCCAACAGCTTGAACAAGTCGGGGGCGTAGAGAGTGATGGAGCCTGCACCCGACCACTGCGACATAATCTGTGCCATCAGAGCGAGGTAGACTCGGTAGAGGTTCGAGGGAATCATGAATGTCTCCTTAAGGATACCCATCGGTCCCGAACCCATGGTGGCCTCCATCTCAATCTGATGGGCGGTTTGAATGGCGTCGATTTCACGAACCACATACTCGTGATCAGCAGGGAGGTTGCGGAGGTGGGAGAGGTTGGAGATGGCCTTCTCCACCTGACCCTGCTTGATCAGGTAGCGGGGTGACTCGTATTGCAAGAAGGAAAGGAGGAAGATCAAGCCAGCAAAAATGACATGGAGACTGGTCGGAACCTCCTGCGTGCTGTTAGCCCTGGACCATACACGTGAATCAGGGGGTTCTGATGGTCGTCCTTACCCATCGTGCGTGAGTGTAATCGCCCATGTGCACCTGGCATCCGTAGTTGGCGAAATAGGCAAGCACAATGCCTAGAAATCAGAGGACTGGTTAGAAAATGCTATTCGGACGGCTCTGAAGCCTGTTGAGCACCTCAAGGGCGAAGGGGAATTGCAGTAGTACATACCCAAATAGACGAAACCGGTGAACACACATGTGCAGAGACCGCGAATCGCCGCCGGAGCCTGTGGAGAATCACTGGTCAGTCCCATTGCTGTCAGGTTGCGCGGGCCAAGAAGGCCCGCGCCAAGCGGTCGTCCGACTTACAATTTCCGCAAGATAGACGGGGGCCACCACCACGGTCTGCCCGACTCCCAGACCGGCAATAAACCGACCGGCGTACACCGCACCGAGGTTGCCATTGTTGCCCATGAAAATGGCGGCGCCGATCATCCAAACGAGACAGAGCTCACGAGTAGCCCAGATACGACCAATGCGATCACACACTAGGAAAGCACTACAGCCAACAGGAGCACGAGCAATCGAATTAGTGCACCATTCCAGCGCCAGCAGGGCCCACCGCAGCTCGTTGGTTCACTTACAAGAGAGCACCACCGACCGATCCAATCTGAACCATGGCCGAAACGTTGGCCTTGATGTTGGTCTGTTCCACCAAGCTGTAGGAACTGTAGTGGATAAATCGCTGGAAGTCCTTGGAGTTGAAGGCACCGGAGATGAGGCCCTCGTCGATACCGCGAGCGGCCCCCATCAGCCCGAAGGAGATGACGGCGAACCATAGTCTCCAGTTGAAGACCTCCTTGGGCTCGCCCAGGTTCTTCAGGCGGAAGATGTTGACAGGCTTCTTGGCTCCGCCGGCCATGATGAGCGGTTGAGGGAGGAGTAGTGCTCGATGAGCAGAAAATAGAAGTGAATGAGTAGGCGAGGAGGCGAGGGGCGGAAGAGAGACCGGGAAATTGGGTTGGAAAGTAGGAAAAACACCAATCCACGGGAAGTTCCAGCTTTCTTTAATACTCGAGAATTGTGCGCTCCGTCCTTCAAAGGATTGCCCCAGCGCACTGCGGGGAAGGCCGGGGTAGTCCGAGCGGGTTGGGCAGGACCCAAAGGCATCGAGAACGAGGATCGCATGACTATACGCGTCCAAAACAGGTCAGAGAACAGACCACCAAGCAGCATATGGGCCTTGCCCCTCTCTTCTCCGTGTTCTCGTCCTTCGGCCCATTCGGCCCACCCAACGCATTCAACGTCCCCCAGAATCCCCGACTTTTGGACGGGTCCGCGCAAATGCAGCAACGTGGGCCGACTATCGGTGGGATAACGGAGTCGGCCAAGGCTGGGGGACAGCGCCAAGGGAGCTTGGATCCCGAGACCAGAAGGACGTGTTGGACGGCATGCAGTTGCGATTCGACGGCATCGCCGGGGAAATTTGATCAATTTTGACTTTGTACCCCGGTGGGGTTACAGCCCGGGGTTGGCCCAGACAAAATTCCCCGTGGTGGCGGAAGGGGTGGGTACATCGTATCGTGGAGGCTCGGCTTTGGGGGCCCTCATTGACCTGTTGTTGATGGACCTCTGCGGGCAGCCCGAGGAGGAACCCCCACATCGCGCTGTTGCGCTCCTCTACCCTTCCTTAATACGGCTTTTCCTGGTTTCCTGCGTCTGCTTCACAGGCGCCTGCGACCACACGGTTTCCGCATCTCGAACCGCGCAGGGTCGCGACCACGAAACCATGGACTAAGCAACAGACAAAGTTTGCCCTGGCTGGGCGCTCGGGAAACGTCCGCAGGACGTGCCGCGCCGCCAAGAGGGGGGCGAAGGCCACTCCACGGGGGCGAAACTGGGGTGAGCCCCCGCAGGGACAAATGCGGGATGGTTGATTGGCTGATACCAGCAAACCCTGGGGCATCGCCGGAAGAGGTAAGCACGCCGCTGCTTGGCGTGGGGACCAAGCCTTTGACGGCCGGCTTGAGTTTCGGTCGACGCTAGACGCTAATCGATCGGAGTGCGTATGTGGCCTGGCACCTGACCACCTAACCACCTGACTGCCGAAGGATTGCTCTGGACAGAGTCTCCGTGCGCGACCATCCCAACCCAGTCGGCAGGGAGTACGGTGCTCCGGACTCACCCGTGCTTGTCCGGACCGACTTCAGCGGGCTGGAATTGAGTTCGGAGGCGACGGTCGACCCGAGCCAAGGCATTCCATTCCATATATTCTTCGTTGACCTCACTAGCCAAACCCTGCTTTCCGCCGATGCCGGGCGATGTGGCTTGCATGCGACAAGGTTTTTTGCCGGACATCGGCAGTAGCCCAGTCATTCTGGGCCGGAACAGGCAACGTTGAGAGGTGTCGGTCGGGTCGACCTCTTCTCGAAGCGACTCGTTGGGACCATTCGAGCTACGTCGCTTCCCGCCCCCCGGCTTAGCATGCTCCGGCCGCGCCAGATGGACCTAGACTGGGAAATGAGGCATTTTCTCCTTTCTGTGATGTGATTGAATACGGGAAATCGGTGCGTCATGCGTGGTCAATCACGCCGAATATTCCCATTGTGGATCCTATAGAAGAGACGCGCGAATGGATCGATCGATCAATGCAGGGAAGGAAAGCGTAGGCTTCGCTCGTTCAGTCGAGTGCGGTGGTCATGTCACTGGTCACTGGCCACTGGCCACTGGTCACTGTTGCCCTGTTTTTCCTGCGTTGGACAACCCTCGGGCGGACTTCATTCGATGACTTGACTTCGCGTGCCTGCGTCGGATATACTTTGGATAAATCCCCAGTTCACCAGCTCTCAATCTCGCGGCGGCCTCCAGCCAATCAGGAATCCATCAACCGCGGCGTATCGAAGCATCCGTAGCCCTTGACCACACTCATTTCGTCGATTTCGGCATATTTGGTTTTGAAGGTCCAGCCACCCACCGAATTGTGGAGCATCGTGCACCGACGGTCGGACGTGTGGTTGGATTGCCACAGGCAACATCCCAAGACGCCGAGCTCGGAAACAACCTCCCCGCTGTCAATGCCGGCTGGGCTCATGAGAAGACCGTGCTGAAGTGGCGGCTGGACTCGCTCCATCAAAATGTAGGAGCACCACTTCGACTGGGGCATCGACGCCAGATAGCCTGGGATATCTGTTCCGTACACATTGTGCCCGCCCCCTTCCAAGGAGGGCTTTAAAATGTAATGGGCCGATTGAACGGGATCACACGCCCGGTCTCGCGCATAGCGGCCCTGCTCGGACTCATCTAATGGGTAGACAGGCACAAACGTCTCCCGGAGGGCCGCAGCCTCCGACTCGGAGAGGAACGTCTCCAGCGCCCCGGGGACGGTCAGTGCCTGTTGGACCTTCTTAAAGGTCGTCATGTGGGAGAGGAGAGAAGGGCACTTGATGGCGACTGAGGTCTCCAATTGCAGGCGTGCCTCCCAGCCGACGTGGTCGTACTCGTGCGCCTCATACCCAGCACGCAGGTACACAACCGATATTTCCACAGGGGTCGTCGACGCTTGCCAGGGCGGATGGTAGAGTAACTCTCTTTCCTCCGTGAGCCAAGTGTGTTCGAGTACATCGGGACCAAAGTCAAGTCGATAGGTCGGCACCGGGTCTGATCGATTCCAGAGCGCGTATTCGATCGGGCGCTCGTCGGCGATGTTGAACTGTTCTCCAGTTAAGCATGACCTGTTTGGACCGATTGGGAACGGGGCTGGTGGCACAAAAACTTACATTGAATGGCTGTACCACCATCAGCACGGCCGTCTCTTTGGCTTCTTTACTTCGAGGCCCACCGTAAGTAGCGTGGGCCAATGCGAGGCCGGAGGCGAGGGTCGCGATATTGTGATTGACCGGAAGGGATGGAATATCCAATGTGGTGCCACCCACATTGTAGATCCCCGTTCGAGCGAGATAGCGATGCATATCCCCGACTTTGTTGGCATGGGCGGCACCCGAACAGGAGAAGGTGTTCAATTCAATCTGTTTCAGGCTCGTTTCAAACATCGCCCCCGGGGAATCCGGCCGGGTCCCAGCGTTCAGATGAAGCATATAGTCCGAGCGAAAGATGCCGACAGAAACGTTCTGGACCAACCCGGTTTCCCTAGCTGCTTCATAAATACCCCAAAGCGCTGCCGCAAGGGGTTCGACAGGGAGAATGTCTCGAATGGCGCCGTAAATCCACTGCTCATCTTCGGCGACGGCGCAGTATAGCCGATTGTAGATTTCCTGTATCTCCAGCGCTTGCTGGAACTTGGCACGAGGCCAAGGAGTCGGGAAGCACTGGAGCCCCCACTTCTGTCAGACCAGGACTTATATCGGAACGAACGCACCGTACCGAGACCCCGACGGGGTGCGTGGAGACGCTACACTCGGTTTCCGTTTGGACCTGTTTCAAGAGCGAGCCATGATTGACTGCGAATCATGTTAACTTCGCTTTGTGCTCGAGTGGAGGGGGGCATTGTCCCCGGCGACTGACTCTACTGCCGGTAAGCTGGGAAGATCACCTTTGACGGGGCTTCTTTATTGATGACTGCGGCTCACCTGCCAATCCTTGATCTGTGCGACGAGCGAGAGGGTTTGCTCTTCACTCATCTCGGGCGAGGTGTTTTTGGGGCCCATCGCGACCAATGTGAATCCTTTGTCCACCCCCTCCAGGGTAAAAGATTATCTCTGAAGCTATTGCGGGGTGAGCTGTCGGAAGCGCGCGCCTTTGTTTAGGATGAGCGGGTGCGCCGCTCGGTCCATGGGAGGTCGCACCGGGCAAAACTGTGGGGGCGCCCGCACTCGCGCTCGAATGACCGCGCGCCAAAGGACACGGTGACGTCTGCCTGCGAACCTCTCCACCATTTGATCTCGGCTTGCCACCGACGATTCCCTTGAGATCGGCTGCGACTCGTTTCATGCCACAGCCTCGTTATACCCGATGATGTCTTCGCAGGTTGAAGTGGGCCCGTCTGATTCATTTTGACCGCTCTATACAAGAGCGATACGGTCGCAAAACGGGTCGCGATGAGACGCCACCTCGCTGGACTCAAGTGCGACGATCTGGTCTTTGTATCTCGTCTGGGACAGGGGCCTCGGGTCGGTCCACTCGGATTAACACCGAGATGCCACCCCCAGCTGACCACTGGAGAGATGTTCTGATCATCCTCCCTATCGTCGCCACCACAGTTGCGACGGGGATCTTTGTCCTTCGTCTCTATGCTCGCTATCTTGTGGTCCATGGCTTGCGCATTGAGGATCTCCTGATGGGCATGGGGCTGTTGTGTACATATGGCTATGCCACATATGTCGTTTACTGCATGTCCCCCCTTGGGCAACAGAGCGCGCCCTATGGCTGACTGGTCTATTTAGCGGCATTCCAGGGCATCGGCATCGGAGAGTGGCATGATTTTGATAGTTGATTTGAACTGCAACAGGCTCGGCTAATACTCGCTGCAGGATTTGGGTCTTACCGCGCGAACAGCGATTGCGAATCACACTGGTAATAGATTTCTACCTGAAGGGATTGAAGATAATACTGACCGGGCCGAATCAGGCCCAATGGATCTCGCAAAAGTTTTGGCCCCCCGCGCAAGTTTTCGTGAAAGGTTCCATTGTCCTATTTCTGCGCAGAATTCTGGGATGCGTGGCTCGCTTTAGGCAGGTCGCCACTGGAGTCATTATCTTCGTGATTATCTGGGGTGTAGTGGCCCTGATTGGAAATACCTTCCAATGTTGGCCTGTTCAATACTTCTGGATAAAACACATCGAGGGTCACTGCATGGTGGACAGAATACCTATTTCACTATTATGGGGTCCTTTTCAGTGGCAGAAGATGTGGTTATCCTCTGCCTCCCCCTGCCGATAGTGTGGAAGCTTCAGACCCCTCTCCGACAAAAGGTTGAAATGACCCTACTCTTCTCGATTGGTTGTTTGTACGAAGCTCCTCGTATCAAACTTACGAGTCATAAAGCTAACTTCCATGCTCAATCTAGAGTTTGCATCTTCAGCATCCTTCGATTAGTGGAACTGAAGCACTATCGGACCGATAACTTGACTTGTAAGTTACCCTGTCGTGATGCCCACAGAAATAGATTTCCTGCTAATTTTCTACCACCCGGCATGCAGATAGCAGCTCACTCACGCAGATTTGGACAATATTGGAACTTGATATGGCGATAATCTGCGGGTCCCTTCTATTAATGAAACCCCTTGTTCAGCCTTGCATGGGGACTCTCCGAAAAGGGATTACACGGCTGAGCCGTGGAGAACCCCCCCCATGATTCTTCAGAAAAGCCTATGACCCATCCATTATCTGCAGCTCCAGGGTTACACCGGGGAAGTCTTGAGAGCGTTAATGCAGAAGGTGATCTGGTGTCAACAATTGTGAGAGTGCAAACGGCATAGCGGCGCGGATCGCAATGGCCATGCCCATGGACAGATCACTTTTTTTGGACACGGGGTTCCACCAAGAGTCTCCACGAGGGGGCCATGTTCCTGCTACCGGTCACGCTTCAATATGACAGCTGTAGGGCCGCAAAAGGCTGTTTTTCGGCGCTGAATGCTTTTGATCAGGGTGGGGCGATAACCAGTTGATTGCCAACAACAGCAGCTGGATGGTTGGGATTTCCCTCAGCATTGCCCCGGGGTACTACGTCCTGCGACGTGAGCTCATTGCGCCGCACAGCGCTGGGACAGAGGACGGTGCTCAGAAGTATCCCCAGTGCTTTAATCTCCAAGTTACTGGCTCGGAATTTGACAAACCGTCGGGTGTGGTGGGCACAGAGCGTGACAGCCCGATGGGAGCAGGCATCCTTGTCAATATCTATACATCTCTTCTCACATATGTTGTGCCCGGCCCCACACCTTACAGCGGCCCTATATCTTTGTGCAGTATTCCTTGAGTATCGCGGCATCTGGAACGCCGGTGACCGGGTCAAGGAGCGCTTCGACCGCCACTGTTGTAACAGCCACCTCATCTAGCACGACAAGATCGTCCGCCCAGTCAACAGCTACAAGTCTCGACGATCCTCACCACAAAGACCAGCACCAGCAGTACCATTATAGTTACTGGTGCGGCCACCACTAGTCGGTGGCGGTTCAACCAAATCTGTGTACGGGCAGTGTGGAGGGAGCGGTTGGTCTGGCGCAATTGCCTGCTACACGGAGGCCACCTGCAGTTCGATGAATTCATACTACTCTCAGTGTGTCACGGCAGCTGCTTAGGAATGATCTCATGCTTTGCAGGGGATGAACTTTGCATATCAGGTATAGCAATGAAAGTGAACAGTTCTCTTCATTCATTGTATCATGTTGATAGGGGTTTTTTTACTGATCACAACGAACCTCAGCCCCATCGAACGAGTTTTAGAGAATGAATACTCATTACCGTGTAGGACGGCTCGAGCCAGGTAGGTTAATTTGAGATCAGAAAAAGAATACCTAGTTGAAATGCTGTGCCGGAGCGGAGTTGGCGAAGCTTTGACGATGTGTTCTTCATTAGCGGAGTTGAGCTTCTTTACCCGTCTTCCTGCAGGTTAACATGGATGGACACTGGGTGTTTCATTCAATTCTCATATTTCCACAGTTCCATAAGCAGGTTACAGAATCTATGTCAGTTACCTCGGCCACTCCGCCCCACAGTCTCCCCACAATATCTCCCCACCCCTTGGCCATGTGCAGAACCCCGCATTCCCACATTCGAACATGCTACATGATCTCGATGAGATACTTTACTTCTCATCCATGATACCAAAGGATATTGTTTTAATGGTTAATGTGTCATGGCACATCCTTTCCGTGCTGAGCATATCGGCTCTCTTCTGCGCCCTGCAGAGCTACTCGCGGCGCGTTCGGCTGCTGGGGTAACATCTTCGTATTCCCAAATGACCGAGGACATCCACAAAGCCACTGATCAAGCCATTGCTGGCGTCGTTGCTAAGCAGCTAGAGCTTGGCGTCCGTCCGATAACCTCAGGAGAGTATGAGCGAGACAAATTTTACTCCGGGTTTTTCGAAAAGCTTAAGGGCATGGAAGTCATCAAAGATATCCCAATTTCAAAGGGATATCGGACCAATTTTCCGACACTGAGAACATTGAAGGCTCTCGGAATTATGACACGTGATTCAGTCGTTGCTGTCGATCGGATTTCCCGCAGTGATTCCCCTTATTTGTCAGAGTGGAAGGCTTTGCGGAGCCGACTTCCTCGAGAACTGTGGAAGGATTGCAAACTGACCATGCCGCCAATAACTCATAGCCATATGCAGGTATTTCAATCTCGTGGCTTGCTTTCGTCTTTTTTTGATTCGGATATAAAAGTTAATACCTTGGTTTCAGATGGCTACCGGGACTGCTTACCGCCCCAACATCTATTCTTCAGATCAGGAGTACTTCAAAGACCTCGCAGACGCATATGTTGCTGAATTCCGTGCACTCTACGATGAAGGACTGCGTTCTATTCAAATCGACGACCCATGCCTATTGTTCTTTGTGACGGATGAATTCCGATCTGGCTGCGTAGCAGATGGGATAGATCCCGATGAGCTCCTCGACGAATATATCTGGGCGCACAACCAATGCCTTTTTGGAAAGCCCGCAGATCTTCACGTCGGGCTGCATCTTTGCCGTGGTAACATGGCCGGGTCGACCCATATCATGAGCGGGTCGTATGAGCGGATCGCCAAGAAGATATTTTCTGAGTTAGCGTATGACACATATTACCTCGAGTGAGTTCTCATCGTCCATAGTATTACTGCAAAGTTGCTTTTTGTTCTTAATCTTGTTGGAGACAAGGGGGGTTGTGCTAATACAGACCAATCTAAGATACGATTCCGACAGGGCAGGGGATTTTCAACCGCTTCGTCATTTGCCTATCGGTAAGAATGTTATTCTGGGGGTAATTTCCACCAAATCGCCAGATCTGGAGAGCTTGGATGAGCTAGTGGCCCGTGTGCACTCTGCGGCACAGGTCATAGCTCTCGGCCAGGAACGCAGTGTGGCCGAAGTGATAGAATCGAGCCTTGGGGTTAGTCCACAATGTGGATTTGCCAGCATGAGCTCAGGAGGAGCTAATGGAATGACGATGGATATTATGTGGGCAAAGTTACTCCTGGTTCAGCGCCTCGCTAAGCGAATCTGGGGCTGAGTTTGCTGCCTGCAATTCCCTGAAAATTTGCATCACTCCATGAAACGTGCTCATTTTTCAAAATGTCGTTGGAATCTCGGTTTGACTTCCTGACCTCGCTCCAATAATGGTCTGGTACAAACTTTTTGGATGGAAACTGAATGCAGTAGCAGCGTGTAATTGTTCTTTTTAAGGCTCGTCAACAGAGATACATACCTGTATGTCCGAACGATCTCCAATGATTCGATGCTAGAAGCAGTGCCCCGTCGTATTTGAACTTTCTGTGTTCTGTAGCTACCATAATATGACCGAGATCAGATTATCTTGAATCATATCAACCTAAGCGAAGGAGTGGCCTGTAGATAATCAAATTGAAGAAGGCATCGGAGCCCGAGGAAATCCCGGTAAGATAGTGGGGCGCGATCTCAATGATCGACAACCTAGCTACCCCTGAGATTATTATTGGACTGTTCGATTGCCCACGGAGCATAGCTTGCATAAAATAAGACCGTACTCGTAAGTGTCGCCAATTCTCGCCAATCCGCGCCTTCCGCCCCATTCCTGATGTGGGGTCACTTAAGAACGCGTTGTGAATGTCTGCCTGAATCCGGCTAGGATCGTCGGTGCGCCCGTTCGACAGCTGTGGCACCCCCCTCACGAAATGGCTGGGCGGCCGGATGGCATAAAATATGTCCGAGAAACTTCGAGGATCACGGATGAATTTCGCGACCTTCGAGGAACTTCTACCATTCAGCCCTGCACGATGCGTTATAATAAATTTGTTGCTCTGCTAGTCCCCTTCTCTGCTGCGGGGCCGGCCAACGCAATTAATATTATTTCCTCTAACGATGATGGTTGGGCTGAAGTGAATATCCGGGCCGTTTTCCAGACGCTTACTGCTGGTGGTCACTCAGTAGTGGTGGCTGCGCCGGCGGAGAATCAGAGCGGAACCGGTATGGCAGACTGGAAGTACCTCTGCATTGCCCTATTTGGCTGATCATTTTCGCTTTGCAGGGTCCTCGCAGAAAATGCCCACCACTCTCACTGAACCGTGTGAGTTCAATAGCTGCCCGTCCGGCAGCCCAGCCGTGGGATACAATGCCTCACAGCCTCGTCTTAACTATGTGAATTCGTATCCTGCAACCTCCATGGAATATGGCATCAGCTCCATCGGCCCTCAGTTTTTCGGCGGTGCTCCTGATCTTGCGGTCGCTGGCCCGAATGTAAGCTTTAAAAGCCCGAGGGCAGCTTCGTAAAATTCATTCTTAAATTCTATGCACTAATTATTACACAGGTTGGCAACAATATTGGCCTAGCGGTATTGCTATCTGGCACCGCCGGAGCTGCCACCTATGCTGCTCATAATGCTGGAATACCAGCAATTGCATTTTCCGGATATACCGGCTCACAAACAGCCTGGAACGCTTCGGCGACCTTCCCACACTATAGCCAAGTCTATGCAGACCTTTCGCTTAACCTGACAAACCATCTGGTCGCCTCCAGCAGACCTTATCTCCCGAACGATGTGAGTTCCAATTGAATACCAAAAGTTGATGTTAGTTATATTGTCTGCTTACTACCTGAAAAATTCTTAGATCTGGCTCAATGTGAACTTTCCGTCGGTCTCTTCTGAATGTAACACAGCGGCGGACTTTTCATTCGTGCTATCACGTATTCATGTTGCGGTGCCTCTTATCACCCCTGATGATGTGACTACCTGTGGTAGTTCTCGGCTGCCGAGCGAGATCGGGGTTTTTCTGATCTCTGGATGCTACGCAAGCGTATCAGTGGGAATGGCAGGTACTAAGGAAGACGCCAACGCCACCATGCAGGGGGTAGTGCTGAAGAAATTAAGCAGTTTACTTACCTGCCCGCCCTGATTAGTGCAGATATTCAATCATGTGCGACGTTCATCACCTATCAGCTACCGATGCACACCCATGGGGTGTGTTCAAGACAAATCTATGGGATCTGCAGGTGCTAGCCATGCTGGATAGTCCACTAATGAATAATGCTTTGAATTTGAGTATTAATTTCGCATCGTTCTTCCGGTAAGCAGCCGAGAAAGTTTTTCGTTCGGTGCATAGGCGGTGTACTGGAAGCTCGGCCAATTTCGCGAAATGCAATGAACGAGGATTTCTCCTGAAACGAATCAAGCATGAGGCAGAGCCCACGAGGATTCGACTGGCAGAGAGACCCAAACACCATGTGGGTCCTGTCGGCCACCATTCCGCTTTGGGACTGCAGGCCGTTTCGAATTAGGTGGTCTCCGAGCGTGCAGATCTTGACTATCGTCTTGTGATTTTCGGAAGCGGAGATTTCCCTGGTAGCCGCTTAACCAATTTGAGCGGATTGATTTTCGAGGATATAAAGGAAGTCGTCAGTCGAGCAAAGGACCAACCTCAATAACCAAGCTTCTACATTCACTAGTCCTATAAACCATGTTTTTCAAGCCATTCTTTGGCCCTTTGGCCTTGTGCTCTTTAGCTGCGGCGGATACTCGCCTGGGGCGTCGCGGAACGATCGCTTCTGATGAGATAGGTACACCACGCTATATGACTCTTCAGTACTGGGTATTGGAGAGTTTCAGATTCCTTTCTTCCTAGAACGCTTTAAGTGACAAGTATTTTGCATCTAGTCGGATTTGCCCAGACGGTTCCATCTGGCACTACAGGAGAGGTTTATCTTGCCTATCAGCCTGATTTGTACGTTGTGAACGGGTGTGTTCCATTTCCAGCTGTTGATGAGAATGGGGATACAAAGTAAGTCTCAAATAATTAACACCTCTGGACGACACTTAAGCTCACTTTATTAGCGCTGGATTGGCCCCAACTGGCTCCTCGGACGGCGGCTGCAGCAGTAGCACAGGCCAAATTTATGTGCGCGGCAAAAGCTCTGGAGATTACTACGCGCTGATGTACGCGTGGTATTTCCCGAAGGATGAGCCATCCACGGGCCTTGGCCACCGTCATGACTGGGAGGGAGTTATTGTATGGTTGTCTGATTCTACTAGCACGGCAGCCGATAATGTTGTCGCGGTCTGCCCTTCTGCTCACGGCGGATGGGATTGCTCTACTGATGACTATACACTTGATGGGACCACACCATTGATCAAGTATTATAGTATTTGGCCTGTGGATCATCAGTGCGGTTTGACAAGCACGGTTGGCGGCGCCCAGCCTTTGATTGCCTGGGAGTCACTCCCAACAGCGGCACAGGATGCCCTGGACACCACTGATTTTGGAGATGCCATCGTGCCTTTCATTGATGCTCACTTCGATACGAATTTAGGAGATGCCACTTTTTGATAAGCAAGAACCATGGTGAGCCGTCTTCAATCCGAAGGAGAAGTTAAATCGCGCACATCGCAATTTTTTCTGTTTTGATAGAAACTGTACCTAAGGTCCCTTGTCCTCATATTGTAGTGGGTCACGATGTACATGAATTACCTTATTGCTGGTCGAAGTTTAACTACAAATCCGTATTTCAGCCAATCTTCATTTTCGTAACTTGGGACAATGTGCGTCCATTAGGTACCAGAGCCGGTGGGGATAGGCCATGCTCGATAGGAACAGTAGGTAGATTGAGATTGTAGGAAAGTAATCAGGAAGTGATTTTAGACAAAAGAGGAAATGCAAAAACAATCGGGAAGATGTCCTGCCGAAAATTGAAGTAAAAGGAGATACAGGACCAAAAAAGTCACTCTTTGAAAGGTGGTGTAATCGAATTTCAAGAGGAGATACAATCTGAATGCTGCACACGTCCGTACACACTATTCTGATCGGGCACTCTTGGTTTTCTTACTCCGCAGTTTCATCATCAAAAAGACGAGAAAATATGAAGAGATGCAAAACAGGGCGGTGATACCAGTCTGGATCAGTGTATTAGTAAGTGATAAAAGAAAGCAATTTGTAGGAAGGTAAGTTACATCTCTCCAAGAGTAGTACTTCTCCCTGAGATTGAACGTTTTGGCGTAGTCTGCACCTGTGGAGTACTGACAGAATGAGCAAGTCCCGGTGGAATTTGCATCTAGCAGATAGCCTGTTTGCGACGAGAGGAAGTTTGCCATGTATTCACCGCAGGTCTGTCCAGATGGAGCACTGAATGTGATGTATTCTGATGGATCACATTGAACCTTGACATCCCAGAGAACCTCGCCCAGAAGGCCTCCGACGAGGTAGGTAAAAGGATCCAGATAGTAGATCCAGTAACGCCAGAATGCCTGCATCTGGGAATACGGAACAACGACACCACAAAAACTGATCAAGCCTGCACCAATCAACACTGGGTTCATTACTGCAGCGAAATACTCATTGGGTGCATATGCAGCAATGGCTTGACCGATCGACGTGTACAGAAGCTCGTAGACTTAAAAGTGCGTTAGAAGACACTTCGATGAAAGAAAATGAAAAGAGGAAAACCATACATATCATCTGTAGGTAAAAGTGGCCTGAAATACTGGCCTGGGTCTGGAAGCTGGCTGCGAAATAAAAGCAGAGGAAGTAGAGCGTGGCACAAATTATCAAGTACGGAATCTCAGCCACTGTCTGAGCCCCGATAAACGCAATCCAATGGTAGGTTTTTGACTATTACAATAAGTACAATTAGTCACCAATTTCATAGATTAACGCTCTAGTAAGTCAACAAACCTTCTTTTCACGTGTTTCGAAGATGTCACGGTTCTGCAAGAAGAAGGGTTGCATCTGATTAATGCAGCCGGGGGCGACGAAAATAAAGTTGAAAATTGCAAAAAGTCGCAGTTGAAGGGAGAATGTTCCGTGTCCAATTTTCCAAAAGGTAAACCCGCTAAAAAGGGCCGCGAAAATGTGAAGGATTATCTTGTTCCACATGTAGTCCTTGATGAGGATGTGTCAGTTCGGACCGCAAAATAATCATCAATTGGGCTCTAGATGGATCATACCGGTGATCGCCAGATTTTGATGCTGAGGCGTGTAGCCACCATTTTGAATTGGAACCAGTGAGACGTAGCAAAGTCGGCAGTGTCTTGCACATAGTCTGGATCCGCCTTGGCGGTTTTGTTCAGAGCCTCGAGCTCTTCGAGGGCTTTTCCCCGCTCGTCTGATCGATTCCATACTTCAACCCAGTCTGTATTCTCCGTCGTACCACTTCCTTGGACTACCTCAATGATATGCTCAGCGGGATTAGCATCAGGTGGGCATGGCGCGCCGTTGCGTGCGAAGTAATCCAGAATGGTACTGGATTCTTTCCCGGCTGTATTGTATGATATTAGACCAAGTTACAGATAATTCCAGTGTTTGACTAAGACTCACTTTCTCCAAAGTATGTCATCCTTCCACCCTTTGCAAGAAGTAAAAGGCCATCGAAGGCGTCAAAAAGGACTGCAGAAGGCTGGTGGATGGTGCACTTTCGTAAGTTAGTACTAAAGAACTACAGAGCAGGTCATGGATATCCTACCAGAACGGCTTGCCCTCCATCGACGAGCTTTCGTAGGAACCGCACAATATTGTATGCACTCTGTCCATCAAGGCCAGATGTAGGCTCATCCAGGAAAAGCAGACTTGGCTTTGCCACAAGTTCGACACCCAAAGTCACCCTCTTGTGCTGTTCAATGCTTAGACCAGCACCGGGCACTAAACGTTATCAGTTGATAGCACCAAATGGTAGTCACGTAACCTCACCTCCAATCAAAGCATCACTGATATCTCCGAGTTCCAAAAGGTTGATGATATGATCCACATAAGCGATCTTCTCTTGGTAAGAAACCGAGCAAGGTTGGCGAAGAACGGCGGAGAAGATGAGCGCTTCTTTTACCGTCGCTGTTGTCTCGTGTACGTCCAACTGCTCACAGTAACCCGTTGTTCTCTGGAAGCTGATACCCTGCGGGCGCCCATCGATCAGGATTGACCCGTAGATTTCCCCAGAATCCTTTCTTTGAGCGAGTACATCCAAAAGCCTGTGAAATATGTTATGAAGCAAGATTGGGAAGAAAAATTCTTGGGAAAGAATACCACTGACGTTGTTTTTCCGGCGCCTGAAGCTCCCATCAACGCAACTAGACTTCCAGGCTTCACGAAGCCGAAAACCTTATTTAAAAGCTGCTTCTTTTCACCATTGAAGGGCACATGATAGTCAAGGTCATGCCATGTGAAAATAGATTGTTTTGAAGAAATTGCGAGGGCATCTGGTTCACCTGCATGGCGGCTTGTTGCATCTAATCCCGTGTTCTTTGGTTGTTTCTTCTGGCTACCACGCTTGTAAAGCAACACAGAAGAACCGCTCTGGCTGTTTTGAAGCTCGAACCCCACCGACGTCAAGAATATGAAGAATACCCAAAATCCAACAATTATCCCGAAGCTGCGCCAGATGTGACCGTGGGAATAGCTATACTGCTCCCGAATGTAGGAGGCACCATCAATGATGCCTTCGCCGTTGCTTCCAAGCACAGAACAACCCCGATAAGCCGATGCAGAGCTTGAGTAGGCAGCACCATACGGAATATAATCTGGTTCGATGCACTTTAGCTGTCGACCGACAAATTCATTTGCCATCAATGCCTCAAACGCGTACGCTCCAGGGTTTAGATAGAAAATCCAGCGGAACCACACATGCATCTTGTGAAATGGCACCAAATATCCTAAGATCTCTGAAGTTAGTCAATTGTACCTTGAAGGATGGGGGCTTTTTGTCTACCTCCATAAACAAAGAAAACCGTGGAAAGTAGTCCGGAGATCTTGGAAGCATTCCCGAATTGTTTGCAAAGCGCGCCAATCGACCGAAAGAGCTGGATAAAGCACAGAGTTTGTACAATGATGATTATCCAGAAAGTAAAGAATCTTCCCGCGTCCATCTGCAAAGCTGCCATGAAATATAAAATGAGCGAGAAACAAGTCACTTGAATTATCACCACTGGAATATCAGCGATGGAACTGGCAATGCAGAAGGCTGTTGGACGATAGAAACCAAACCGTTTTTGACGGGAGAGAATGGGACGGCCCATAAAAGAACTGGTAGTTTCGGACATGGACTCAAGAAGGAAGTATAGAACAGGGAAGAAGAGTACGCCGGGACGCAAGAAGATAGAACTGCTGTCCTCGGCGAGGTTGTAGAAGAGAGACCCACACACCAATGCTTGGATGAGGGCCGATACGACCTTCACGATGAGTGAGAATTTGTCTCCCCACATGATTTGGAACTGTCGAAGAGTGCAAGAGCGAATCTGGTCCCGCAGGTTCGCAGTATAAGCACTCTGAGTGCGAGGAACGTGCTGCTTTTGCTTTTCACTGGACACGGCGACCTTAAGATCATCCGTCTCATAGGTCAGCTTTTCAGGGGTGTCCATGGATTCCATCTGTCCTTGGTAAATGGAGCTGGCGTGGTATCGTGATTCAAACTCTTCCGCGGTATTGGGCACTTTCCCCTCCCACCCGGCACGCACAATTCTCTCTGTGATGACAGTAACGGACGTGAGATAGTCTGCCACATTGGCACCTTTGGGACATATAAAGCCAAGATCCTCAAAATACCCTTTGGCAAGCCGACGAGGGCCATAGTAAGTTACCCTACCGTCGGCTAACACAAGGACTTTGTCGAATGTATCATAGATACCATTTCCTGCCTGGTAGGTGGTTGTAATCACGGTCTTCTCGTTCTCGTCCGCTTCTCGTCGTAACATCCGTGCAAACTCTCCAGCTGCCTTTGAGTCTAAACCACGGGTAGGATTGTCCCAAATTTGAACCGGGCTCTGTTTCATGTGATGTTAAGCCACAAAGCTGATCCAAAAGAGGAGCGCGGCAACCTACCTGTCCCGCCATCACTTCGGCCAGGGAGACACGTTTCCGTTCACCTCCAGAAACGCCGCGGACAAACTCATTGCCAACACGCGTCTTCTTTGTGTGACCAATGCCAAGAGAGTTGAGGATGTTGTCCCGTTTTTCCAAAACATAGGCTTTGCGGTCGGCCAATTCTTGGGGTCGCTCATTAGGAACTTTGTTCCACAAGGCAAATTTCATGGTTCGGTTCACGGTGAGTGTAGGGAAATGTAAATCATCTGAAGTAGATATCAGAACTACCTCATTCATGTCAACGCTCTCCATGACAAACCTTCATTGTTGAACATAATCTGTTGACGAAACTGCTTTGCGGCTTTGTGGTCCATGCTTCCATATCGAGTCTCACCCCTAACTTCATCGAACGTCTCTCGGTCATTCGAAAGAACGCGAAGCAGGGATGTACAACCAGATCCTGGACGACCGAGAACGAGAAGCTATATCTATCAGCTGCCGATTCCATCGTTGATAGATACAGCTCGCTGTACGTACCATTTCCCCCGGCTTGACCTGACCAGAAACGTCTTTCAGAATTGTCTGTTATTACCATCAGTGACTGAGTCCAATGTGCTCTGGATCCTCGCTCAGTACTCTTTTTTGTTTGTGATTCCTCTTGAATAAGCCGCCGAGTTGGCGGGGATCAACCTCTGACCACAAAGTGCTTCCTAATGCAGCATCTGTGGACGTCACTCGAACATTGAGATCGCGAAATGTCACGGTGAGGCGCTTTCGAATACCACCACCACCACTTTCCACATCAACTGGTGTCGCGGTCCCGGATGATGGAGTATTCATCCTGGGTAATTCTCCAAGATCGAAGTCCGCTGACTTTTTGTGAGGCAAAATATTCGTCAAAAACGTATATTATTAGTTTCTGATCCGGATGAGAGATTTTGTTGAAGATGTGAACGGCTCGTCTCTAGATCTCATATTTGTACGATCGGACCTAATATGCATATGGACAAGCACTACTCATACACCTAAATCCGAATTGCCGAGTGGTGGGTCCCGGTTCGACTTGAGTTATAAATCCGTATCGTTGTACCGGTAGATCCGAGGTGATAATGCTATGTGGCATCAGCAACCCCTCGGCTTCCACTATCGATAAGTGGAGAATAATTATAAGATGCATCCATCCCGGAAATAACTGATTTGAGATCCATCGGCTTTATACCTTCCTCCACACCGATTGTTGGACAATTCTAATTTTACATTCTAGCGCCATGACGCGTCCGCTCGCTTAAGGCCGCGATCAAAATTTACGATTCGACCGGATATAGATTACATCAATCTGCAATATTGCTGAATGTTCCAGGGCCTTATCTGCAAATCTCCGTCAGCAAAAGACCGCCGGCCATTCTAGAAGGCCCATCCAAAGCCACCCGGCATTTCTCTGGGTAGCACAACTTCCTGCTGAAGCGCTGTGTCTAAGCTGTCCTTGATCTGGTTGTAGGCGTTTTCCGGTTCCGTCCACTCGGCATACCGCTGATTTTCTCCCAGCGAACTCCGAGCAGATCGGCAAGCCTATGATCCCGAAATCCTATCTTATTTATCAATCTAAATGTCAGCATCCTGAAAACTTGCCTGGCAGACCTCTACGATTCGATGCCAAACCTTAACAAAACCAGATTCTATCGGTCAATAGTCGATTTGAATATATACGTTGCGCCACCCCATCCCAAAACTGAATCGGGCGATTAATTATCGATTGTGTGGAAATCGGTCAATAAATAAGTAAACATTCGACGCAAGCCAAAATACTCGCATAATGAGTGCCCTAGGGAAATGAATGGTCCACGGACTGGTATATAGAGAAAAACGCCTCTAAATCCATAGTCGAGAAATCGAAATTCCACCCCATATCGGACTGGGTGAAGTCGAGGAGATCCTCGTTTGAGCCGCCAGACCCACCAGTCTCCGGTCCCTCGAGCAGTGGAAGGCTCCATTGAGGTGTTGATAGGTCTGGCTGTTGGCCGTGGAACAGGTTTTGAGGAAACGAAACACTAGTATGGTTTCCTTGTTGACGGTTGGCATTGTCAGGAGTTCGAGAAACGGATATTGGCCCCTCCGAGCGGTATGTCGAATTCTCTTCAGGCGTGGGATGGGGTGTCCATTCATAAGAAGGCTTGATGTTGCGCAGCACTGTTTGGACCGCCGCGATTGTGCTGTCAATGGGATCGCCTTTTCGCATCGTGGACAGATTCTGTAGGGAAGCGTATACCCAAGGCAGGTGCGTTGCTGCTGCAGCTGGATCATGGAGCAGGTCATATATCAACGTGAAGGTTGAGCTGCTAATAAAATATCCATGGTATCGTAATTGCTAAAAACAAGGTCAGCGACTCAGTAGAAACACGACTATCTCACTAAGAACCGGCACCTTGACTAAGTCATTAGCACGAGCTGCTTCACATAGGTGATGAATTGTTTTCCTCGCGGCGGTAAGAGCATGATCGCAAGCCTCATTCAGCCAGGCGGGAATTTCGGTTGGACGACTGGATGCATCGCCACCGGGTTGTTGGAGTGACATTTTCATGTCCCGCTGCCAGTGGCCGCGGAAGATTAAGAAAGGGCGGAAAGTAAGGAGAAGAGTGTGCCAGTACACTTTTGGTGTTAATTACAAAGCCAGATCCACCAGAAGGGTCTATAATAACTTACAAGTAGTAAAAATTGTCTGCCGGACACCCAGAGATCCTGTTTGAATACTTGCATTCAGCCCAAAGCCCAATGCCTGTTGCATGTGCACCTCTTGGCCACGAAGGTCATGAGTAATTGAGCGGGCCACCCGCCACATGTGTAACAATGACTCGTGACGATGGCCGTAGATCTCGTTGGTGGATCGCGAGATCGTCTTGCAGAGTTCAGCCAAGAGCCGAATAAATGGATCCTGTGCATATTCGATTGCGACATCTTTCAAAGACAATGAGCTGGGTCGACCAGAGTGAAAGCAGAACCACCTATGATAGAAATTCAGCATGCCCCCGAGAAATCGCACAAATACAGGACTATACAGACGTTTCATAAAGATAGAGAGACCAGAATGTGATTCGTCGCTCTTCAATGGTCTCATGGTTTTGAGAATCGCCATGGGGGACATCTTTGTGTAAGCCAGCAGACAGAGCCTTGCGAGCGGCGGACCCAAGATGCAAAAAGGCCGAATTGGGCCGACCCTGTTCATTTTGGTAGTTGGCGTTTTGCGCGGTCAGTACTGAGGTGACCCGGCCGTGAAAGAAGGGGGGGGGGGCGACTTATCATGAGTAATGAGATTTGTACAGTTTGTAGATTAACAACGTCGTCGTATGATGTTAACGACGTCTTGACACGGTCAAAAAGTACGTCGCCCCAGGCAAAATACTCGGTGCCTAGGGAGCCAGTTGCCAGCGACATCAAGATGATGGCCTGAGTGAGAGTATCCGGGTGCACCGCAGGAGAAGGGTCATAGAGCTCCTCTAGGCATTGCGCTAAATAAGCTTTGGGGCGAAGAGGCATTAGATAGTAGAGAGTGTTTAAGAATCGCGAAAGGAAGACTTTTGCCAACTCATATGATAAGAACATCAGCGGGACATCGCCCACACCCGCATACTTGCCGATGTCATGGGTGTCTGGGGTCCCAAAAAAGATACGACGGAAGCTGAATAGATCCAGGCCAGCGCCTGCTTCTTCGACTCCGCTCGAGGGTGCCGGATGGGAAGTCGGGTTGGAGACGAGATCCCGGTAGATATGTTGCATCAGCGCAAAATGCGAAGTGGGTCCGTAGTAGAGCTGCATCTGACATGAAGGCGATGCCATATGCGTGGCCGAGACGCTGTTGGGAAAAGTATGCATAATTGATGAGCTCCGAGGTCTGGTCGATGGGGTGCCCGCCGGCGAGGCTCGCCGGGGCTGGTCCTCATGTCGGGCCTCTTGATACTCATGCTTCTTCCTTCGATGCCGGATGAAGTCCCTGTACATGCAGGGGGTATTCCTCTGCTGACATGTTTTGCATCTGGAAAGAAACGTCAGGTTCAGTTCCACAGCTGAACTGCCACCGCCTGGGCGGAGTGATCTTACGGGTTCAGGCCATTGCAGCGGATTTTGCGCTTTCGGCACTCCTGGCACGCCTTGGGGACGCGGTGACCGGCAGTGGGGGGTCCAATGCATCAGCCATATCCGAGCAACAGGGAGGACGGACTCAGTATTGGATGCTCGGTGGCTTGCTCTACTGTCGGTGCGCGGCGTGCACTGCGTGTTCGGTGGATATGACTCGGATGTTCATCCGCCTCATCCGTCTATATCCGAAAGTCACATGACCGCGGTCGCGTTTGTCCCGCAGTCGAATGAACAGAGACGCGCTCACTCAGGATCGGGCACAAAGTAAGTCATGAACGAAAAAGAGGGCCACCAGCGCCAGGAGGCCAGGAGCTAGTCCTGGATCATCGCGACCAGTGCATAGTTGCGAGTGACGGGAGGGGAAACAGCCAGCGGCCTTGCCTCGGGCTCCCCCGCCAGAGAGGCCCCTCACCTGCGCCTATCATTCAACAATGATCAGCGACGGACATCTGGGTATCCTTGGGTTGGGGCATATCGGGTAGGACCAGAAGGAGTCTTGCAGTCATGTTTTGTTTCATTCAGCCGACCCCCTTGCGATGCCAGCGACCCTCGGATCTCCCGTGTCCTCGCGGTAGAGACCGCCAAGGAGGCGCGTCTTGGCAGCTCTGGCTCAATCAATTCCCTTCTCATACTTGGTCGACGGTGGCTGTCATGGCGCTGGCGAGGCCATCTCGGATGAATGGATCGGCACTTTCTGCTAACGGCTGGCAGATTAGCAGTCCTCAGGCCGGCAGCCTGCGAAACTGAGTTTCTGGGGCTCCATGGGTCCGAATATTTTGTCCGGGGTAGAAGCCGAGCAACGCCATCTTGACTCTGGACTCCCCGGGACCTCATCCGTTCCGCTGGGACTACTCCGACCAAGACTCCGTCGGATCGGATGTTCCCCAGTCGATCGGAAACATGAGTATTACACGTTGGCGCCTGCAATCGCCGTGGTTGTTTTTGCGGGCTGGCCCCGAGCCGGCTTGATGCAGTGCCAGCCGCCAGAACAGACGACACCGCAAGTAGACAGCTCAACGTGGACGGCACAGTAAAGTGAAGAGGGAGTAAGACTACATACTACATACTACATACTACATATAGTCCCGACGGTGATGACCTGGGCAACCCGAACAACCATAGCCCTATTGCTGGGCCTCTCTCATTCCAACTCTCGCGTGGAATGCCAAGCGCGGGCTGCAAGGCGGCCCTCTCAATGCACCTCTCGGTCGCGTCATGCCAAGCGCGGACTGCATGCGCGGGCTCCAAAGACCCAACGAACGCCAATTGCCAAGAACCGGCCCCTATCATCCATGGCTCATGGCTGATAGGCTCATGGCCCATTGCCCGTTACCCATTGCCTTCCGAGACGACGAGACGACTGGTCCTCTTGGCGCCGGCAAATCCAGACCAGCAAACGGTGCTGGATGTGTTCCTCCTGCCGAGCATAAATTAAGCCCCGTGATAAACTCTTTTCCCCATGGGACGGGCTTTCCCCGCAACCCCAGACTCAGCGTGCTCGGCACTTCCGGGCGGGAAAAGGGGGGAAACAACAGAACTAAGACATGGCCCTGTCACCAGCCGGATCCTCAACTTATAAAAGACCGCAAGCTGCCCTTGTCCTACCCGATCTCTCTACCAACGGATTCTCCTTCCACCTCAGCCGTGACACCTTCTGGCCAGTTCCCGCTTATTGCCCCTCATGGTTACCCCCATGGCCGACGAGTCCGCTCCGGACGAGAAAGGCATCTCCCACCACAAGGAGGACCTCATGTCAGAGGTAGCTCGTGACGCGGCCGAGCGCGGTCACCTGGCCACGGATCAGTATGGACAGGCCCTGGTGGAGTTTGACCGGGCGGCCGAATCCCGACTGCGATTGAAGATCGATCTGTACGTCGTGCCCACCGTGGCTCTGATGTACCTGTTTTGCTTCATTGACCGGGCAAATATTGGTACGTCGCCCTTGGGTCGCCTGACCCGAAACGATCGTAGTGTTTCCGCCTGTGCTCACGAATGAAATCAATTTCGCAGGCAACGCCAAGCTGGCCGGTTTCAATAAAGACCTCGGATTACAAGGCTACGATTACAATTCCGTGCTGTCCATCTTCTTCGTCGCATATATTATTTTCGAAATTCCGAGCAATGTAAGGCTAACCTGCATCTGGGCCTGGAGGGCCGTCACTGATGAAACCTATCTACCTAGATCGCGTGTAAGTGGATTGGTCCGGGTTGGTTCCTACCCGCCGTAACACTGGGTTTCGGCATCTGCTCGGTTGCAACGGCCTTCGTCCATGATATCCACGCGGCTTCGGGCGTTCGATTCCTGCTGGGCATGTTCGAGGCCGGCCTGTTACCTGGAATCGCTTACTACCTCAGTCGCTGGTACCGCCGCAGTGAAGTAAGTCGTCTTCATGGCCCTCTGTGGTCGACGATGTCGGCGTAACTAACATCACCCAGCTGGCCTTCCGTCTATCCTTGTATATTGTCATGGCGCCTCTCGCGGGAGCTTTTGGGGGCCTTCTCGCGTCGGGAATCCTCACGCTGGATCACTTTGGTGGTCTCCATAGTTGGCGGATGATCTTTGCCATCGAAGGCATTATCACGATTGGTGTGGCTCTGATTGCGTTCGGGACGCTGACCGATCGGCCCGAAACCGCCCGCTGGCTGTCCCAGGAAGAAAAGGACTTGGCGATTGCTCGAGTCAAGTCGGAGCGCATTGGCACCACTGAAGTCCTAGACAAACTTGACCTTGCAAAAACTCTGCGGGGTATCTTTAGCCCGGTCACCCTCACCACCGCATTTGTCTTCTTGCTGAATAATATCACGGTTCAGGGTTTGGCATTTTTTGCGCCCACAATTGTCCAAACCATCTATCCGAAGGCGACCGTGGTGTCACAGCAGCTCCATACCGTGCCGCCTTACGTTGTCGGAGCGTTTTTCACCGTGTTGTTTCCTTTCCTCAGCTGGCGATTTGATCGGAGATTGATTTTCTTCGTTATTAGTCCACCGTTGATGATCACTGGATATATTATGTTTTTGGCCAGTGAGGACCCTATGGTCCGGTATGGAGCCACTTTCCTCATTGCAAGCGGTGCATTTGCCTTTGGCGCCCTCTGCAACGCCCATGTGTCCGCGAATGTGGTGTCCGACACGGCCCGATCCTCTGCAATTGGAACTACGGTCATGTTTGGCAACATCGGGGGCCTGATTTCCACCTGGTCATTCTTGCCATCCGATGCACCCAATTATCACATTGGTAATGGTCTGAACCTCGCGACATCCACTATGACGTTGTTGCTTGGTGCGTTCCTGTGGACCTATATGGCGTGGGATAACCGGAGACGAAGTCGGGTCGATGTTAATACTGCGCTGGCGGGGCTTTCACAGAAGCAGATTCAAGACTTGGACTGGCGCAATCCTGCCTTCCGCTGGCGGCCATGAAACCTATCCCGGGGGCCGTGGGTGATTTTGTTGCGTTTATCTTTCAGGAGGCTATGAGGATTACGATTTGGATTAAAGCCGGGCTGAGCCCATAGTTATATTTACCTTGAATATTCAAGTTATGATTAAAATTTCTGAAACTCCCTTTCTTCTACTTGCCTTTCTTTAAAGGAGGAGCATACTTGCGATTTGTTTTAAATGGCCGAATCTCAGATATTGCCGCAACCTTAATCCGGGCTCAATAGTTTGCATCCGATATGTAATAGGTTGTTGGAGGACAAGATCAGAGGATGGAGGTAGTAGTCCCTCTTCGGGGCACCCATTTGATTTGGAAGTCAGATGTTTTGCAAGGGTATCAGAATACCCATCTATAGCTGTGTCTTCAACTTTTGTCATTTTCCAGGGACCACCCCTTGTCTTTGTTTGAAATTTCGTCTTCCCCTTTTCGAGACCCCGCCTCGTCGGAGCTTTCACGAAACGGTTAGTTTGCCGAGTGGGGCCGGCAATGCCGGTTCCGGGAAGGCAAGTAAGCAATAAAATAAACAACTACCCATCCTGAAGGTAGTCCAAATCGCCTGAGCTGTTCACCAATCAATCCCGAATCATCATGTCGTGCGAAGCCTGCCGTACCATTCCACCTGTCACACCCCAAGGCTATATCCCTCAAGGCCGGTACGAGACCCTCGCGGGTCTCAACACATGTGGGTTCCTCCCCTCTACCTATAGTGTTGAATTCGCTCAGAATGTGATGGATTTTGCCCGCAGATGTCGCCGGAAAAACAGATGCACGGATTGGTCTTGTAGACATCTACGGTGTTTTTGGGATGGCCAGTCAAACTGTCCAAGGCGCCGATCTCCTGGCGGCCCGGCTAAACGCTGTGGTGCTCATTCCGGATTTCTTCGGTGGGGAACCCTTGAAACATGAAAACGTGCCCGCCAACACGGAGGAGAAGAAGCAGATTATTGCAGAATTCCTGGCTCACAAAGCAAATGTCACTCGCAATGTTGGGGTGGTGACAGAGGCCGTTCAGGAATATCGCACGCGATTCCCATCAATCAGCAAATGGGGAGCCTTTGGTTTGTGTTGGGGTGGAAAAGTGAGTTCTGCTGTGATAGCTGATAGCTGCCATCGAACGCAAAGCCTGACTTGCTTTTTTCCATTGAAATTAGGTAACAGTTCTCGCGTCTGGTCCTAACACTCCGTTCGCTGCGTCCGGTCAAGTGCATCCTGGGTCAGTTTCCATTTCCTCCTCTTTTTGTTTAGCACCTGGTGAAGTTGCTTGGTTGCCAACTAAAATTCGCATACAGTATGATGAATGTGGCTGACGCGAAGGCGCTGTCAATCCCTCACATCGTGTTGGCCTCTAAAGATGAGCCCGTGGACGCGGTCGCAGATTATACGGACCTGCTTTCCAAGAATGACAAGACGGGCCTAGTTGAAACCTATTCCACCATGTGGCACGGATGGATGGGTGCCTGGGCAGATCTTGAGAAGGAGGAAAGTCAGGCTGAATATGCTCGTGGGTAAGTCTTGGTTGACGATGATTGTGGGTGACTTTCAGGCCCTGACTCGTATTCGCTCAGATATAATCAATTGGCCGATTTTTTCGAGACGCATCTTTCTTGAAGACCCCCAAATAGGAATTCTTCATCGATCTGATGGAATTAGGCTCAGCATCTAGATATTGTTGTGGGGGAACACGTAACTCTTGGTGTATTTTTTATACCCTGCAGGGCATGAGTTTCATGACGCAGGCCCTTCTTCCTTCGCCGTTTACCTTCCCCCGTGAACTTTTACTCTAGTAGGTCTCCCCCTTCAGTGGATGAGCTTTGCTGGCAGACAGACTGGCCGCTTTGATATGTAAGTTCACCCGCGCTGCCCGTCTGGAACGCAAGGAATGAACCGTTGCCTGAGAATCGTCCATGTCAGCCTGTAAGGCCACTGTGCCCACACAATTCAGCCAAAAGAAAAATCCCAACCAAATGGGAGCATCCGTAAGCTTTGCAAGCCTTGCAAGCCTTGCAAGCCTTGGGCCAAATCTACGGAGTCAAGGATAGGGTAGCGGGCTATGTCGGTTATATCATTTACATAACCAGTCAGCTACCACGTCCTTCGGGTGACAGATCATAAGCCGCTTCTCTTCAATTGAGGATTTTCATAGACTAAAAAGCTCTAAGGACAACCTTACTACAATCTTAATATGTAAGATTGTCACTGTACTGAAATGTATAACAGGCCTTGGGATGACACGGCACCTCTGTCTCAGGTGATCGGCCTACTTCCATCGCCGACTTGAAAATAACTGCTTCCTTGGGCAATTTCGACAGTGGCCGCCCCGAGCGCCCTGACCCACTTCCGATGCGCCACCTAACCTACCCATCGTCCACCTCCATCCCGGTAACGGTCCGCCATCGGGATGAAACGATGACAGCAGAACATTCGGGGCCAGCTGGCCCATTGATGGATCGATGGCTGTAGCCTCGGGTACATATAGGATGACGTACCTATCAGGGCTATTAGGTTGATGATCCCAACCTCCTTCACCCCCGTGGATTCCGCAACGCCATCGAAGAGAGGTGTAGCCGACTTGCATCGCACCTCGCCCGGGAAGCATCATGCTCGTGAAATGATATCGGATTTTAATCATGCGACCAACATACACTACCGTTAATACCGGATCATACCTCGACTTAGCCAGCTCGCCATGCTTCGGGACACGACAAAGATGGTGTCACGGCGGCTGAGGCACCGTATAGCGTCCTCCCCACGTAGGAGACAATCTTGGTGATGATCGTCAGTTCGTTTGCAGCTTTAATTTCCCCGCTCTCGAGCAGTATTTAACTGCCTGCGCTTAATGCTAATGTTCGAGACATGGATGTTCAGTTCCCTGGATTGACCTCACCATCATGACACCTGGTAAGATTGCCCATTTCCCGGCTTATCGCTGCGAGACGACAAAGGCTAATCACAGCACCTCTTAGATCTTCCAGGGTCTGGAATCGGTCTGGAAGACATTGAAATTGACATGACATAGGCTGGGTGAGTTATGGAGAAATCAACTTTATTCTCTTTTTTGAGTACAAAGATAACCCGCGATGATGTGCCTCGCTGTTAGAGCTGGGCATCCATAGCCAGACAACTTGGTCAAATGACCAGAACCCCTCTTCTCTAGTTTATTTAGGTAGATTCCAATCCATCATCATTCATCAACCTCACAGTTCTTTCGGATTTTGCCACATGCCCGTGTGTTTCCTACCCTTTCAATGTGCTTTTTCGTGCTGGGCTTCCGACGAGCGTGCAGGGCCAAGCTTTTTAGAATGCGATCGAGAGAATGCATGCACCATTGGCAATCCGAACGAACCTGCCCAACACTCCATCTGTGGTGATGAAGGCGTATGACGGGGCAACTATTGAGCATGGATCGCTTGATCGAGATCGCAAACAAGGGAAGAGATTGGTCAAACCCAAAGTGGAGGCGATTGCGCGGCGGTCGGCTTCTGTGAAAAATATTGAATTTCCCCCAAGACTCGCCTTAGGAACTCACTAAGGGGCAATTGTAGATATGTGGGCAATCAGACATCAAAAATAATTCTTTTTCTGCGGTACCATCTTTCTAGAGTTTGTAGAGTGAGTTCGCGATCATCATAGAAGAAAAGCTTGAAAGAGCTTGGCGCTCTCCGCTAGCCTGGTCCCACAGCCCGAACGCTGAAAGGCGGGTGTTGACACTCCACAAAAAAAAGTTGACGACGCTAGCGCCGAGGCTTACGCATGCTCCTGGAGCTATATTTAATTCCCTATGACGCGAAATGGGGGCACCCTGTTGACTCCTGTCACATTTCAAAATCTTTTCTTTCTCATGGGTATCGCCAGTGACTTGACGGCCTTTGGCTACTACTACTGAAGTGTGCATCTCGCTCGAACCCGGCCTATCTATCTATGAGCTGCCCCCACTTCTAGGAGCCGGACCCACTCGAAAGCTTCCCAGTTGGACCCTGCCAGAAACCGAGATGTATTTTCGAAGTCTCGGGCGTTGGCTAAAGGGCCTTGTGCTCACGCTTCTCATTTCTAACCCGGCCAGTGCGATCGATCTGGATATCAGTGATGAACGTACGTGGTGCTGCATCTTATGACTAATCTATGCCGAGCATCTTTGCTATGGATTGTTCGTTTTGGGGATTGATAAGCTGATCTCTCAATGATTAATAGAATCGGTCAAAGATGCTGCCAGCACAACCGTCTACGCTATGATGACATATTACCATGGAAACGAGACCGGTCACATCCCTGGAGCCTTCGCAAGCAAGTGGTGGGAGGGATCAGCCCTTTTTCTGGCCCTACTTCAGTACTGGCATTTTACTGGCGACACAACATACAATGATGAGTTACGTGTTGGTTTGCAATGGCAGTCTGGTTCTGATGGCGATTACATGCCCAGCAATTACAGCAGCTACTTGGTGAGGAGTAGCCCTGCATTTGAAACTTTGGAACCAGGTTTGCTAAACGTTGGAAGGGAAACGACGACCAAATGTTCTGGGGACTTGCAGCCATGACGGCCGCTGAATTGAAGTTCGCAGATGTTTCGGATGGATTTTCTTGGCTCTCGCTCGCACAAGGTGTCTTCAACACTCAGATCAAACGATGGGATACATCTGCATGTGATGGTGGGATGCGCTGGCAAATCTGGCCTTATGAATCTGGCTATACGATGAAAAACTCTATATCCAATGGTGGTCTTTTTCAGCTCTCAGCCCGTCTGGCCCGCTACACCAATGATGAGACTTATGCTACATGGGCTCGGAAAATCTGGAACTGGTCTTTGAGCTCTCCGTTACTCAACAGCTCGACCTGGAACGTCGCCGACTCCACCAATATGGACAATGATTGTGCGACTCAAGGAAACACTCAGTGGTCTTATAATTACGGCACGTATATGATGGGCGCAGCCTATATGTATAACTATGTAAGAAGCATTGCATCACCCAACTCGTGCCATTCGACATGATACCTCTCCCCACCCCCCGCCCCAACCGGTGCCTTTACACATTTTGCTTCAAAAGAGTTCCTTGCATTGACTGGGTAATTTACAGACAAACGGAAGTTCTGATTGGCTTTCTGCTGTTGATGGGCTGATGAACAAAACATTTGACCAGTTCTTCCCAGATAGCAACGGAGGTATTTTTGAGGAGGTTGTTTGCGAGCCATCGGAAAGTTGTAATGATAATGAGATTTTGTTCAAAGGTCTTGTCTCTTCATGGCTCTCGTTCACAGCTCTCTTGGTGCCGTCGACATACAGCACAATCTTGCCGAAACTCCAAGCCTCGGGCCAGGCTGCTGCTAAGTCTTGCACAGGACACAACAACAATACGTGTGGAGTGCGTTGGTATCAATCCGAATATGATGGATGGATTGGCATGGAAGAGGAAATCAGTGCTACCAACATATTTGTCGCAAATATGATTCAATTCCAGAGCAGTGCCCCGGTCACATCGACGACAGGTGGAAACAGTTCTAGCGACCCCACGGCGGGCGAGAATGATACGAGCTCCTCCACTGAGACTCAAAAAGCCATCACAACTGGAGACAAAGCTGGAGCTGGAATCCTGACTGTCGTCTTTGTTGCCGGATGGGTCGGCTTGATGAGCTGGACAGTACTTGGAGGCTAAGCATTTCTCAACGCAACGGGGTTTTGGAGTCTTAATGGTTCTAGATACTTGCCATGTATGATCGGATTTTTTTGTTGGGACTCTTTTATATATGTATTTAGATATTTATCCACCAGCTTCAGTGAATATCAAGCTTCTGATGAAACGGTACGCTTCTAAAAAAGTTATCGAAGGCTATATTAGGTCATGCTAGAGACTGTATTTCTTATATTTTGAAAAAGGAAACTTGAATTACTCATGAACATGTGCATTGGGAATGCCGAGTAACGGTCGTACAGGGATCAGTGCGCCAGTACGGACCATCGTATCACTCCTCATCTTCTCATTTTTCCTCAAGTTGAATCAGCGTATAAGCAAAACTTAAGAATTGGAAATTTTTGTCTGTTTTCATATATCTCCATTACCCTGGCCCTACTAACAGTGGAGATTACCAAGTTCTGGGAGTACGCATCCCTGGGCCATGTAATATGGAGCTCGATGAATTAATCGCTATAGATTGTGATATATTCCAATTAGATAGTGAGTCAAATAACACAGGGTAGAAGATGCCAGGCGAAGCTTCCTATAGATGGATATCTCCTCGACATAGATATAAAAGTATCAACGGAAGGCATAGTGGCTAGCAACACTTTTGTTATAGCGAGATACTATAAATAGTACTGTAATCAAACAGGTGACATTACCTCCTATTTACTGAGTATATGGGTATTAGTCCCTTACCAAGGATAATTACGTGTTATACATATTTTCAAAAGAGCAAGCTCTAGTTATCATAGTAACAACTAGCTACAGCACTAAATAAAGGTAATAGTTATCATATCATGATGATGATGATGATGATAACTCTATTAACCGAATGTAGCCCAGCTAGTGCGCAGTGGCTATGTAGGCGCTTCCTCCGGCGGAAGCACAAGCTAACCGAACGCCCACCGAAACGTAGTAGATAGTAAATACAAAGGAAAACGGCATTTTGCCAAACAAATGCTGAAACTCAGCCCATTACAATACCGATACGCCCGCTATAGTCAAATCCCACTGTTTTCTTCTCTCAGTTCGACCTCGTCGCTCTCATCGCACCCCTTGTATCGACATCTTATATCCGGCAGGGTTTAGCTGCTCAGAAACTGCCTAATTGTTTGTAGGTGCTGGTCACTGTTAATCATACCCGATTGACCTACCTTGCCAAAGGGAAAGGTCACATGTACTCTTCCTCTGTGACCTCTGTCCGGCCAGTCGAAGTATCGACGATTTGATAGAGCCCAAGCACATTGGAAAGATTTTTGGCTAAGCTCTTCGATAAACTAGGCACTAGGATCAGGGCCGGACATTCCGGTGCTGCGATCGGAACAAATCCCGTAAAGATACCAAAACTGTCATCGGCCACATTCACGGACTAGGTTTGATAGTGCCGTCATATTTCGCAAGGCCGGTAAGGCTGAAATAATCTCTGCGCAATTCTCAGGGTTCGAGGTCCCGTTGGCGTCAACTAGAACTCATGATAATTGAGGGCAAAGTGTGAATGTAGAGGAGCTCTTCCAAGCATCTCGGTCCCTAGTACCGGAAAAGCTCATGTAGAAAATCTTCGAGAATCTTGAGACTAGTCATCTGGATTCGTTCAAATTGGGAATTTTGTTGAAGGCGCCGAAATCGTATGGAAGTTGAACTTGCATTGTGTACGAGAGCTTCAAGGCTGATGAAATTTGTAGTATACAGATGAATGAATTGTTTGTTGTAGAACCACCCAGCCTTGAGATGCCCCATAACCTAAGCGAAAACATGCCTTACATTCACGCAATCTCAATATATTTTCGGTTAGATGGTGGGGTATGCGAAAAGCAGGAGTTGAATACCTACCTACCTATACCCGTACTGGTTCCTCTGTACCCAATTGACAGCTCTGTTCTATAAGCAGATATTCTCACAGCACTCTATTAAAATATAAGCTCTTCTAAAAATTGCCTTAGTGCATCACTCCAGAATGCCTAATAGAGATAGTGACTAACTACTCTATAATGGCATATATATGAATATATAGTCAACATATTGGGCACTACATGGTTATTTATGGCACGAAGTCTATATATCCCAATACGCATCCTATATGTTAAGATGGCTCAATGAGAGCGCAAATTGATATTTTGTGGTACCTATATCTAAATCCGGAGAGGCTTCATATGAAGGAGCTATGTCTGGCTGTTATGAACGGTTTGATTCCCACTAATGATGGCGGAGAAGGCGCACGATGAAGAGGGAAGAAATGCAGAGCAAAGATTCAATAGAAATTGCAAAACAGAAAATTAAAGAAGAGATCTAGGATGAATAGATAAATGTTGAATGGAAATGACAGAGATAAAAGAACGAACGGCTAGACAAAGATTTCAGTTCACAGTTAATACCACATTCCATGTTAGGGAATCCCGTTAGCCATGATACTAAATTATATGACTGGGCATCTCTAGCTAAATCAAGTTGTACAGATGAGGGGATCTAGTCTGAACCGGAGGCGACATGGACCTCAACCGAGCCCGCAGTTTCATCCTGCTTGATATAAATAAGGTCCAGAACATTATCACTGTCCCAGTCGTACATCATCCAGGACCCATTGTTCTCGACAGCAAAGGTAGTAGGGACACTCTGAATGATAGTCTGATAGCCGGACGCGCCTGAAGCAACATTCACTTCGACAAAACCAGAGGCTGTGTTGATGTTTTGGATGTAAAACAGGTCATAGGATCCATCCATATCCCAGTCAGCCAGGAGCCAGGTGCCATCGTTGCTAATAGAGAGACTTGACTCCGTCTGGCTAATGAGCGTGGTGTATTTAGAAGCCCCCGACGCAACAAAGACTTCAGCGTAGTTGGAGGCCGTGTTGCTGTTCTGGATGTAGATAAGGTCAAGAGTGCCGTCACTGTCGAGATCGAGCATCTGCCAGCGGCCGTTGACCTGCACATCGAACACTGTCTGAGTATTCTCCAAGAGGTAGGATTGGAAGTTTGTTGCGCCAGACGCAACGCTAACCTCCACCTTGCCGGAGTCGGTGTTTCGGTTCTGGATGTAGATCAGGTCTAGCGTTCCATCGTTATCGTAATCCGCCAGCTCCCACACTCCGTCGTCCTGCAGAGTGAACATAGCGGCTTGGTCGATCGCGATATATCCGTAGTCGGTTGGGGCGATCTGCACCTCAACGTTGCCAGAGCTTGTTCCGATGGTTTGGATATAGGCGAGAGCGGGTAAGGTGTAAACATAATTATCCCACTGTTCCCCGTAGGACACCATCTGCCAGGTACCATATTCAGCGGGTGCTGGAAAAACAGTACCAGTTTCCTGAATACGACTCTGATACACAGAAGCCGTTGCACAACGAATCTGCCATGCTGCTTGGCATAGAGTGAAAAGATAGGTCCGACTATGCATGGTGAAATATAAAGAAAATTGAGCAAAAATGAGTGAATGGTCTTGCAGGGATGCAGCAGACAGGTGGTAACAGAGGAAGATGTCGGACGGACGGGTTACATCAAGGAGTGGCTATTTTTTTACATTATGAAACTTCTCTAGTGCCTCCAAGTTAGGGGTAAATGGTTTTGGAGAGTTTCTCGTCCTATCTTGCCAAAGCCCATGTGAGCCAGTCGGTTATCATTACCCATGAAGCTTTGCACTTGCAAGGGAAGAGATGGCGCGAGTGGAGAACAAATAGCCCTCAGCTCGCTCGGAGGACGCCATCGAAGGAAACATGGTAACTGCTCACGAATTTACCGTACTATCAAACCTCCCATATTCCCACCGTTGACTAAGAAAGAGCTCCAGAGAGACCGGAAAATCCATTTGGTGGAATCAAGATCAGGATCAATGAAGACAAGTTGAAATGGTTGCGAGAAGTTCAGATATTACTTTGATTGAACAAAGTCATAACAAGGAGCCGATCTTTCAGGGGAAGCGACCGAAAACCCTTATTTCCACGTGGGAAGAATAAGCTTTTGTAGTGAGATCAGAAAGATAATAAAACAAAAATGGAAAGAAACACAAGAGATAAGACCAATGATTGTGTGGAATTTGCGGGCACGACGGCGAATCCGGCAGTTAGCTTCCGAGGAAGTGGGAGAATGGGCGTGAATTAACAATCCTGTCCTACTATGGAGTAGCTTTGTATATTTCACCAATAATAGAAACTTTCTTGTTCAACTTAATATTTTGGACGCTAAATGATGGTGTGGGGTATTCTTCCCAGGCTCTGCCGACGGCTATTTTACCTTGCTTTGATGCTTGTTCCTCTGGTGTATCCAGCCCAGTATCCACTTCGGAACGCATGCGGCCAATGGACACCTATTCCACATACCCTCTTGGACGTTAAGTGAGCGCCCCACACTTGTGAGTGGTTGTTTTATGTTTTACTTCCTCCACCAAAACAATAGTAACAAGCCACTAAGTTTAGCGAGATACAATCCAGGAAATCATGAGACCACACAAATGGAAGCCCGTATCCCGTCGGGTTATATTAGCCAGTTTTTGATGACACGAGCTCTTCAGTCAGCCATGTGCTCTGTTTCTTCCTGAATAGAGGTTTACCTTTCTCGGGACTGAACGGGCAGGGGTTAGACCTCGATTATGAGTCAAGCTTAACTACTTCCAGCAGCTAGTGGTCTAGCTCATCGACCAGAACCTCAGGTGACGCCCTATAAGGCTAATAAGGTTCTGTCTGCCAGGAACCGGGCAAAGGAAAGTTTAACGAGTCTGAGCATGCGCTTCTCGAGACTTTCGATCGAAGTAAAATAATAACAAGCTCCGAGTGACAAGTGCGATGTTCTTGGTTCTACCTTCATCAGCAACGTTACCAGTTCCAAGAAAAACCTTAAATTTTGACACGTAGGCACAGATTCGCTTGGCTAAGAGTTATCTACAGGAAAGCCCCCGGGGCTTCAGAGCTTCATGAACGGTCTCGAGGGGAAGGGATTCACGGGGACCCTATTTGCCAAGGACGTCAAGGACGCACTTTGTTCGGCTGTTATCGCTATTTTCAGCGTTCCCGTTTTTTTCTCCAGTGGGGAGATGTGGAGTACGGTACTGGTCTTGTTTTGTCCGAAGTCACTATGTATCACGCCATTACTTTCATGAACTACAATTTTCTGATGAGATTAGACCCAATTTGAATATTGGCTACTTCGGCTCGTTTCTTTTTCTACTCCTAGCAGCGTTGATCGGCTACCGTGTCTATAGCCTCGATCGGAATGGCTGAAATAAATGCTCGGCCCTTTTTACCCCTTCTAAAATAGCTTGCTTTCTAAGTGGAGAATATGTTAGGAGATTTTACTTCCTCTGTACGGAAGTCTATCGCCTCCAAGGGGCTTGCACGATTCAGCCACAAAATGCTCCATGAAAACCCCTACAGAGCCTTATCATGATATAGGAAAGAAGGTGTGAAAAAGGAAATAAGAATGCCCCTCTCTAGTTCCGCAAGTCCACAGGAGCAATGGTCTAGACGAATAGCTCTCCTCAGTCGGTAAAAAGTCTATCCGCATAGTTTGTCTTTAAAAAGAATCATAACAGAACCACAAAATGTTTTGAGAAACATTTTCAGTTACTGTTCTGACGTTCTTGCCACCTCCCTTTACGAGGGGTTTTCCTCTCATTCCAGTCCTTCATTGCATCCATTTCTCCCTCCCATAGCCGCCAAACATGCGGCTTACACGCTCTTTTTTGACGAGCACTTTAGTGCTGGCAAGTGTTTCGGCCACTACTTTGGACGTTAATGCAGATCTCAATGAAAAACGGTCTCCTGATGGGGTCATCACCTTGACCAAGACCAATTATCATACCGTGTGCCCCTGCACAACCGCTCTTTTGTCCTCTCCCACCACCCCCAGTCACTTGGAATCCAACCATGGACAGTATAGCGGGTCTCCCAACACCTTTGATGATGACTCAGGCTCAAGCTCAGGCTTCGAGTCGGGCTCTGGCTCAGGACAGGAGTATACTACTTCGACTGTCTACACTGCCAAAATCCACACTGTCACTGCCTGTCCGTCTTCCGCAAAAGATTGCCCAGTCTCGGAGAAGACCACTTACGTGACCACTGAAACTATCATTGACTATACCACTATCTGTCCTATCGCTGAATCTGCTACCAAAACCGGTACTAAAACAGGTGGAATTTGGCCGACAGAGACAGTGACTAGTGTTGGAAGTAATGAGCACACCACCTCTACCGTTTATACCACCAGCGTGCGCACTGTGACCGCCTGCCCTTCCTCCGTTAAGAACTGCCCAGCGTCGGAGAGGAGCACATACGTGACTACGGATACTATCATTGACTACACAACTGTCTGTCCAGTCACTGCTACTCCCACTAGTTCCGGCTCTAGTGCTACCTCGGCTGGCTCGGGCTCGGGCTCTGGCTATAGAAATGGTCATGGTCAAGGTCATGGTCAAGGTCATGGTCAAGGTCATAGTCACAGCTCTGGTTCAAGTACCTTGAGCGCCATCACCTTCTCCAACACGCCACAGCCTTCGTCAACTCCGCTACAGACGCCCTCTGGCTCTAGCTCCGACTCTGGCTATGGAAATGGTCATGGTCATGGTCACGGTCATGGTCAAGGTCATAGTCACAGCTCTGGTTCAAGTGCCTCGAGCGCCATCACCTTCTCCAACTCGCCACAGCCTTCATCAACTCCGCTGCAGACGCCCTCTGGCTCTGGCTCCGACTCTGGATATAGAAATGGTCATGGTCATGGTAATGGTCATGGTAATGGTCACGGTCATGGTCAAGGTCATGGTCACGGCTCTGGTTCAAGTGCCTCGAGCGCCGTCGCCTTCTCCAACTCGCCACAGCCTTCATCAACTCCGCTACAGAGGCCCACTTCTGGTGCACTCAACTCGTCCTCTCGTTCTATTCAACATACAAGCTCAACCTCTTTCAATCCCAGCGCATCTACCTCCCCCTCTGCAACTATTGAGCCGCTAGCCTTGTATGTTCAGCCGGTGCAAGCAAAGAAGAGACGTCAGACCTACAATACCGCCGTTCTTATTGGTGCTGGCTCCATCACAGCCAGCTGTGCCGAGGCAGACCGTTTCTACCTCACTGGGGGCCAACTTTACGATTACAACTGGCCAATTGCTGCCGACAACCACGCATACAGCGCCTCTTTTGAGGGAACCAGTAACCCCGGACCCATTCGGGGTACCTTCGCAGTTACCGGCGGTATTCTTTCCTGGTCAAACTCGGACTTTACCAATGGCGTGGCCTCATTCTGTGTCGCCGGTGATACTGTCCTGGCTATCTTCACCGGTGATACGCCTTCCGGCTGTACACCAGTCACAATTGCTGCCGTCAAGTACTCCCAGATGTGCCCCGGCGGCGATGCGATAACCAGCCTTCAGCCCATCAGCTCGGCCAGATCCTCTACAGGGACCCCAATCAGCTCGACCAAATCTTCTTCAACACCTCTGATCCACTCGGCCACGCCATCCTCGACGGGCCTCCCCAGCTGCTCGGCCAATTCGGATCCGGAGCTGAGGACGACGGTCCTGCCAGCTCTTGACCCCACTGTCGATGGTTCATCCCTCCTCAACCTGTCCCCCTCGATGTATGCTACTCTCTACTATGCCAGCCGCACCGGCTCGACCATTCTCCAGGTGACCTACAACATGCTCTATCCCCAAGTGACATTGGAAAATGCATACAAGATTGCCAGGGTGAACTGCTCTGGTGACACATTGACTGTCACGGTAGCCACCAACGCGGCTTTCAACATTATCAGCCAGTGGCCCACGAACAATTTTATTCTCATCACCAACTCTGGCAGCTGCAACTCGGGCTCTCAGAGAGGTGTCTATATGGTCCAATCATACAGTACGAACAAGGCCAGCCTCACAGTCACTCTTGATGTCACCGCTAAGGTCTGGGCCGACGTCTCAGAGACAATGGAGATTGCATATGGCATGGGACGCGTGAACTCCACCAATATCTCCTACACTCCTTCGTGCACGGCATCTTATCCCGCGGCCAGCAGCACCCGCACTCCGAGCTCTGGCTCGGTTTCCTACGAAGACTTGACTCCCGAGGAGAAGAACATTGTCAAATATCTGACCCAGAATAATACATACGACGACAACGGTAACATCGCCGTCTTCTTGCCCGCTGTCACCGCAAATAGCACAGCCCCTATCTATAACCCTGACTCCAACTCCACACACCAAGCAGGACTGGAAGATGCTTTGCAGAACGCTGGTCTCCCGTCACCGGATTCAATGTGGAATAAAACCGCGAGCGATCTCGCGGGTCACTGCTCCAACGGTGTCTACGTTCCCCGGACGACCGTCTACACGAAGCGTTCTTCTCAATTCCCAGGCCGGTCTTACCCCACTGAAACATATCACCGTCACCGCCGCTCCATCCTGGCCGAACGCTCTGGGCTTAATGACGAGAGCTGGTGGAAGTATCTCTGGGAAGGTGCCTGTAGTGACCTTGCGGGCGACATTCTTGACGCACTTGATGAGGAGCTGGGTGCTCTTGCCGAGCTCATCTGCGACTTGAAGGAGCTATACGATGATGTTGATGAGGCCTACGCCAACCGTGACGCGATTCAGTGCGCCTGGACCGGTTGCTACCTCGATGTAGTCGTCGCAACCTATTGGAACTTTACCTACACCGCGAGCGTCGACTACCAGCTCCCATCACAGACGCTGGTAGAATCCTCAGTGGGTAAACTCAGCTGCGTGGATTGTGGTCTGAGCATTTCCAATCTTGAATTTGTGGGTAGTGTCATGATTGCCACCTCCACAGGCAAGGTCATGAGCGCCTTTATGACGCCTACTATGAGCTGGACCGGAAACCTCATCATGGGTCTCGAAACCACGGACGCCTGGTCCGGAGAATGGACGTATAACTTTGACACCATCGAATTTAACCAGCCTGTCTCAGTCCCTGGAGAGTTCACTATCACACCATCTTTGCTGTACAGCCTGGGAGTCCAGTGGTCCACTACCGCCGCCGTCGACATCACCGCCGGTGCCGCTATCAGCGTGGATAGTGGCACCCTCTACCTGGACTTCGCCAATAACGTCGCATCCCAGAGCGCTAATTGGTCGCCCACCGTGGAGTACACTTATCCAGTATTCTCTACCTCCGCGGACGTCTCATTTATTCCAATCATGAGAACATCGCTCGCCATCGCGGTTGTGATCGAGAACGCAAACTACGGTCAGCAGCCCATCTACATCAACTCTGACACGTCGATTGGCTTCAACGCTGCCTTCGTTGAGAACGATGGAGAATATTGCAACCCTGGTGAGCTCGAGTTAACCTCCTACTCCAACGTTAACAACGAGGTCCTCTTCACCGGTGGCTCCACCACCGTTCTCTCTCAGTCTGGTGACAAGGCTGGCCAGACTATGTGTTTCAACGTTCCCAACGATATCCCAACAGCGGATGAGGTCAGTTCCCTTCGCAGCGTCGGTGCTGCCTTCTGTACCTCATATTTAGGCTACGTGGCTCCCACCTCCGTCGCATACGCTGTCACTACACGTACCGGGCCCACGACCACACAGATCACCAAGCCAACAACCATCTCGACCACATCCACCATCTACGAGTATCCTACTGTGACCACCGTCTTCACGCAGACGACTACAGTCGACGCCACATCCTACCTAACCGTCTCTGGCTCTCAATCCCTGGGCGACTCGTACATGAAGAAACGAGCCCTTGAAGCCAGCTCACCCGTCAAGAAGCGGTCCACCACCAAGAAGAAGGACCCTGCCCCCCAGCCCACCAAGCCCGCCGAATTGGCTAAACGCACCGTCGCCGAACCCGCCATGATCTCCACCTGGGACACCAGCAAGATCTCCCTTGCCTGTTCCCAGATCGCCACCGGTACCGCCACAACCACCTTCTATACCTCCACCGCAACTGCCTACTCTGGCAGTGTCGTCAACACCGTCTACAGCACCGTTGACGCTCTTGGTGCCCTCAAAACCGAGACCTTCTCGCGTGTCGTTGTTTCTCAAACCGCCACCACCGTTACCGGTACCCAAACGGCTACCGCCACCACTGCGACCAGCTGCCCCCTCCAAACCCAAGTGTCCTGTTTCACAGTCACTGCCACCGGACCCGACCATATCAACGGTAAACAGCTCTACTTGTCTAGCAACAGCTCCTCCCCCGTCTGGGGCGGTTGGGGGGCCGGCTACGAGGTGGGTATTTTCTACCTAACATGCGCGGGTGATCTCGTCGCGCTCCCCTCCATGAATGTCCTCGCTCCCGCACAGAACATGTGGGTTGAGTTCAACAGCTTTGCTTCCGCAACCTCCAAGCAAAGCTGTTCGAAGGATTCTTCATCAGGTATTCTGAGCTGTGGGGGTGGGTGGTATGCTATTTCACCAGTGGCGCTGCGCTACACTGATTTCCGCGCATTCAGTGGAGATTGGCAACCTATTTGGAATGATGGGGTGAATGAGGATTCATTGACGCCAATTGTGTTGACTTATGATACTGTGGATTGTCCTTGTCAGTATTAAAGCCTGGTTTTTCTTTTCTCCCATCATTCTTCTAAATACTTTTGGGCTCCTGGGACCTTGAATCCTACAATTCTTTTTTAATTGGTTCTCATATCTTTGTTTTATTTTTATTGTGGAAAATATCATTTTAGACTTTAGTTATAAGCTATGGATTAGTAGCTTTCTATAGTTTCCTAGTAGGATATTCCCTCTGTAGATATCTAGTAAGTATTATTATAGCCTATCCATATATATTCTCCTGTGGTCCCTACGAATACTGGTGACTCAGATTCTTCATCTCTCTTCCTTCAGTCTTTTAAACCTTAGCGAGCGCAGTGAAGTAGTTCACGACCCTATAGCTCCCTATATAACTATAAGATCGCTACTATACTTAATTGATTTTTTACTCTCGCACTAGCGATGGATCCTCTGAGCAAGTCGGAGGATGGTTAGGAAGGTAGGAAGATCAGATAAATACTCTAGAAGAGACAGAGTACCATGTGGAAGAAAGACGTTGAGAAAGCCTGATTTTATTATTTATCAGTGCACGCTGATACTGTATAGCCTAGTATGCGAAGACGACGAATGATATTAAGCGGAACTAATATAGATGAATAATATTGATTAATTTAGTAGAAAGATAGGCGGAGAAGCGCTGTTAAAAGTATACACTTAAATATACTGCTATTCGATATATCTAATGTCTCCGGTACTTAGCTATAATAATAGCTATATTATAGCTTGGTTTCCTAATTATATAGGAAATACTAAATAAATATAGGCCTATTAGTAACTAATTAGTTACTAGTAATAAGTTATCCCTTTATCTATTAATATATCTCTTTAGTAAACTATCTATAGATAATTTACTATACTATTTTATCTAATAATCTTAGGTATTTATTTTATTATCTAATTAATGTCTAATATCTTCTATACTAAGCTACTTAATAAATTTAGTATACTTCTAGCGAGATAATAGTTTTATAAAGCTATTAGCTACTATATCCGATATCTTAATCTACTATATTAGTATATATTTAGCCTAAACTTCCTACTATAGCTAGTACTAGTAGATATTAATATATTAGAGTTTTATATATAGCTAAAAAGATTTATCTATTAATAGATTAATAGTTTACTAGTTATTATATTATAAGATAATAGGGTAACTAGGAATAAATATAATAGCTATAAATAGATAATTCTATATATATAGAGATTTACTAGTATCTAATATAGCTAGTAATTTAGTCTTAGTAGTATTTATTATTATAGTCTTCTATTTTATAGCCTTCTAATCTACTAGTCCTCTATATATTAGATAGATATATCCTATTAAGCTCTTCTAATTATAGTTATTTTTATATAATATATTACTAAAGAACTATATAGTTATTAGGTCTAAATTAGGTAACTTTTAATAGTAAACTACTTTTATCTATATATAATAGAGATAAATAATAATCTAGTTAATTATATTAATATAATTAAGAGAAAGATTTAATAGAAACTAAGTAAGATATAAGATAGTTTTCGCTATATCTAGCTAAATAATTATTATAGTATATTATACTATAAAAATAAAGATAGCTCTAGCTATCTAAATAGCTAGTATTACTAAATATTTCTTTTTAATTAATATTTTTTAGAGATCTCTTTTTATATATATCCTAGTTTTATATTTAACTAATAGACTATTACTATTAAATTTATAAATAAATATCTATATTAATAGTAAGATCTAGATATTATAGTCTATTAATCTATTAATCTTTTAATAGATATCTTTCTTATCTAATATCTTAATCTCTTATATTATAGTTTTAGTAAGACCTTTTTAGTAAAAGTATTATATTATCTCTTTTTAGTTTATTAGTTTAGGGGGTAGATTATTATAGTAAAGATACTAGTAAATCTATAGTAAGCTTATTTCTATAGAGAATACTAATAAAATACTTTTATAATAGTCTTTCTAATTATTTACTCTTATAATATCTTTCTTAATCGATATAAAATATATCTATCTATAAATATATTTATCCTTAATAATATTATCTTCTAAAAGTAATATACTAATATCTTTTAATATAAGAGATCTATATATATAATATCCTAGTAGTAGAGATAATAGTAATAATAATAGTAATATCTATAATCTTTCTAGTAATCTTTCTAGTAATCTTTCTAGTAATCTTTCTAGTAAACTTTCTAGTAATCTTTCTAGTAATCTTTCTAGTAATCTTTCTAGTAATCTTTCTAGTAGCTCTAATATTTCTCGAAGCTTTTCTTAAAGCTATTTATTAGGCCCTAATCCTCTTATTTTTTTTAATTTTAAGATAGTTAAGATCTCTAGAGATAATATAAATAGTTCTAGCTCTATAGGAAAGCTTCCTAGAACTTCTAATAACCTTTCTAATACTATTAGTTAATAAGAGAGTATTAGTAATAGTATTATTATTATAAGAACTAGGATATTTAATAGGGTCTCTTTCTTTAAATATTACTCTATCTCTCTCTATTTTTCTTACTTTTTAGGTATAATTCTTATTATTTTAGTATTAATTCTTATTTTTCTAGTATTATAAGAGCTATTTTAAGGCTTTTATTATTAGTAATAGATATTTCTATTAGCTTTTTATTTACTATTTATAGTATCTTATCTAGGATATCGATTAGTAGTAGTCTCTCTAACTCTTTTAGATTAAATTAGATATTCTTATTAAATATAATATCTCTAATAGCTCTAATTATATTAAGATATAGTAACTATACCTTCTAGATATTTAATATAATATATCTAACTAGATACCCTATCTCTATATAGTACTATCTTATCTTTTTAGGGAATCCCTTAATAATATATATATACTCTATAGCTATATACCTAAAGATTTAAGAGATTAAGATATAGTTAATCCTAGTTATAAGGTTTCTATATAGCTTTAATATATAAGATAATTACCCTACTATCTAGTAATATTATAAAGGTTCTATTAATTAAATAGACTACTATATTTACTATTACTAGCTAAAGTTTCTTTAGTAAGCCTATATCCTATATTAGAGCTCTAGCGATAGTAATAATAATATCTCTAGCTCTCTTAATAAAACTATTCTATTTAGGCGTTCTAATAATACTAAATTTAACTAAGATATCCTTTCTATTATACTATTCTTAGAATATATAGCTAAGGGTCTATTTATTATTACTAATAAATACTCTAATCTCTATATTAAACTAATTTTAATAGATAGCGATAAATATAGTAATAGTATAATAGTATAGATATAACTATTTTTCTTTTTATATATCTAGACTATATAGAGATAAATATCTTTATATAATAAGTAAGAGACCTATTTATAACTATTATATATTTTCTCTAGCTATCTTATATTAAAATAAATCCTCTTAAACTAGCTATATATCTTTAATCTATCCGCTAATCTCTAAGAGATCTACTTCTTTATTTTAATAAGCTAATAGACTATATATTATTTAGGGTTATATAGCTAATTATTCTTAAAGTCTCTCTTAATAATTATACTATCTACTATCTTTATAAAGATCTTAATATACTAGTTATATATATAGCTAAGTCTCTAATACTATATCTATAGTAAGATAATAGATATAAGTAGTTTCTAAGATATTTTAAGTATAGGAAAAGCTACTAAAAAGCCTTTTACTATTAGAATATATTTATTATCCTAGTAATACTCTAGGAGATAGAGTCTAAAATATCTAATATATATAGCTACTAGTTTATTATTCTTAGTAATAGCTAGGTAGTAGCTATTAAAAAAGAAGCTATTTTTTATAATCTCTAAGATAGATAGGATATTAGTCTTAAAACTTAGGATTTACTATATATCTAGTAAGATTATCTATAAGATCTTATCTATAGGGTCCTAGATAATAATCTTTATAGTTTCTCTACTAGTTATAGTAATTTTACTATTACTAAGTATAACTATCCTCTATTCTTTTATAAAATTATTTTCGAATAAATCTAGATAGTTATATATATAGATATTAGCTCTTAAGTTAATAATCTAGCTATTTCTAAATAGAAAAGATAGGGCTATATTATATACTACTAGAGTAATATTAAAGCTAAAAAAGCTTATAGACTTAGTTAGTATTTTATTAAAGCTATTATTATTATTATCTTTACTAGTAATTATAAACTAAGCTATCTAAATAGTCTTCTTAGATAAAGATAAAATTTTTAGTATTTATTATCTTAGCTATTTCTTACTATTTAGTAAGATATAGTTTCTTAATACTATTTTTAATCTTTTTATATAAAATCTTATATTATTACTAGTTCTAAGGTCTTTTAGATAGATTAATATAAAAATAGTCTTTCTACTAATACTTTAGGCTACTATATATATAGTATAGCTTCTTTATATTTAACTATCCTTAATTAGACTATTAGTAACTATATAGTATTATTATAAAGGCTATAGTACTTAAATAATCTTTCTTATTCTAGTTTTATATTTCTTAGTATATCTAGTACTCTATTAAAATATCCTAAAAGTATAAGGTCTCTTTTTCTAGCTTCTCTCTATACTGGTTACTAAAATAGCTATCCTAGCTAGAGATAGCTTAGAGGAAGCCTCTAATAGCTAAATTATCCCTAAGATTATTAGTTATATAGATATAGCACTAGATATATAATATTTTAGCTAGATAGGCTTTATTATATAGGATAGACTAGTTTAATAGTTACTTATTTAGAGACATCTTATCTATTTAGATAGATACTTAATATCTCTATATATTTCGACGGTTTTATTTCTATATAGCCTTTTTTAGCTTAAATTCCTAAGCTAACCTAACTATCTTCTTTTTTATAGTTTATTTACTAGTTAAGGTATAGTACTTTTTAGGATAGATTATTATATAGATATAAGTATTTATCTAGATAAGGCTTTTCTCTATTATATAGTAAAATACTCTCTCTTTTTTAAATAATAAGACTAGGTAGATATACTAGAGATATTTAGCCTTATTAAGCTAGATAGGATTATTAATAGTACTATTAATTTTATTTAATTATAAGAAGGTATCCTTTAGTTTAATAGGTAGCTTCTTAATTTTATTATCTAATAGCTTAGGGTTAATATATCCCTATACTTTTATAGCTATTATAACTAATTCGATATAGTTTATCTATACTCTTTACTAAGCCTCCGACCGGAGTTATTAGTCCTAGGGGTTTATATTTAATACTTAAGTTATCTTAAAGATTATTATATTTATATATAAATTAGGCTAATTAATAGGCTTTTTAAGTAAGGCCTATAGTCCCTCGGTATTAGATAAACTATCGCTAGGTAATAGTTTAGGGGCTAATTATTTTTAGAAGCTTACGTTAATAGAAAGATCTAGGCGTTTTTATACGTATCTTTCTTAGTAATATTAATAGGCTATCGGGCTTATAACTATTAAGATAAGCTAATACTATATAGCCTAGTATATAGAGACAACGAATAATATCAAGCGGAACTAATATAGATAAATAATATTAATTAATTAAGAAGGAAAATAGGGGGGAAGCGCTACTATAGACTATCCCCTATAATATAGGCGTGTCGCCGCCGATACTCGGCTATTATAAAGCCTAAGTTACTAACTAATCCCTAATTACATACGAAATACTAAACAAGTGTAAACCTATTAGTAACTAATCAGTTGCTAGCGGTAAGTTATCCCTTTATCCACTGACAAGATCATATATAGCCAACACCACAGCCAAGGCAATGAATCATCCCGCGAACTTGGACTCCCTACCGTCTGGAATTTCCGTCTCCTATAGACTTGCCCACCAACACTCAAAACAAGAACAATGAAAATTGATCTAAGTGACAAGCCCGAGGTGAGCTTGGAGGCTCTAGCCGACCTTCAAGTTCCTCGTGATATTTCCATCTCTCCCGACGGGACCCAGATTGCCTACGCACTGCAAGCTTACAGCAAGAAGGGCGAACATGCCACCTCCTCAATCTGGATTGCTAAAGTTGGTGAAGAAAACAGCAGTCGCCAACTCACTTCGGGTCTATTCAATGATGAACAGCCCCAATGGTCTCCAGCGGGAACGATAGTTGCCTTCAAATCGGATCGACATCGGCCAGGGCAAAGTTCTGCCATATATCTGTTGTCAGTCGATGGTGGCGAAGCATACCCTGTAACGCCGGTGGATTTTGAGAAGCCAATTGTGGCCTTTCAATTTGATTCTACCGGTACAAATATCGCATTTACAAGCGCGGATGAGAAGACACCCGAGGAGATTACAAAGGAGAAAGCGAAAGACGACCCGACAATTTGGGGCCAGGACCAGGAATACCACCGCCTGAGAATTGTTGATGTAGCAAGAAGGCAAATTGACACCATCGTTGGTGGCCACAGACACGTGCATGACTTCACTTGGAGCCCTGACTCAGGACAGATTTGCTTTGTTGCACACAAAGGACCAGAAATCAACTCTCCTCGGCTTTACGGTGCGGAGATCTGGCTGACATCTAAGTCCGGACTGGAGCCGAAGAGAATCGTCGAATTTCCCGGACTGATCAGCCAGATCGCATGGGGAGAGTGTGGTGTTTACTTCATTGCTGGTCATGTACCGACTCACATCTTAACCTCGCTTTCGCTATACGAACTTGATATTAAAAACAGTTCATATGCAGAGCATAAGGATGGAAATGAGCAGCACTGTTGCATCACAATTCGGAAGAATCAATCTTGCCTATCCTACCGTGTCCAGAGGTACCTGGCTGACGAGTTCTACTCCATCAGTGATGGTACTCGTACGAATGTCTATGGCGATGAGTGTGAGATGATCTCATTTGACTTCCTCAAGACTCCGGATAATGTTATCGTTGCGATCACGAAGGGTGATGGGTCAAATCCTGAGGAGGTCTTTTCCGTCTCAGAGCCTGCTGGTACAGTCAGATTGTCCGCTCACAATTCCTCGATCGCCGCTCTGAAAATATCTAAGTCGTGGCCAATTTCGACTCGTGCGGTAGATGGATACTATCTCGACGAAATGATATATGTTCCTTCCACATACAACCCTGAGGACGGGCCGCTCGCAACGATTCTCATTCCGCACGGAGGGCCATACTGGCGGATTACCACAGGCTTTGCTGTCTGTCATTGTCTCGAGGCTCCGGTATTAGTCTCAATGGGCTATGCCGTTCTTTGCCCCAACTACCGTGGTGGGAGCAGTAGGGGTGAAAGACATGCGGCGTACGCTCATGGAGGGGCTGGAACAGTCGACTACACGGACTGTATTGACGTCCTGCGATACAGTATTGCTCAGGGTTGGGTAGACCCTTCGCGTGTCGCAATCGGTGGTTGGTCGCAGGGAGGATTTCTATCTTATTTTGGAGTCACCCGCGAGGATTTTCAATTCAGAGGAGCCATATGTGGGGCAGGTATATCAGAATGGGCCTCTATGGCGATGATGAGCGATGCATATACGATGCAAGCTGAATTGGTAGGCGGTGCTCCATGGGATGTGGATAAGAGCTTGAAGCGCAGTGAAGACTTGACAAGCGCGGAGAAGGAATGGATTGGTAACGCAGATGGTCGCAAGGCAAGTGCATTATGGCACATGCGTCATGTGAAGACTCCCATCCTGATTCTTCATGGCGAGAACGACGTGCGTGTGCCCTTAGAGCAGGCCATCGCATTCTATCGCGCGTGTGTGCACAACAACGTGCCTGTCGATATGGTGACTTATCCTCGAGAGGGTCATTTCATCAGTGAAAGAAGACATCTACTCGATATGTGGGAGCGCATGAGGAAATTTTGTTATCTGAACTTACAGAGACCCTGAGAATCAACGAAGCGAGGCCCTCTATAGAAACCTGAAGAAATGGGTATTTAGTGCAATATAGGTATGAGAAGGTTGGATAGATGTCTGGCAAAAGTTGTGGTCCGGACCATTACATATAGGACCCATGATTATTGAATTTGTGCTAGCGTTACCTAACCCACTAAAAAAAATGCAAGCATGGGCAGCTCCTTATAGGACCAAGTGTCCTCAATGTGCGGCGATTCTACTAGGCTTCGCGCCTTAACCATGGTCTAAAAGCTATCTCGAGTACACGCAAGCACTTCGAAATTGGGTCCAAGGACGTTAACATTGGGATTTGTATGCTTCACAAGGCCGATTGATCGTGAAATAACGTTGGCCTATTTAGCAAGACCAGCTCTATGGTGCGATATTCTGCGAAAGATAATACCAAGTGTGGGACAAATAATATTGTGGAGATATGGTTCGGGCTCTTGTCTCGAGGTGAAGAGGGTCTATTATAGGCATTAGTGCAGCCCCTATACTAAAGCCGATATATCGTATAAACTTGATATCAATGAATATACAGTCGTCCTAAGAGTCATTTAATAGTTCTAATAGATTTAATATAAATTCCTTACGGGTCGTGATTTAGGTAATTAGGCTATGTAGGGTCTTGAATTCTTAATGTTTTGTAATACTAAAGGGATACAAGTCTGCTATGATAGCGAGGAGATAGAGAATCAACAATTCCACACAAAAGGGATAGGAATCCACTATAGAATCGAAAGATCATATAGTCTAATATCGAAGGAAACAAGTCAACTATAACAACGAAGGAGAAATATAAGAAAAGAAAAATGGGCGATTAGGTGCAGAATCTGGCCTAGTATTGGGAATTATAACCTAAGGGAAAGACTAAGCAGAGGAAGGAACAGAGAGGAAACCTGCTATTGGCACTAGGGGAAGAACCTCTAACAAAGAAGAAGCAAATCAACACGATAGGAGGCCTAAGTAGGCCACAGGCGGAAAGAACCACACTGGTCCTAGACAGCAAAAGATCCGCCCAAGGGAGGGGATATCCATCAAACATAAAAGGATAGGCCATAAGTACCGCTCAACCTTTGTCGACATCCATTATATTCCCGCTCAAGAATGCTCGTTCGACGTCCGAATGGCCATGTGATTCTATGCAGAATTAGTTGAATGCAGAATTGGTCACAAACTCCTTATCTTGACTCTTTTGAACGAGATCATAGAACAATCCTTTGGCTCTTAATAGCTCTGCGGGAGATCCAATTTCCTCAATGCGCCCATCATCGATCACAATAACCTTATCAAAGGACGCGATTGTCCTTAGACGATGGGCGACCACAATCAATGTGCGGTTGAACTGGCTTCGGATCGTGTCTTGAATCCATGAGTCTGTCTCGTTATCGACGGCAGATGTCGCCTCGTCGAGAATGAGAATCTTGGGATCCCGGATCAAGATCCTCGCAAGGCAAAGAAGTTGTCTTTGACCTTGCGAGATGTTTGCGCCCCCTGCACTGATTGGAGAGTCCAGAGTGAAGCCCGTCTTCTTGCTACCCTCCCCAAAGAGGAGCTTGACGCTGCGCAAGGCCTCGTTCAATTGGTCCTTTGGAACCTCTTGGAAATAATCTAGATTGGATCGGACTGTTCCTGAGAACAAAACTGGATCTTGGGGATAAATGCGATCTCGGATCGAAGTGACTGTAGCTTGATCATAGAAATGTCAATGCCGTCAACAAGGATCGAACCAGACTGAGGGTTGATTAAGCGAAGAAGTGACAGAGTCAGGGATGACTTTCCAGCGCCAGTTCGACCGACGATTCCAACTCTTTGACCTGCCTCCATAGTAACGGAGATATCTTTCAAGACAAGAGGAAGGTCGGGCGAGTATGAAACATTTAATTGGTTGACTTCAACCTCGCCCTGAGATGGCCAATTCGCTGGGACTTCGTTGCCACCTTGCTCCTCGGCTTTCAGCTTTGAGTATGAGATTATTCCGATAGCAGCATTCATGTAGCTCTCTAGCATCCCAAAATTATTGACAGCAGTGAAAGTAGCGTGAGAGAAACCCATCGAGAATGTCAGGGAGAATCCCACTAAAGACGCATCGAAGACGGTTGTCGATGATAATAGAACCAAACCTATACCCGCGCTTAAGATGATCCCCATGAGAGATATTTGAAGACTGAGCCAACGGTTGAAAATCCAAAAATGCCGCCGGGCAATGGATAGGTCGTCAATTCGAGAGTGCATCTGGTCCATAAAGTTATCCACAACCCCAAAGGCCCTTATAGTCGACACTCCAGCGGCGGTGGTGGTGAAGTATTCCAGAATTTCCGCGTTGCTATCGGATTCACCACGCTTCACAGGCTTTCTGGCTTTAACATAGCCCTTGCTGATTTGGAAGCACCAAAACAGAAGGGATGCTGCCAAACAACCCGTGAAGAGGGACCGTTGTATTCTAGATATGGTCAGCTAATTGATCGAGTCGGTAGCAGAAACAAGGCTTACCCCATGCACCCAACAATCGCCAGTTTCACAAGACAGTTCGCGAATTCAGAGAGGGTCTGGAGCAGATTGTCATCAATTTGTCTTGTTTCGACAGTGAAACGTCTCAAGATTCCCCCAATGGGCGTGTTGTCAAGCCAGAGAAGGGGCATTCGGATGATATTTGCAGTCATTGTTCGGAACAAGATCTGCGAGGCACGCAGTGATCCCGAAAAGATATGCATATTCAAAAGAAATTCTAGCATGACCGCCGATAGACATCCCAGAAGATACATGTACAGATAATACCAGAGATTGTTTCCAACCTCGGTATTTTCTGGATCATACATTCCTCCTTCCGGGTGCCTTGAATTGATACGGCCAAGAATCCATGTTGTCAATGCAGTCATTAGTTGCTTGCCAAGTAAACCAATAATGTAAATCGTTGCAAATCTCACGCCACCGGCAGCACGGAAGTAGCTCTTGCAAGATTCCCACTCAGACTCTGATTTTGTCGCCTTAGCCTTTGGATTATCACTGGCACGCTTCTTGGGTTCCTCTTTTGTTGATGGACTCGGCTCAATGGGGATTTCGTGTTCCACGATATCCAATCTCGCTTCAATCATGTCGGGATTGAGAGAAGAGCTCATGGTGTTGTTACTTATTTGAACAGCAAGCTTGGCCTGAGGTAAACACAAAGACACATGATGAGTTGCCAGTATTCGTGTGCGGCCATGGCTGAGCTCTCCGGTCAGCGCTTTGAAGATCTCCTTCGAGACATGAGCATCAAGAGCAGAGAAAATATCATCCAAAACCAGTGTTTGAGCACTGGAATAGAGAGCCCTAGCCAGCGAGACTCTTGCCCGTTGACCACCGCTAAGTCTAACACCCCGCAGGCCAATATGAGTCTCGTCCCCTTTTGTCAGGGCAGCAAGATCAGTCTCAAGTGCACATGCTTTGAGAACCTTGCGGTATCTGGTTTGATTTAATGCACTCCCGAATAATATGTTATCTTTGATAGTACCATTTTGAAGCCACGGGGTCTGTGAAACAAATCCGAACGTTTCATTCAATGACGGTACCTCGATGTGACCGCTTAGGAGGTCAACCTCTCCAAGGATAGCAGCAAGCACCAAGCTTTTTCCTGACCCTGTTTCTCCACGTATCACACTAAGTTCACCGCGAGGAAACTCGACATTAAGGCCTTGGAGCTCAAACCGCTCGGGCAAGGAAGCTTTCTTCTTGTCTTTCTCTTGCTTCTCTTCATTTCCTTGCTTCCCTTGCTTCTCCTGCGTCTGATCTGATGGCCAAGCAATGTGGGCATCTCGGAAGGAAACACATCCAGTAGGACTCACATCCAAGATCCTTTCCGTTTCTGGGGCTTTCAAATACATCTCTATGCGACGAGCATTTGAACGAGCGCTGTAATAATCCTGAAGGACCATGGGAACTGTTCCTAGCGTCCCTTGAATTTGCGGCAGCAACCCGATCATTGTAAATATGATAGACGATGACACCTCGTTCTGAGTATAGGCGTAGCTGCAAATCGCCGCCGCTGCCACGATGAGAGGCGATGCGACTTTCCATACTGATCGAATATTAATGGCAATAAAGGCCTTTCGCATCAGGGCCATCTCCTCCTGGCGACACGATTCGATGCGCACTTCCCACTGCTTTTCAAGGGCAGAAAACTTGATCTGTCGAAGAGCCTGCATAGCCTCGGTAACAGCCTTTGTCTTCTTGTCTCTGGCGACTGTGAGTTTCTTTTTCGCAGCTCGCTCGTGCTTGAGGACTTTTGTATGCACGGGTGCGGTTCCCATCGTGGCCAGAACTGCTATCACCGTGCTCTGCCATCCCAACAACCGCAGCAAAAATAATATGGCAAACAAGAACTTGATACATGAGAAGGGAAATAAGTAGTTCACGGCAGTGAACTTGCTGAAGGAAAGCGTGTCATGGGATATCAGATTGATCGCATCCGGCTTGTCTCCCGTTTCTTTGGAATCTTTAACGCGTAGGACCTTCGAAAAGATTGCCATGATGAGCTGTGCTCGAATGGGAATTCCCATCTCAGACCATTGGGTCCAAGCCAGGTGATGGTGGAGTATAGTTTCGGTTGCAGAGAAGACTGAAATACCAATTAGCCAGAGCCAGGCGGAATTCGTTGCGCCACTGTTCTCTTCCAGGCTCTTCAGCAATCGCATGACGCAGTACGGAGAACCAAAGGTCACTACCGATCGTATCAACGTTAGGATCCATTGTTTAGCGAATCCCAGATAACGCTCGGCGAGAACATGATTCCAGAGTGAAATCGCAGACAGCACTATCAGTGGCTGAGCCTTTGATCTAGTGTGATAATTCAATATCGGCAATTTGCCCAGCCCAAGGCTGCCAGAAATATGAAGGGCCCCTGTGCACCATTGCATCGAATATCGTTGGAAGGCCGAGCAAGTATTCTCCAAATCCACGGGTCGCCCTTCTGGTGAGAAAATGTCGGGTCGACGTGGAAATTGAATCTGGAGAATTGCAAGAATCAAAGCCGCAACCAGTGGTAACAAAGACGACGAGAAGTCGAAGAAAGAGTCTTCGTTATGCTGAGCTTTTTCAAGAGTCTGTGAGACGATAATGAGAGCAGATAGTAGCGACCCCCTCAGACCAGCGGCATATAACTTGACTGGGCTTTCAATCCAATGTAATACAAGGCTATGGAGTAATAGAATGGGCTGAAACTGAGTTAGCCGTGAGTCGCAAGATAATGATGACTTTTTCCAGGAACGCACCCACAAAATTTTAGCCAAAGAAATCGGCTGTTTCCAAGACTCGTTTTCCCTGGCGTACCGGCCGCTTAGTGAGAACGCGCCAGTCCCCAAGAGCGATACGAGGGAGGTCAAAGAACTCAAACCCCGTATGCGATTTTGGTAGATTCCCTCCGACTCCTTGGAAGCAATGCCATCCTTGTCTGAATAAATCATCTTCGGCACTGGGCTTTCCAGCTATCGGCCGGGAAAGGCTCTCTAGGCAAAGAATACCCGTATGTAGATTATAAGGCGCAGAAAGGACCAGCAGTTGATGTGAGTGCAAGCGTGGACAGAGATTCAAGCCTTGCGGGGCAAGTGAAAGAGGATAATAGACCAAGGAAGAATAGATGGGCGGGGTGGTGAGGGGGTGGGAGAGAGCTAAGAAAGCTTGCATCAGTGTGGCATTTCTTAGTGTCGTTAGCACGGAATTCAAGTCGATTCTGCCCACCCCTGTGTCCTTCTGCACTCTTATCAGCATGGTTTTTTTATTTTTTTATTTTTATCTTTTTTTTCGAAAGTTAAGATATCAATAAATCAAAAGTTTCAGGCGAGATCCACTAGGAAGCCCCACCCAACGATGATGGGTAATACATGACCAATATTGACTAATGATATGAACTCGACCAGATACCTGTACCCAAGATACCTCAACCCCACTGAAGTTTCTTTCTTCGAAGACCCATCACACCCTTTACTTCGTCCACAGGCCTCATCAAGCGCCTCCCTATGCTTTAGAGCTGGAGGAACGCTCCATTCCCCAGGATTCTAATGTCATTTTACCTTTGAAAAATGGCTATCAATGTCGAAATAAGGTCTTGATACTTATATCCTGTGTGATACTCACCATGACTGGATGTGGATTGGGGTTTGCATTTGGCGTGTACCAAGAACTATACGAGTCTATCGGGGGCCCGTTCCAGGGTGTGAACCCGGCTGCCAATCTCATTGGAACACTTTCAGCATCTTTGATGACGCTAGGGGCTCCTCTTGCAACTATTGGGTTGAAGAAATATGATCCTCGTCTGGTGGTCCTTCTCGGGGCAGCCCTGTTTGCTATATCAGGGATGATTTGGGCGCCATTCCTCCGCTATTTGATATCTGCTGTTGGGTTCAGAGACACTCTTCGAGCGGTGGGGGTAATGGCGTCTGTAATGACAGCTGTATCCGCATCGGTTTTGAAGAATCCTGGCCTTACCGAATCAGCCAGGGTCGCAAAAAAAAGATCGAAATGACCAGCCCACCCGTGGCAGGGGCAAGACTACGACAGAAAAGGCTCCTATACAATCTCCAAAATTCATCACCCATGCAAGTGGTACTGCGCTACAAGCAGCAGCATATATGATTCCCATGTACTTCATGTCATCCTACGCTAGGACATTAGGATACACAACCGCTGCTGGCGCAAATACCATTGCCTTGAGCAATGCTTGCAACTCCGGAGGGAAGATCATCATAGGATACTATGCAGATCGATTAGGATGTTTCAACACCCTCGTCCTCGACTCTTGGCAATTCAGTGATCAGATTTTCCATTTGCTATATTTCAGTCGCGCCAATTGGTACTAATGTGCACCGTGCTCTATTTATTTCATATGCTTGTATATATGGGATCACTACTAGTGCCTATGTCTCTCTGTTCCCGATAGCACTAGTTAAACAATTCGGCCTTTACGATTTTTCAAGAGTGAGTGGATTGCTATACATGATCCGCGGTATCGGAGCACTACTTGGTACGCCTTTAGGCGGTATATTAGTAGGACCTAGCTTAGAAGGGAGTAAACGTATGTTTAGCTCGAACTTCGATTGAAAAATTCTATTTGTTGCTTTCCTACTTTGTGTTGTAACTATACTTGTTATATGGGCTAGACGTCCAAAACAGAAAGCTACATAGCCACAATTAAGTTTTAGTAATAATGATATTAAAAGAATACTTAGAGTATTAAGAGTATATAGCATGCTTTACGCATCCACTTGAGACTCTTTCTATAGCTATTCCAATTTTGACGCCCATAGTGTCTCCTGTCTACGTCACTTATTTCCTACATTAGTGATAACAGTTCGATATGTGTCTATGCAAGCTATTCCCAAAGATTGGAGTATTATATAGTCTCCTAGATCTATATATTTTCCCGACACTTACGCTCAAATCGGGAACAAAGCGAAGCCGTATCCCCACTATGACTTCCTATCCTAACAACTTGGTGGATCAAAAAGGATTATTTTCACATAGCGAACGTTTCACAAACATGTGAGCTCATGCAAGTCCGCCATATATTGTAGCTAAGAGACAACGAAGTGAACTAAGTAAGGAAATAATCTGGCTTTAGATAGCGTCCCAAGGCTCGCGACGAGCATCCTACGTGGTGACACGTCCGCCTTGGGCCCTACTAAGAGATACGTACCGACACATCACTTGTCAATATTGTTGTTGCGATATGGAGTCTCAGCCACATAAGCGCTCAGATACGCTAATGATAGCCAACAGACCTAACTCCGTGGCAGATAGGCGGATTTGGGGTAGACTTAAGGCGGACTCCGCCGGCTTGCCTTTTCGCCCCTCCGCCCGACACCACTTACTCCAAAACTAGGCAAGCTCAGACATGATAGTAGGAATAATAATTACAAGCTCCACTTCGCTACTCGACTCTCTATACGAGAAGTAGGGAAATCGGCGGGCGCAGCCTTAGTCTACTAACGATAATTTTGAGTTTGTATATTCGAAATAGGATTACGATAAGAATAACCCATGCCTACATCCGTAGTAACCTTGGGAACCTTGGAGACCCTTATTAAGCCTCTCATAGGTACCTAGGCATTGCCCAATAAATTGGCCTTAGTTAAAGGGTATTTAACATGCCCTCTCACCTTCCACTCTTTTACTTCTTCAATCAATTCAGTTGTTCACTACAGATTTCTCCACATAGTACATACTAGTCAATACTATTTCCGCTTGCTTTGACCTTAGCCGATAACCTCATACCAACTAAAAAACTGAATATCCTCGACCACGCCAATTAACGGCCTTATAGGGTAGCTCAATAATCCTTCCGCTACCGGGCTTATGATGAGTGTACCGAAATTAGTGATCATGTTTGTCACCTATTCTATAGGTATTAGGATGATTTCTATATAATTTTATGATAAAGAACAAGAGCCAGCTAGAAAGAATCCAGGTGCATTCAACGAAACAACGAAAGTGAAGAAGGAAGAAACTATAGAGGTGGTGTCGACTATTTTGGTAGAGAGCTTCCATACAAACAGGCCCCATTAGGTTGATCCGTCTAGCTGCTTCCTTCAGACATCCCTCAGGTGATCTCCGCATTATCTGGCCCCAGAGCCTTCCTATCCCAGTTCGTCATCTATCATGCTAAACATGTAAGACAGCTCCTGAATTCACTAATATACAAATTATCAATCTCATCAAGACCAATTCAGTCTATGATCATTTAATCCATCCTTCTAATTGTCTCGACCAACGCTCCAAGTTACTTACCATGCACATCACCAGGTTTTCCATTTTCTATTTCGCCGCCATAGATACAGGTACTAATTCCATTAACGTCGAGTCAGAGAGCTTCATTGCTAGAGCCAAGAATGCTGCCGACATTAAGTATACGGGAATGAGCTTCATATCTACATAGAATAGAAACTATGTACTCGGTGAAACTCCCCAGAACTACTACACAAAGAACAACAATTGTAAATACGAAATTGATAGGAAGACTTGGGGTGATAGGCGGCATGCAACTCGCATTGTCAGCTAAGGATCAACGGCCGAAACCAACAGACTTGGGCATTATACGCGGCAATGGTAAACATTGCCGCAAACTTGAGACAGAATCAAAACGAGGAAAATACAAATCAAAAGCCCAAGCGGATAATCATAGAAAGTCAGAGCAGGCCGACGCACTATTTAAGAGTTAGCATAATATACTTTTCGCTAGTATTCGCTATACCACCAGCCAATGCTATCCTTTGTACTAAATATTTCGAAAAGCCATTACGCTTCATATATTTTAATCTCTTCAAGCTAGCAATTTAGGGAGCAACAAAGTGCGACCTTGTGAGCTGTTGAGGAGCCTTAGCCGCAAGATTAGCGCTAGGAGAGAACTAGAGAACCACACTTAGCCTTGGGTGCAATTAATAATAGGGAATAGGGCTCGATTAGTTTAGCGGTTACTCTAAGTTAGTTGTTAGGCATGGCTTGCCTACTTGCTTGCGTTGGTCTAATGGGTGGCGTTTGGGTTTGGTATTGGATAAGACAGGAAACATAGCTTGTTCACGCAAGCAGCGTGAATAAGAGCGAATGCACTAGGCACTCGGGGTGGATCGTGGTGGTCGTTCCTCTACTCACTAGAATCAAAGGTGTGATCGCGATAATCTAGGTCCTGATTATTTCTTTTCTTGACTTACGGGTATAAGTTATTTGAACGATTGAGTTGCGCCCTTCAACGGAGGGGTATATATTAAGATAGGCCGTCAATATTCTAGGGTTTTTCTATTATGTGGTCGATTAATGCTATCCTTAGGGGAGAATAGGACCCCGAAGCTCTTAACGGGAAGGGATAGAGTCTTCCGAAATTGACAAAAAGGCGGTTTGCAGTGGTCGTAGTTAGAGGCCTACCTATCCTAGATGGCAAACCCTAGGAGTGGTAGAGTTCAGCCAGAGGGACGACTCTCTCGTGACCTACAAGCGTCAATAGAGCGATAGAAACGATCTTGCTCCATCGGATATCCGACTTTTTGTCTATTTCGCTTATCAGACATAGGCTAACATACTACACGCTTAGAGCCGGATACGAAGGACACTAATAAATGAATTTGGAAACTTTTTCTCTAGGCAAGGCAATTCACATTCGTTAGCTACATAGACAACAAATCTTTCTGGTAAGAGAGTGGTAAGAGAGCCGTCCTATACAAGGCGACTAATACGTAGGTGGTTCCGTTCTTCCACACGCATAAAGTCTGAGAACGACCAACCGGCTGCTTATTATATAGGGCGCCGCGAGTCTACTTAAATTTGAGGGTGATATCATGGATATGCCACCAACCCCTGAGTCTCTTGCCGAAGATGTAGACCGGAATTGCGGTTAGACTGAGTATCAGCATAAGGCCTCCAATGCAGTCGTACACCTTGGCCGGGCCCCATCTGGCGAACCATTCATTCAAGAAGTCTGGACGAAAATTAGCATTCAATGGTCATCCCGTGCGTGAGAAGAAGCCCCTGAGGGTGTCCACTTACAAGAAAAGCCAAAGAAGAGGAAATTCTTGATTCCCATAGACGCAATGAAGACTTCAACACTGCTGTCGCGGAACGCGTCCACCAGATAATTGCTCAGGGGATTCCCAATAAAGATGATGGAGCCAGAACTCAACGCCCACACCGCAGACGCACCGATAGGAGTCACCCCCTTGGCTATGAGATTGCCGAAGAGAAAATATCCCAGGGAACTGAGAATCGGAGAGATGATCATGGGAACCAGACGAAATTCTGGCTCGAAGATACCATTGTTTCTTTTTGCCAGTGCTTTGGCTAGAGGGTCAGCCATTATTCCGTACAGTATACAGCATACAATAATGGATATGATCGGTCCCGCGCCAATGTACCCGACCTGTGCCGTGTTGAGTAGGTATGGCGGTGGTCCAAATATCTGTGCAATGAGAAACGCGGTGCAGACACTCCATAGCTGTGTAACCGCAATGATCAGCACCGCCCAGAGGATGACAGGGTTCAGAAGCACGATCGCCGGTCGAAGAGTCATCTTAATTATGGAATCTTCAGTGTACGTCGTAGACCATGGCTTCATGCGCCGAACAAACGAATCTCGAGGCAGTGGGATAGTCGATGTCATCGTTGTCAAATCGAGACCGGCTAGGTCGCTCGACTCCGTATGAGTAGCTCCAGATTTTATCTCCTCAAGAGCATGAAGATTCTGTTTGAGTTTCCAGTAAGTGCCAAGTAATAGATTAGCAAGTTTGAGAGACCACTCACATCTTGGGAAGATGTGTCAACGTTGTAGACTGCGGCCCGATTGTATGATGTTTCCCATCCAAAAAGGACGAGGAGGATCAAACCAATGCCGAGGAAAATAATCAAGATGTAAAAGGCCCATTCCCAGCTGAGATTAATGGTGATAACCCCGGCAATCAAGCCCGGGAGCAAGACAAGGCCAACTTGAGCTGTGATATAAATGGCCATTCGGGATCCTCTCTGGTGAACGAAATACATATCACCGATAAGGCCGAAAGGAGCGCTCTCGAACGCTGTCGTACCAAACCCTTGAATGATTCGGCCTGCAAGCATGGAATGATACCCTATGGCCTGGGAACATATAATGCTGCCGGCCAGGAGGAACAAAATAGAAACGATGAATATTGGACGTTTGCCAAATTTACGAAGAAAGGCGGCCACCGGAAGCGCCATGGCGCCCACCACACAGAATTGGTATCCTGTCAGAAGAGAAGTCTGCGGGATCGTGATGCCAAATGCCATAGTAAGAGACAGCGTCAGAACAGAAAGCATGGGACCGATACTGTAAGATGTGAGTCAGCATGTACGTGCTTAGGAAGGATGGACGCGACTTACGCCCCCACGCAGATAGTGGTAAGAAAACAGAATAACACTAGCAGTAGATCACGTTGCCACAGAGGCCAATTGAGAGGATCGTTGGGATTGTTCGAAGGTTGTGGGGTCAAGACGACAGTGGCATTCTTTCCAGATCCCTTCTTGAGATGAGCTGTAGTCAAAGGCTCCATGTCTTCGAGCAGGACAGTGCCCGGCACATGGGCCAGGCCTCTATTGGCCTCCAGAATTCCAAAGCCCATTCTGTCAGAGGAATGGATGAGGAAGAGAGCTTAAAAGAGCTGGGGTGAAGGCAGATTGGAAGTGAGTTGTAAGAACAAGGTTGGTCCACTTCTGTCTCAAACGCGAGGACCTGGATCTAGAGGAAAGCTGGGGGGAGCTAGGGCAGTCTTATAGAGTACAGCGGTGGGAACTGTGCATACGAGCCCTGCTGTCACACTACTTTCCCAAGCTCCTGGAAGAAGATCATTATTGTCGTACTGAAGCAACCCAAGGCAGAGTGATTCGACCCCACTAGCCGAGATCCCGCATGAAATAACGCCTCGGATGACGTCTAGACCATCAAGGTTCAACCTTGGGGCAGGTATCCCCTCGTTTGTTCCAGGAATGTCCATTTAACGTGGTATCATTAGTGTATTTTATCAGCCAATCGATCGCAAGTCTAGCCTATTGACATATTAACGGATAGACGCTCCACTAGCTGCTAAGTCATCGACGCGTGGTTTTCTGAACGCGTGTCTCCATAACATTGCCTACCAATTCGCTTACCAAACTGCCTACAAACCTGCCTGCAGTCTATACAGTTTATATGGACAACACCTCTCTACAGTTCATTTTTTCAAAGCACTGCAAGATATACCATGTGGTGCGTGTGGTACTACACGTAAGCAAGGTGGGCTGCCCTCTCAGCTTATTGAGCTAAAAGACCATATTAAATCTATTCAATCTATACCCTGGGGAAGATTATATGCGTCTGAAGCTAAGGGGTTCCTCTGTCTCGCGTGGCAGGATAATAATATAGTATTACTACTATCTACTATCCATTCGCCAGATCTCTATATGCATACTGTGCGAAGTGACCAGCACCAACCACGACACATCAGCTATTGCGTGTGCCCCTCTTGGCGGTGAAATCAAGAAGAAACTAGAGATTACTATTGCTATCAACGACTATAGCCATTATATAGGTAGTGTTGATATAGCGAATCAGTCTCGTGCTTCTTATAAGATTCATCGAAAGGCCAAACATAGTTGGTTTCCTCTTCTTTTCTGCTTTCATGACGCAGCGATTATTAATACCTATCGCATTCAATACATCTACAAGCAGCAGCAGCAGCAGCAACCGCAGAGTGAGCTAACTACTCAACTAGCTTTTCGACAGAAGCTATACCGAGAACTCTTTGCATTTGCAGCTCAATCATCACCACCACCACTACCAAACTGGCAGATAGAGCCTACAAATCACTATCGAATCAACCTAAGTAGGCGGATAGCCTGTGTATGGTGTCAGTATAAGAGATAGGAGGGCAAACAGGGTGAACAGGTATCACAATCAAGATCTCGCTGCAGAGAGTATGGTAATACAGCACTATATGCAAAGGGGCCATGCTGGGATGAATTCCATAATAGTTCTAATTAATTACACTAGTTCTGATTACTGAAATCTTATCGCGGATAGCTAATAACCATGCGTTATTTCGCATAAGCTAGTAATCGCGCTAAAAGAATTTCTCTGGGACGGATGGGGGGATAGGGCAATGAGAAGCCCTATGGAGTTTCCGTTTCCGGCCCAGGTGTGTGGTCTAGGGTCTGTAGTTTATCATATTTGGGTGGGCTGTGGATTTCACTTACATACACTATTTCATTTATCTCTACAGCATTGTTTCATATATGGATCATTAGTGCAATAGCAGGAGCCACTGTGGAAGAACAAAATAATTGTAGAGCTCCCTGTGCCTTCTATGGCCCTCTTGTTGGCCCTGGCCATGGCCATGGGATTGACTTTCCTATTACAAGATATACTCTATGGCTAAAGTCTGACAATCCTCCTTCCCTTCCAACTAGCCGACGTACTAGTGCTCCTATTGGTGTTGCTAATTAGACCTCGCCAAAGCCTGCCTAATGGGCGGGCTACATGATAGTCCATTAGTGATACTGCAAGGTTTAAAGGCTCCCCTAGGCCTGGACCCCTACCCCCACAAAAACCCCTCAAAATCCGGAACCTATGACCCAACCCCACAAGGCCTAGAGTTCCACCCCCACAATAACCCCGCAAAATCTGCGATCTGTTAACTAACCCCACAGCCCCTAGAGGTCTACCCCCACAAAGCCCCTGTAAAAGTCCACCACCCATGATCTAACCCCACTTACTCTAGAGGCACTATAATAAATAACTATACTATGTTATGCTATATATGTATCTAACCTGTTATATCTTACTAGAAGCCTATAGCGCCAGGTGTTACAATGAAGAAAAAGAGCCAGTGCTCTATGTGGAGTTATTCTATATTATTGTTACGAAACATATATCCCTGCTCCAGCGAGATCATGTGTCTCGATATCTAATACACTAATCCCCTGGTAAACCCCCTATAATAACCCTATCTTCTACCCAGTTACCCCGCTCTGGGAAGGTAGTGTACCTTGGTCTACTATATATTGATAATATAGCGAGATACTACTAATACCCTATACTAGAGTGCCTACTCTAGTATAAAAGTCCTATATCTTCCTATATTCCTCTATTCCTTAAAAATTAATCTTAATCTAATTATATTAGTTCCTCCTTACCTAATCGATAGGCCCTCTACCCTACAAGTAGATTCTATAATAGATAGATAAATAAATTAAATAGACTAATACTAGGATCTTAGTATATCTTCTTAATTTCTAGTATAAATAAGAGTAATAATAGCTATATATTTATAGAGAATATTAATTAGCTAAATTAGTAATATAAGACCTAGTAATTTAGGCCTACTAATTAGAAATAAATAATAATATAATATAATATAATAATAATCTAGTAATTTAGGACTTAGTAATTTAATATATACTAGTAGATAGAAGAAAGAAAAAAAGGAGATTAGCTTAGTGATATAGATTAAAACAGATAATAGCTATTAGATAATTAGATAGCTAAGATCTATTCTATTAAGATACTAAAATTATAGATATATATAGTATAATACTACTAATATTATTTTTTGATTATAGTATTGTTACGGGGTCTACTTGCAGGGTAGAGGGCCTGTCGATTAGGTAAGGAGGAACCAGTATAGTCAGATTGAAACAAAGACTGATTCTTAAGGAATCAGAGGAACATAGAAAGATGTAGGACTTTTATACCAGAGTAGTCACTCTTAGTATGGAGTAGCGGTGGTGTCTCGCCATGTTATCGGTATATAGTAGGCCGAGGTACACCACCTTCCCGAAGCGGGGTAACTCGGGGCTACTCGGGTAGAAGATGGGGGTCTTGCCAGGGGAGTCGGTGTGTTAGATACTGGGCCACGTGATCTCGCTCGAGCAGGGGTACTTGTTTCGTAACAAGTATTAAACTATTCCTTATTAATACTAGATGATTACTATAGGCATATTTAGATTATAAAAATAGGAACTTCCTAGCTTTTTTTTCTATTTCTTTTATCTAATTTTATTTAGTCTAATTAGTAATAAGCTATCTAATCTTACTATATATAGTTTTATATATATATTAAGCTAGAAACTAGAAAATATAAATTATTATATAATATCTATAATTATCTAAAGAAGCTCTATTAATTAAATAATATTAGAAATTTATAATTTTACTAGTTATATCTTACTAGATAGATAGTCTTATAATTATATCTTATTAAAAACTCTCTATTTTTAAAACTTTACTATAATCTTAATTTAATACTAATTTTTTTAGTTTATAATATTCTATATAATATTACTAACTCTCTAAAATACTAAAATCTAAAATCTATAGTACCTATAACTATCTAAAGAAGCTGTATTAATTAATTAATATTAGAAATATATATTTCTATTAATTATATCTTATGAGATAGATAGTCCTATAATTATATTCTATTAAAAAATCCTTTATTTTTAAAATCTTACTATAACCTTAATTTAATACTAATTCTACTTAGCTTATAATATTCTATATAATACTACTAACTCTCTAAAATACTAAAATCCAAAGTCTATAGCTTACTAGGAAGATTAAATAGAATAGAGTGTAAAAACTAAATCAGAATAAACTAAAATTAGAAAAATAGGGCTATATAAAATAAATTAAATAGACCCTATTCTACTAACCCCTATAGGATATATTTAGAGGATAATACTAGAAGAACTCCCTTTTACTAGGTAATTATAAAATACTATACTTAATCTATAGACTTACTATTATAATAAGGGGTATTAATTAATTTATATAATAAGGAGTCTATATATACTCTTTATTTTAGGGGATAACTATCTCCTAGCGAAATTAATTTCCTATGATATCTCAATAACTAGAGGTCCTAGGACCTTGAGACCTAGTTTAACTTTTTAATTAACTCTAAGTGCTATTGTTTAATACTAGTTCCGACTAGTAGATTACGATAGGGTTATAAGTGCGCCGAAAATGCTATTTATATACCTATCTAGGGATTAGAATTTTCTGCCTCCGACTAGGCTATATAGATAGAAATATTAGTATTAATAGAGAGATATCTAACTAACTAGTAACTAATTTAAAAGTATAGAGGAAATAGCGAGAGTAGCTATATCGATACGCTACTATATTAAGGAATCTACCTATAAAACCATAAGTGTAGTCTATAGCTTTATAAAATAGGGTTATCGATATATATAGAATACCTAATAGGGTGATATATAGGGGATAGAGAAGGTCTTACTAGCGCTAGAGAAAATCTCCTATATTACTAACTATCTTATCTAGCGGATAAATATACTTAAGAAATTAGTTATCGATATCTCTAAATTAATAAGTAGTATCGAATCATCGATCTCTAAGGACTTATTTGTAACGCATGACAGAACGATGGACGGAGATCACCTAATAGACGCAGAGTGATGGAAATACCCGACCGAGCTAACCTAATAGGGCCTATTTATATAAGCTCTCTATAAGATAGTTACTAGAGCCTCCGTAGTTTCTTCCTTCTTTACCTTCGTTATTTCGTGAATATACCTAGTTACTTTTCTAGTTAGCTCTTTCTATAATCGTAATATATAATAAAGG